TTTTTTTTATCAAGTTTCCTTTTTCTCGTGTTCAATTAATTTATTGTCTTCACAGGTGAAATCTAAATATCTGCTAGCACAATTATCTCTGCTAAGAGTGTCTACCATCACTCTTGCCGGTCTCAAGCCCAAAACGCTGCAAACTAGCTGAAACTACATGTATTTCGTAAAATTGCACACCAAACACCAAAATCCGGCAGAACGCACGAGTTTTTGCCAAATTTCACGCAAAAGTTGACAAAAGCGCTCAATTCGAACTGAAAAACACGAGTTTTTTTTTGCAAAAATCAGCCAATTTCACATTCAAAAACACGATGTCTTTAACAAAATAGGGATACAATCCATGTGAAAACACTTATTCCAGCTAAAACGCAGTGTTCTCAGTAAAATGTGGGGAAAAAAACGCGTAAAAACCGTCAGAAACACAACAAATTGGGCTGATTTTACCCACTTTTTGTGTAAATAGCTGCCAAAACCCTCAAAACTAGCTGGAACTACATGTTTTTCACTAGATCGCCATAAAATCTTGAAACGTTGCTTTAGAGGCCTTTATGCCTCCAAAACGAGTTTTTACTTTAAAAAAAATGGAATGAACAAAGATGTTAAAGGGGAAAAAGCTGTGAGAAAGGAGAAGTTTAGTGTTGCTGTTTGATATGCCGCCCAGATATATCAATTTATTAATTTAACGCCTTTAGCCATGGGGCAGAAGTTTTTCTCTAGACTAAAAGGACCCTCCCTATGTTGACGAACCTCGATAATTCGTTGATTTTACTGTTTTTACACAGATTTGATTTTAACCATATTCGCCGAAATAACTGCCAAAACACGGCAAACCAGTATCTCAGCCAAGAGCGATACTGGCCATTTCACACATCCTTATTAGATATGAATTTTATTGAAGATTGCCATTCTAGCATATGTTGGCTAGTTTCCACAGCTTTCTTGATTTTCATGGGAAAGTGGCATTGGTTGGTACCATGACCAATCTTGTCGACTTTCCCATTATTTTCATAGGATGTCAGCATCGACCCATACTTCGAACCTCAGTTGTTGTTGTTTTTTTTTACATTGGCGCGAGTTTCACAACTTTCTTGTGGTTTGGCATTGACTCAGAGTTGGATTTATTTTTATGGCTATCCATCGGCGACTTTCTCATGATTTTCTTGGGTTCTCAACAGTGACACGCACTTTGGAACCATAATTTTATAAATATGTCAACACTGGCAAATACTGCTAAAATCTACACTCTACTAAACTCCATATACCACAATATCCACACAACTGCGTGTGCCTACTTGAAAATCCTAACCCTAACCCTAAAACTATCCAGTTAGCCAAGTATTGTATTGCTGGTCTGAGTGACTAAACTGGCTCAAATTGATCCAGCTGCTTAAAAATCTAAGCACAGAGTAAGTTTAAAAGATTCAATTTTGTAAGGTTTCGAAACAGTTCCAAAATTAACATGCACATAGCTCAGTGTAAAACACCGAAGCTTCTAGGACTTCTTATGATTCCTACGAGCGTACACATCTAATGCACGTCAATTTGCCTTTGTTGTCCTCGAAAGATCACGTCTTCATGGTAACGTGGTGTAAGAACTATACAGCACTTTATATATATATGTTTTACTTGACGGTAAAAGTTTGAATCCGTACAAGGAAACGTAACGGAAACAGGCGACGATAATATTCCGTTGAGAGAAATGCAACGGAAACGTGTCGTCATATTTCCGTTCAGGAATCATAACGGAAACATAACAGGTCCAAGGAAGAAGTGAATGACGTGGAAACATAGAGTTTCATTTTTCCGAATTACGGGATCATGCTATTTCGTCCTGTGCTCGCTCTAACTCTATGCTATCCTAAACCTAACCCAAACCCCAAACCAATCCTATGCTATGGTAAAGGGTTTAAGTCAGGGTTGAGGATAGAGTTAGGGCAGGAGCCCATTACCTGGCTAGGGTTAGAGTTTGGGTTTCTTCGGGTCAGAGGGGTTTAGTGTTACAATCACGGTTAGGGCTAGGGTAAAATTATGCTTAGGGTTAGCGGGGTTTAGTGTTAGAATTAGAGTTAAGGCTAGGGTGAGGCTATGCTTAGGGTGGGCGTTAAAATTTTTCTACAAGCATTCAATTGCAGGTTTTTTGGTATTGTTTTTGTAAATTTCAGTAACTACTTGAAAGTTTACTGAAAAACAAACGATAGGCCGACCGGTACACTTACAGGATAGATAGAGAAGGTTAGGGTAAGGTTAGGGTTAGGGTTAGGGTTAGGGTTAGGGTTAGGGTTAGGATAGCTCGCAGCTAGAGTTAGAGTTGGGGCTTGGGTAGGGTGGGATTATGATTAGGCTGAGGGTTACAATTTTTTCTGAAAATATCCAATTTTTTTTTTGGTATTGTGTTGGGCTTTAAACTTTAATAAGTAATTCAAAGTTTGCTTGAAATCAAAACACCATTTTTTGCCAAAATAACTGCCAAAATGCCCAATTCAGACCTTTTTATCAATTTACACTGGGTTTAAGCTTGGTTTTTGTTTTTTCCCATGGACTCTTGCACTATTTCGCTGAGAACATTGTTTTAGCTTTTTTTGCAGTGTTTTTAAAACTGAAATAAGCTTATTATTAATTCAGAAAAATACCTTTTTATATTTTTTAAGGACTGCTGGATATAACCTGTACAACCAAGATGAATTTACATTCATTATTTGTCATAACTTATACTAAATTAGAAATTCAAGCATGAAATGAGGGTACTAGCCCTTTAATAGTGTTCAAAATTTCCATATGCAGGGGTACTTGTGGCTACTGGAGAAGAATCAGTCTTTAACCCTTCACCCCCCCGTAAGGGAGATAATAAGTACAGATATCCTCTTCCCTAGGGGCAACTAGCAGCCAACAATTTGGTCACCTACAATGAAATAGCTGCCAATTTCACACATGTCAGACTTCTATTCAGGACAAGATTTGGCCTCTGCTGCCTATTACTATTGCCAGCTTGCCTGCCACTCAAAATTTCAACTGAGATTGTACATACATACATGTGGGATTAGGTTACATGAGCGAAACTGCACTATTGAAAGAGATCAATGAATTATAACTCAAACAAACATTGATAAATGAAATAAATCAATAGAAATGACAAAAATCAAACTAACAGCAGACAGCACTTTTTTGGCCTTCGGGGCCTGATCAGTGCAGTGATCTTCAACTAAGTGCTTAATTTGGACATAAAACCAAAACTTGTTATGGTTAAATATTATTATTTTTCTTTCAATATTCCCATTCCAGCTGATGTATATTATTTGAATAACAAATCTTATTAGCATGTTAAATCACCTGAGGACATGGCATACACTTTGTGCCAAAATTGCTTTGCATCAAGTACATTATCTAGTACATCATTACCATCTTCAGGTATTTCTAATTTACTCTTGAAAATCACACAAATCATAAGCTATATACAGCATACAATTGGCAGCAAATTATTACAAAAGAATGCAGTAATCTTTAATAATAAGATTACTTAGTAGCTAAATAACAAATAGCCTAGTCAAAATGTGCCGGTAACCAGGGATTTGGCTGTCCACACAGAACATTTGTTAGGCGTCTAGTCTGGACAAGGTTTGGCCTCTACCTCCTATTACTATAGCCAGCTTGCCTACTTCTTAAAAAACATTTTGACTAGGCTGAAAAAAATGTTTGAGAGAAAAATGGCCACAACAAGCCCACTTACTGCAAAATAAGAAATATAAAAGTAACACTTCAAATTAATACAGAATATACGCCTTGCAGGATTTGGCTCTCAATAAAATTAGTTAAAATAGCCGATCTTGAGTTTAACTACTCACTCAAAATGGGCTGACAGCCTGCAATTTGGCCGCCTACGATGAAGTATCTTTCACTGACTTCACACCTTTCAGACTGCTTTTCAGGATGAGGTTTGGCCTCTGCTGCCTATAATTACTACAGCCAGCTTGTCTACTACTAAAGAACATTTTGACTGGACTGTGCAATTGTTACTAGCATATAAAAAGCACCTCCAGGTAGATTACAGCAAAGCAGCCTTTGTACCAAATGCTCTGCATTAAGTACATTATTACCCTCTACAGGTATTTCTAGTTTACTTGAGAAAATCCCACAAATCACAAGGTATATTACATCATACATGTTGACAAAGCAATCAGGCGTACATTTTTCATAATAGGATGCAATGGTCTTCAGTATCAAGATTATTTGGTACCTAAATAGTAAAATGTTCGAGAGAAGAAATAATCGTAAACATTTTTTCTTTCTCATCAGCATCGACTTCCAAAAATAATGGATGATGACCACCTAAAACAAAGAAGAAATAAATCAAATTTGTGATTTCACAGGGCTTCAATACGAAACAAGTATGCATATTTTTTATTTCCTACCACTTACAAGTGGCAGGAATGGCTGAAATGGCCTTCACGTGAACACAACAGAATCCTATGCGTGTATAACCATGTAGAACTATTTATTCGGTATCGAAATTACATCCCAAATGTCATGGTATTTGACTGAAACTCAGCTTACCCATCTTTCGTTTAGACTTCGAAACTTGCTGCTTTTTACCACCGTTTCAATGTTTTCTTGTTGTTCAAAAGGTGGTAGGGCCATTGCAGACCGTGATTTTTTTTTTACTTGAGAACCAGATCACAACACCCAAGCCTTTTCACGCTAAAATATTAAACTACTGAGATTTCCTTCGCCGCCGTAAGCCGCCATTTTATCTTTCCCTGAATACTAGTTCCCAAGCTTCGAGCCCGAAGGTCTCACACATGCACTGAAATGCTATTCGTTATTTCAGGGCCGATTAATGCTGATCACAAGTAACGATAATCATTATTTCGGTCTCGAGATCATGTTGAATTTAATTCACTTACAGTGTTTTGGTATCCCTAGAGGGGATATGTTTTAGGGATGTCTGGGCTGATTCAAAAGAACTGGGAACTAGTTTATACCTTACTTCAAAAGGAATTAGCCTTGATCAGTCCCGATCATATAATATGTGCTGACTGACGGCGGTTAGTGAACTACTATTGGGCAAGTTTATGATGCCTCTTTTTAAGAAAGGGGGAGCAAATATTTCCGACTCTCGCAAAACTGATGGAGATAAAAAACTATCGAATAATCGCTCCGGAAGCGCTGGAACAGAAAATACCTCACAAATGCATCCGTCTGTTCAAATCCCGGAACCTCCGCGTTCTTCCAAATCTAATGATATGGCTTCTAGAACACCTCATCCACCAAGAACAGACTCAGGACCATCACCGCCAATTCCTCCGCCAAAGTTTGTTTTCTATTGTCAGTTAGCTCATGGAAGCGCCACTGGAAAAGTGGAAGGATTTACAAACGTGAAAGAACTCTACCAAAAAATCGCAGAGGTCTTTAAAATGCAGTCAAAGGAGGTTAGTGGAAACTATTAGTAAAAGCCGATCTAATTAAGACTAAAGCTAATGGATTCGGTAGAAATGTGTACAACTGTATGCTTATTAATTTGTTGATACGACTTTGTATGAAATGGTTGTGGTATCAAGTAAGTGTCCTTGAAACATCACTAATTAAAGTTGAAGGCAACTTGTTGTGCACTTACGATTTACTAAATAATAAATATATACATGGTACATGTGCTTACTTTAGATTTAATTATTTTTCACCACTTTGGATCTGTGTATAGGTCTGTGAAAGCTTACTAGTTCATAATTCAATAAGTTTGGTCGAAGCTTAGCTTGAACTTGTGTAAATAGCTCAAGCAACTTGCATATTGGCAGGGCGTTCTCAATGCTGAAAATAAAACTAAAATCATAGGTAATGGTGAGATACCAAGAATGACCGTGAATGATCACAGCCATCTTGGGACTTTAAATTAAGATAAGTGAAATGTATTTCATTCATTAATTGATTCTGTTGTACTGCACTGTGCATCCTTACTATGCATAAATTTTATATGAGAACACCTGTGTGAAAATGTCTGGACAAGAGTGTGAATTTGGCCAGAAATTTTAACCTGACATGAGACAGTATAGCATCAACCACACAAGAGCCAAATGTGACAGAAAAGTAAAGATTACCTACGATTTTAGGTCCTGGCTCTCAAACTAAAAAGAGGGGTAATTAGCATGACAAGAGCTAAAGAAATCATACACAACAAGAAAAAAAATCTGACACAATAGTCAGACAATGGCCTGACAGCACAGAAATAATTAGTGACATAGTTGTCCAAATACCTTGTCCTTACTTAAATCTAACTTTGGCCATAGAGCTCAAATAAACACATATAAATAACAAGGAAATAGTTTATTGATAAACTTATCAAATTCAGTTAAACATCAAAATAGACCAAATGCACTGATGTTTACATGTTTAAAATATGAACCTTTCCTTTTTATATGTAGAAGATGTGCTAAAGCTACAAATATTTTTTCTCAAAATTTAACACATTTTCAGGGACCAGTTAGTTGTATCCTTCATTGAGATAAACTATTGTATTAAAAACTATCACTCATTACACCAATCAGGTTAAGTGTATGTAACGTTTTTTGATAAATGAAATATTCAAGTGAAACAAACCTAAAAGGAAAATTTATCTCTTAACAAGATGGCTATTTCTTATGTGAAAATAAGGCATATGGAGGCATATATGGCTGCATGTCCTCTGCAAGCCACAGAAGTTTCCTCAATCTTGCATTTGACTTAAGGTTATGATATTGGCTTTTTATGCTGAAGTTTGAAGCAAAGTAGTCATGTAGCCAGTAAAAAAAGGGAACAAAGTTTACATGATTGCAAATTGATTTAATGCTGCTCTATGTTATGGCATCTTGGTCTCACCTTGATCCATTCCAATAATGGAAAGCCAATTATTGCTCTCAAGGCATTGGGACCAAAAAAAGAGAACTGTTATGAAAAATTAGCTTACCTATCTGTTAATCGTAAGGATGGTTGGTAACTTAATGGGCTTCTCCTCTTTATAAGGGCCTTTGACCCTGTCTGGCCCGTTATGGCCCAGATGAGAGCTTATCATTTGTGTGGCTCTTTAGCTGGGAGCCAGACAATTTATTTGTCCAGCTTTGGTCACACCAATGTCTAGTTCATTTAATGGTATTCACGCCAAAGTCATACCACATTCTAGCTCTGTTAGGCTTGATATATTTATACAGTTACTGTTCACACAAGAGACCAAAGTGGCCACTTTTATTTTGTTCAGAGCCCATGGGTAAGGTAAATCACAAAATTGGTCATAAAAGTGCAGTTATCCCCCATTTTTATTGGAAAAAAATCAGATAGTGGAAAATAGAGTACATGTGTTTTATTGAAATGTAAATCTCTTTGTTCCTAATGATCATGAAGAACAGCTCCCTGAAAACACCTGTTGACTGACACATAACCAACAGGCCTCTAACAGGCTACCCCCCAGTTATCAATTGCTGAATGATATACTAGAGAATTAAGGTCCAAAACAAAACTTTTGGTAATGACTGGACAACATGCCCAGTAAGCCTAAGATTTTGTCCCACAATACATTGTAAGCTTTTTTTTTCACCAAAAGTATGGGAAACAACTTTCATGTTGTTGGGATTTTCAAGAAATGAAGAAAATTCAAATTACAGGCATAGGAATTAAATTAAATTAAACATGGCTCTCCAGGGAGGAATTGTTTTTCAAACCCTGCTGCTCAATCACTTCTTGACTTGAGGATTCCTAAGTGTTGACCTGAAAAATTTACATTTCTTTCCAGATCTTGTTTTGTACACTAAATACATATAGAATTGACATGGAAAGGTTACTTGGAGGGCAAATTGGACTTGATGACTTTATATTTGCACATGTCAAAGGACAATGCAAAACTGTGACAGTGTTAAAAACAAGCCCAGCCTTGGGTCTTACCATAACAGATAATGGAGCGGGTTGCGCATTTATCAAACGCATCAAAGAAGGAAGCATTGCAGATGGAGTGGCTCAGATTTGCATTGGAGATCATATAGAAGCTATAAACAACACAACTGTTGTTGGTACTAGGCACTATGATGTAGCTCGTATGTTAAGAGAGCTTCCAGTTGGAGAGGAAATCATTTTTCAGTTGATTGAGCCTGTGAGGAGCTTTGGTAAGTCAGCACTAAGGAAGAATGAGGAAGGAAATATTAAAATTTTTTCCCCAAACATGGTATTTATTGTCCTCAGACAGGGTTTTCTCTAAGGTTTTTAAGTAGCTGGAGCTTTTTTTTTTTTTTTAAGGTAAACAGTTGTAGGTCTCAAAATCCAATATGGTGGACAAAACATCATATTGTTCGTACTTTCCTGCCACCACAGCAAGATTTGTCAAAAAGATAGTCCCCATCAGAACATTTTTAAACTAACCTTGAGTCAGAAGTCTTTTTATGTTTTCAGAAAAGATAGGCAGTGCAATTTTATATTTTTATTGAGCCCAAGTTTAGACCTGATAAACATCATCTCTGTACAGGCTCTCAGGACCTCTCTGGCATAACCTTTTCTACAATAGAAAACATATGGTCTGTAAAGTTGGATCTGGTATAGAACCTCTATTTCCAGAGAGAAAGCTGAAAACACTCACATATTGTTACAACTAGTAATATCATCAACTTGGGACATGTTTTTGTTGGTGCAAACATTGGCTTGATTTTTGAAAAATTCCTAGTTGGAGATGCTAATTTGAATTACTTTGTATGCCTTTTATTTATTTACCAAGTTCAAGAGGTTCAGAAGTCTAGGGCTTTCCCTCCCATGGCCACCACCACAATTGCTATACTGTAATGACATTATTACTGCAAGGACACTTGACAAGTTGTTGCTTGATAAGCATCAAAATATCTGCATCACAATAATAGTAATAGGAGAGGGGCAATGGGTTCTATTAGAAACTGCAAAACAGTAGGAAAAAACCATACAAAGAAACAACTCAAAACTGCAAAAAAATCAACCAAAACCAAAAACTGTGCAAAACCATCAAAGCTGATTGACTGGAACAACTGCAAACCTTAATGAGCACCAAAATATGACTTAGAAAATCTTTGTAGCATATCACATGCTAGCCACCCAATGGGTGCAATAGGCAGGGCAAAGTTCTTGCAACAGAGAGGAATGTATGATGGTTGCAAATAAAGGATGGGGAAGGGGGGTGTAGAAGGGGAGCATGGCATAAAGGGGTCCCATTTGTCTGAATCTTACATAGATTAAGTTTGCAAGTTTTGAGTAGCAATGGTGAGAATTGAAAACATCATTGCTTGTTCTTACCTGATGCAAAGGCCAACCTTGAATTGTAACTTGATGAAATTAAGTTCTTTTTCATTTTGCAGAGGGTATTGGTCCAAGGACAGGAAGTCGTGGAGCCAGTTCATCTTCAGCTGCTAATGCAGTAGGAAGTGGGAAGACAACTCTGCGATTACGATCCAAGGGTCCCCCTGTTGTGGAAACAGAAGAGGTGATAGTCACTATTAGGTCTATAAAAATGATGTATAGCACTGTAATATAAATATTTGCACATTGTAATTAAGTGAACTCTTTCCATGGTTAGCTGGTTAGATCATTGCTTTTTTCTGAAATCATAATTTGGTAAGAGAGTCAGATTGGACAGACTGACTCGTTGTGAAGCAGTGTATATACCCTAAGCTGTCTCCTGCAACAGAGTTGTGATAGTGGAGAAATTTTTCAAAGCTACACTCATAAGATATTTTAGGCATAGTTATCATGGTATGATATCATAACATCTGGAAATTTTATTTTAAACAAGTTACAATGGATATGAAGTGATATCACATGTTGGGGTACTTAGGGCTGGTGCCTTTGTTACTAAACTGAGCTCAACTCAACAATAGGTCAATTTAAATGTTGGCTTTTGAATTTCTGGTCCCATTTCACTAAAAAGTTTTGGAAAACTACCTTTCATCACCATCTGTTTAGCTTGCAAGTAGGCACTTGTGTTTGGCTTAGTTTCCTTTGAGTGTCCCTTTTCTGGGTAAAGCCACTTGTTATGCCATTTGCAGCAGCTTATGGAAAAAGTTATTGAAACCCACTAATATAGACCACAACATTTTACTTAATGCTTCGTTGCCAAATGTTAGGGTGCACATCAGGCCTGGTATGCATAAATGTATACTCTTCATCAAAGCATCCTTCGTTTTCCATTTTATGAGTCTTGCATAGAGTAATTTTTGCCTGTTCTTTTTTTTGCTACATACTTTCCGTTACAACTTTCTGATCCAAATTGTTCAGATAGCCTTCTGGTTAAAAACTCAGGGACTGGATGGCCATATTTATTTTGCACTTGATTCTATATTACAATCACTTAATTTTTATCAAATGCTGGTACCACTCATTATCATCTACCCATTAGTTTTACAGAATTCTTATCTTCTTTGCATCTTGTGATGCAAAGTCACCTGACAGTTATCATACAATAGGCCCTGTTTACATTGATAAGTTCTCCGATGATTTCTGTTGAAATGACACAAAGTCAGTAGAAAAAAGCTAGCTCAAGAGTTTCACTCTTTGTCTCTGAAGTCCAGTGATGGTGATATTAAAACCTGATCTCAAATGCTGGTCTGAAAAGTATGAAACAGTCAACAATATTTGCTGTTAATGCATGAAAAAAAATTAAAGGAAGAGTTATGGAATAAGTAAACCCCTTTCTTGCCTGCTGGTATGTTGGCTGATGATGTCCTTGACTGAGAAATTGTCCCCAAAATTTCCCATTTGTCTTTGAAGCCTCACTTCCCCACCAAATAAATTATTTATTTGTTGGAAAATATCTTAGCTGTGGACATTATTAGCTAACATGCCAGCCAACTGAAGGAGTTTATTTTATTACTAAATATTCTTTAAAGGAAATGAAACTCACATGGTACAAGTTCTCTAGAGACTATCAGCAAAAATCCGTAGACCCAAACTTTTTTCATGAATATATACTAATTAAGGATTTTGTGTCATTCAAAAAAGCTCTCTCTATTGAGGGTATCACTTGACGATGGTATTGTGAAACCCAATGCCCAAATTGAATCATTTTGACTGACAATTTAAATCAAATGTAACATATTAGGAAAAAACTATCTGGCCAGAGGCATGCCAGGTGGCTATTTACAGCAAGGCTAGATTTCTTGAACTAAGTACTACTGAGAAACTTTAGATTGTGATGCTTTCACCTCTTGTTTATGTTGCCCTAGTTTACTCAAAAGCAAATGAAGGAAAATGTGATTGGTACAATTTATTACTTTTTCCTCTAAAGGGACACAGAAAAACAACATGAAACAGTAACAGTCTGGCTTAAGCAGCCTTATAAGAGGGGTGGGGCTGTTCAGTGTATTTCAACCCAAAGCAATGGCCACAAGGGGAAACATATGTACTGTCTGGCACATGACTTAATTCCTAAATGTTATTCTATTAAATTGCAGGCACCTGCATGGGAACTGAAAGCTGCTCAGAGAATAGATGACCTGTTGGAAAGCTTTATTGGAATAAGGGATCCTGATCTGGGTGAGCTATTATGATAGAGTTACAATTTGCCATGCCATATATTCTAACTGCTAATAAGTAAAATGCTCTTACTGTAAATGGAACATTGACACAGCATCCAAAGAGACCTTTTTTGTGATAAATATAAGATCACGGTAACAGGTAAAAAACAATTTCCATTTTGGTTGCTGAATAAAGTAATGCCAATGCCACTCTGGCCTTATTTATGAGGTGGATTATGTTTGAAGCCTTTGCAGATGATTTAACTTTCTCACTGTAGTGAGAAGTAATATGGCTCTCTGATCCTTTTTTTCCCCTCAGCTGAGACACTGGTATTGAAGAGTAAGACAGTCTCCAATCCAAGTGATTTTGCTATGGCTGTAGATGAAGAATTTGCAGATTTCCAGTTCCCAGACGATTTTATATTTGACATTTGGGGTGCAGTGTCAGATGGTAGAAGTGGAAGGTTATAATTGTTGTCAAATTGAAAATATGTTACTCTTTGATAAAAATCCAAAGTGTTTCATTGACACAGGTTAAAGTTGTCTGAATGAGCATGAAAATGCAAATGCAATTAACCTTTTTTTTTTTCATTTGGCCACCTTGAAATTTCTAAATTCTTTACAAGTATAAATTGAAGAGGCTAGCTAGCTGCGTGGGCTGCTAACTAGATGTAGAAATCTGGGAAGGTTTTTCATTGGACAATTCTGAGACTTTAGAGCAAGAGATTTAAGACTTGTAAGAATGTCCTCAGAGTTTTGTGTTAGAACTTCTGATCATAGTTTAGGAGTCACACTTTATGTGTTGTTTTTTCTTCATTAGACAATGCAACACTCCCATGTCAGTTGATCTCACTTGACATGCAGCTTTTTTATTTAATGGTTATTATCTGTTTGTTAAATAGATTAATTGAATAAATGTATCATATAAATACCTTATAGATATTGTACTGATGTCTGTATTTATCTTTACACAACTTTTTTAAATTTGTGAGAAACAACTTTAATCTATTGATTAATTAAGCTGGTCAGTCGAAAATACACAAAGAGATCCAGGTCTTAAGATGGTTATTCATTTCCTAGGATATAAGAGAAGTACATTTCAGAGTAGAAACATTTCTCCTCTCACTTCACAGTTGAAGCACCAATTGGTCCAACATAAGTAAGGAACAGCTTTTAATAGTTTCATTTTGCCCCCAGTTCAGTAAACAAGCTTCAACCACAGAAGGCAATAATTACATTTTTCTTCATTCAGATTTGGCACGCAGTAATGTTTTTACTGGGATTAAAAACACTTAAAACTCTGAAGTTTAAAGCAAACATATGATCAGTTTGTTTCATACACCACTGTCAGTCATTGTAATTCAGAAGCAAGCAGAGTAGATTGAAATCCACCATTCAGAACATAGGAAGGCAACTTTCACACCTTTCCGTCAAGTTTGTTTTAGAGTCTAGTGTAGAGTAAAAAGGATTCTTACACTTAACGGTGTGCCTGATGATACAAAATGTATGGTGCTTTTTGCCTGGTGGAACACATGTCACTTAATCCAAAACGATGCAGAAAGTTGAAAATGAATTAATGTTAGCAATTCACTGATGTAGTAAGTAATTCTAGTTGCATCATTGACCACAACAAACTTTTCTTGTTGCATCGATGGTAGTACAGTATTTATTCAGTGTCTTTTGGTATTGTACTACCACCTGATAGACTGGACATATCGACCTCTCTCTTGGAAGGTACGATCTTTAAACTTAAATTAAGGAGACACTTACTGTACATGCCTGGGTCTAGTACTTTGCTTTAGATTTTTCTCTTGTGGCGCATTTTGGCCTTTAGACACATATAATTTAAAAGTATAAACATTATGGAACTAATATAAGCTCTGCCAGTTGGAAGGCCCGAACTCCTTGGTTGGCTTAAGTCAAATTTATGTCTTAAAGTAAATAGTAGGAATTCAGTTTGGTGAACTAGTGAAAGTGTCTGCTATCTATGTTGCATCTGGTTGAATCAATATGTAAAATAGATCTTTTCCCACATATCAAGTAAATAGGTACCAATTCTGTTTGAATGTTGTTTGTTTTTTCTATTTTCTGTAGCTGAATATGTAATCTGTTGAAACTTTGGACATGTAAGATGTTATTTATTTTATGGTCTCACTGCTGAACTTCCAAGTAGATGTTGTGGTTCAATTTCATCCTTGGTTCAGATTTTGTTTTCTTTTGTTTTTGGGTATTGTAATGTATCACAATGAGTTTGAAACAGAAGAAAATAAAATTTGAACCAAGGATAAAATTGAACCACAACAAAGACACCATAAATAAGTGTTTCCATATTATTTCAGGCCTATAGTTTGGTTTAGAGATCTTCAGTCAGTTTTTCTTACTCTCATATGCATGCAAATTGAAATTGTGGACTTGTGGAGTTGTATAATCAAATTTTAAATAAAACTCAGCAGGTTATGTAGTGAAAAGTAGATTATCAGTGGAAACCGATAGTGGGTATCATGTAGTCTGATCATCTGGGTGAAAGTAGTTCTGCTAAGGTATGATGGGCATAGCTCGTTGTTTAACCTTCTACACCCTTACATCAGTATTCATATTCTCCGTACTGTTCCCCATACACCACAAGGAGAATTTGTTTAAAAATCCCGAGCTACTTCAGTTGGTGATCATTTCCTTTATTCTTATGACCTTAATGTTTAGTTCAGGGATGATATTGTGATAAGAAATTAGATTCTAGTTGCTCTTCAGGGTTGAAGGGTTAGCGATCATTGTTGGATTGTTACCATTCTTATACTATTAAACTATTAACGTTGCAGTAGTATTTTGCCAACTGTTGGCAAATTTCATTCTCAAAGTCAACCTGAACATTAGTACTTCAACTAAGTTTTCCACACACCAAAAACAAATGTAATTTGCAAACACCCAGGCAAACACTGAAGTATACGAGGAAGCAGATTGAAGAATTCCTTGTTGCTTTGGCTCTTATTTCTTATTTCCTCTTTATGGATGGCAATGTCAGAAGGACTCCAGAGCCAACTACACCTGTTTTTACCATGGTATTGTGATGCATTACCTCTTTACATTTGTCAATGAATATCCTATCCTTCATCTCCCTACGACGCACTTGAAGGTTTTGTGGTATCCATTTGTGGCGGTTTGTAGAAATAACATGTAGTTAGAATAACTAGTAATTCTTTCGGGAGGATTTACACTGTGCCTTCAAATGTAGGTCATATATTATTTCTAAAGCATCCTTTGGTGTAAGTAACTCTGGATTAAGCTCAAGAAGCACTCTGGTGATTTCATTTTCAGCCTGCAAATCATTTGTTGTGATGAAAGGAGATGTATTTGAGCTTTCTTTGCCTTTCTGTGTTTTCCAAGATTCTGAAACCAGTTTGTCCTCTTCCAAAGTGACCTCCAAACTGTTTCCTTTGTCCTCTAAAACCTGGAGAATTTCCCTCGCACGAGCCTCAACTGTTATGGGGACCCCTGCAAGTTTTGCTACATCGATACCAAAGGATTTTTGATCACACCCGTGCTAAAGGAAACAAATTCATATGAAAATACAAGTAAATAAATAAATGAATGAAAAATAAACAATTAATAAAAGTCCAACAAAAATGATGAGAAACTAAACTGTTAACAGTGATGAATTCAACAAGGCTCAAGCCTGGTCCTCACAGATACTGTTTACAGCGTATGACCAGGTGAAGATAAAATACATAAACCACTAAATCACTGTTCAGTAAAATTAGCACTCTGAATCAGCATGGTAAACCTACCAATCAAAACTATAATAGCAACTGCAAGGTCAAGGCTAATGGGCCTCTGCCATCATCACATCATGCTGAGGAAGACCTTCATGTGCTATAAGTTTGTTTTGCATTCCCCTAGTTACAGTAATTTTATAAAGTAAATCAAACTGATTTGTGCTCTCTGTATCTACAACTGTTAAATAAGGTTATTTTGGATTATAAAAATTGCTGATTGTGGAATGTAAATAGCATTATACAAATGATTTATTAATCAAAACATCATTGATGTTATCACGGCTACTTACATTAACTTTATATGTGAAACTTAACCTATCTTTGGAGTGCAAAGCAGTAACATGGTAACAGTCAACATGCGGCAGAATGTGGGCCAGTTTACCCAGTTGATGGTAATGGGTCGAGGCTAGTGTTCTGCACCTAATGGAGCTGTGAAGATGTTCAATTACAGCCCAGGCTATTGACACGCCATCTAGCACTGATGTACCACGACCTGAAGGTAACACAAAGACCCACAGCACAACTTTTTCAAGATATTCAAACTGTCTCTAGGGATTATTACCAAAACCACAGAAGTATTGTTGTTTGCTTCTTGTTTCCTTTTACTTCTAAAACAGGCCCACTTAAGTTAATCCTCTCACTTAAAGGAGAACTGCACTTGACTTGTTCATATAATAATAACAAACAGACAAAAAAAACAGTAATCATGTTTCTATGGAACAGTTCTGGAATACATAACAACACATGTATCACTTGGTAACTTGTCCCGGGTAATGGTCATTCTTACAAGAAATCAGGATATGGTGTTCACTCTAACAATTTTTGACTCTGTATCACAGCAAAGAACATTAAAAGAAGCAGAATTCCTACCAATTTCATCAACAACAACTAAGGACTTCTCAGTGGCTTGTGCGAGGATGAAAGCTGTTTCAAGCATCTCAGACATAAAGGTAGATTGATGTTGCACTAGATTATCAGTAGCCCCAATGCGTGCAAATAGTCGATCAATAACACCTTGAAAAATAAAATAAAAATTAAAAAAAAAACCAAACACTTTATATTCTGGTTGTAAATTAAGTGGAAAGGGTCACCATGCAGCTTGATGGCTGTTATCTTCTAACCTTAAGGACCCCCCAGCTAATCACTCTTGTTACAAAGTGGAAAATGTGCAAGACAGGACACAAACTCATAGAGTCACCCCTTAAAGAGGTTTCAACATTAAAAGCAAGAAGTTTAAAACTTGAAGTGGATGACTGGTCAGCTGTGGGTCTACGTAGTTTAGAGGTTTGGTCAGTAGCTCATTTGGGGGAAGCCTTTTACTGCTAGTGTTCTTCTAAGCAACCTTGCTTGATTTATCAGATGGACAACGTCCTGCTCTTTAAAATAGCTGTGTGTAGTGAAATTTACAATCAAATTGATTTAAAGGGTGAAGACCAAGAAAAACATCTTTGTTCTCCAACTTACCTATCTTTGCGGTCTGTGCTGGAACAAAGGAGCCTGCCTGTGCAAGAATGGCTATCAATGCATTTTGACGAAGAAATGTACTCTTACCTATAAGATCGTAAGATTATTTTTCACTCAAAATTATATATTTATATTTAATTATATATTAATATTCTATTAATAATTTCAAGAAGTACAATGGACCAAGGTAAGTGGTATTACAACCTCTGGTCGAGTAGACACAAGGTACGGAAGTTAGCCTTCCAAGCTTCACATAATAACAAAAATTATGTACCACACCTTAAAAAAGAGCAATCAATCATACACATAAATTTAACTTTCTTTCCACTAATGGATATACATTAGACACGATTTGATAAAAAGGCTAAGTGTAACTATGGGAAAATATCCATTATCTAAATATGAAGGATAAATTTCGCCCAACTAGTACAATTTTTTTTTCGACAGTTCAGTGGCTAACTTAAAAAAGTGATTACTAATGAAGGGGCACTTACCACCCATATTTGGACCTGTGATAATCCAGAGGTTCTTTTTGCCCAGGTCACAATCATTACAAACAAAACTGTTAGGCTGAAGCATGTCTACAACCGGATGTCGACCCCCTTTCACAAGAAATTCGTTTTGATTTCCAATGATGGGTTTAACATAACCTCGTTTAACAGCGAGAACTGCCAGAGAAGAGGACACATCCAACTCCGCCAATGCAACAGCCAATTTCTTTAAACTTTCAGCATGTGAAGTTACCTTGAAAGTCCAAATACAACAGTTATCAACTGAGCTATCTTTTTTTTCACAGGTATGGAAAAAAAGGAGAATATTTAATATGCAGCTGCCAGCAAAACAGATATTAACCAAAGAATGCTGCAACTGCTTTCCAATGGGTTGCTCAAGTTTTCCATCAGATTATTTTTTGCAAAAATCTTTCTACCTGAAGAGATGTGCCACTACCTGCCTTTTCTGGGATGTCATCTTGTTTACTCAATTGGTTTATTCCAAAACCTATGAACAACCCATGTCTTCTGCTAACCTATGCTTTGTCAGTATGGGTCATAAATCAAGTTTAGCTCAGTGGCACTAAAGAGATACATTTTACGAATATAAGAGATCCTCAAAGCTATAAACACTACTGTACTAGTGATGAATAATGATTGTAGATATATGAAAATCATATGTGTATATCATATATGTGCACTGGACCCAACTTAATGACCAGCTTCCAGTTGGCTTGTTAGCTCAGTTGGTAGAGCACTGCACTGGTATTGCAGAGGTCATGGGTTCAAATCCCATATGGGCCTGAATTTTTTCCAGGTCTTATTTCAACTACTAGTTCAGTGGTGTTTATAGCTGCGAGGATCTCTTATACTCGTTTCTTCACCGCAGTGCACATATATGATTTTCATATATCTACAATCATTATTCATCACTTGGATGGTTTATTTGGACCCAAGTTAATGACCAGCTCCCAGTTGGCTTGTTAGTTCAGTTGGTCGAGCGCTGCACCTGTCTCCCAAAGGTCATGGGTTCAAAATCCCATACGGGCCTGAATTCTTTCCAGGTCTTATTTCAACTACTAGTTTAGTAGTGTTTATAGCTGCAAGGATCTCTTATATTTGTTTCTTCACCACAGTGCACATATATGATTTTCATATATCTACAATCATTACACTTATTTTACTTCCTTTATTGCTTTTTCTATTAACTGGACCTTTCTGTTCAGCCAGGAACAGTTTTTGTTTCTCAACAGTTGATAACAGCTTCAACCTACATTTGCTCAGTTCATAACAGAGTTATGTTAATAACATCAGTTGTAGAAGGTATTGTGAGTGTGTGACTGACAAATTTACATTTTTCAGAGCCTTCAAACTCGTTTCTATGCTTCACTACAATTTGTAACTTTCAGGATTATTCCCTTCTGTGAAATTGTGCTATGATGGTACAGAGGCAGAGGACCAAAACAAGCCTGTCAAAGAAAGACCGTTAATCAATTGTGAGGGGATTAGGGTAAATAAATGAACACTGAACATCTCTACATATGCTGGAAATAATAGTTCCTAAGATTATGTTATATACCTGATTGCAGAGGTCATCAGACAATGCCCGCTGAATAATCTCATTTTCTTCTTGTAAAGCTTTCCATTTTGCATTCAGCTCTTGGAGTTTTAAAGTAATATAGCGTGCTTTGTCTTTGGTACTTTCCAAAAAAACAAAATCTTGGTTCCACCCTAGAGAGTTTTTCTGACTTAAAGGTATTTCTACAACTCGTATGAAGGACTTGTGGTTGCTGATAGTCAGGCGAGGAATCTTTAGGCTCACTCTGTAATGAGGAATCAACCAAAAAAAGTGCTACTAAAGATTACTACAGAGGGTTCTCAAATTTTCTGTTGAATGGGAAAACAGGACATTGGAAACTTGTATGATAGGGTAAAAATCCTCATGATACATTTAATTCAAATTGTGGGAAAAGTACATGTATATGCATTAGTGGTTACCCTGAGGTAAAGATAGCTGGATAATGACAGTCTGTTTTTGTTTTTGTATTTTTTTTGGCACATTTAGTTAAGAGTTTAAGACCTTTTGTGGGCTAAAATAATTATTTCCAGGCAAATATGTTCATACATTAAATTCAGAAAAGTACCTGTAAACATCTCTTAACTTGTCAACTTGTTTCATATTTTTGCACAGTTTCTCCTTGATCTCATCTGCCTTGTTGGAGTAGCCTTTCATGACAGTATGATCTGATTCAACTTTACCAACTGCTGTATCCAACTCTCTGTACAAGTCATCAAGCAAACTGAAGTCCTTCATCAGCAACTCCTCAATAGCTTGTAGGTTAACATTAAAGTATGTATCGTGGAGCAGCAAGAGAATATACTTGTAGAGAGCTATTGCACTGTATATGGCATGAAGGTCACTCAGACTAGCAGCCCCTGTTGCAACCTTTTAAGCAAATATGAATAAGACTAACTTGTTGGGTAGGTAATAAAAAGTGTAGGTATTAAAGTGGTACCCACAACAGCTATGGTATGTTGGAGAGGGCAAAATATCAAGGGCATATTGAAAATCACTATATTCTGTGTATGGCTTCAACACAAGCTATACCCTGACAAATTGTGATAAATAATTTGTAAGGACCCCATTTTTGATCTAGGACAGATAATATATTTCAGTACATCCATTAAATTGCCACTGACAGTATTGGATATCACTAAAATGCAAACTTCAGTGACATAAAACTGTTCATTCAACATTGCATGGGATGGAGAGGGGCAGTACTCAAGGAGAGCACAATTTTCCAAGCCTTACAAACAAGGTTACAATTACATATGTATCCAATCCCTTTCTGCAATTGTGCCAGTAAAAAAGGCATCCTCCAGCCTACTAAAATCAATGAGCAGAAATTAATAATTTAAATTCATATTCATAATGTTCATTTTTAAGAAGGTGTTGCAATCATTGCTTTGCCTCATTTTGGGTGAATAAATGTATATTACAAGACTAACGACTTGCCTTTTGCATCTTACGCTCTACATCTGGACATGATTTCAAGGCCTTCTGAATGTCCTCAGCAAGATGCCTGTTCATACAAAAGAAGTCAACTACATTCAATCTCTTTTGTACCACATCAACATCATTTGAGGGTGCACAAAGGCGGGAATAAAGCAGTCTTTGCCCTGATGCAGTTGCAGTGTTATTCATGACTCCAAAAAGCGTAGCTTTTGAGTCTGTACCCACCAAGGATTTTGTCAGTTCCAGAGCTCGTCTTGTATTTGAATCTATTGCCATATGGGTTTGAAGTGAAAACTTGGATGGTTGATTGAGAAGGGGAGCAATGTCTCTCTGAGTATAAGATACAAATTTTAGAAGGGAATATCCAGCAGCCATCTCTAAGGATGAAAACTGTGAAAAGTTTACAGACTTCAACAATCTTGCCAATGCACCATCTTGATGTGATGAATCCACTGTGAACCAGTCTGAAGGGACAATGGTGAGGTGATAATCCCTCACATTCTCTAAGGAGGACTTTTTGATATTTATCCCTGTTTTATGATTGTGCTTTGTACCTAAACTTGTCAGGTGTTCTTCAGCCATTAAAATCTGTTCCAGTGAGGACATTGAAAAAGAAAAGATTAAGAATTCTGACTTTCTCATTACCAACATAATGTATGTCCCTGATAATGGATTTAAGTACATGGAACCCTTGAAAAATATTTTTTCAGTTCTGAGTAGATCATTGTCCAGGTTAAGGATAAGATTCCCCTTGAACTGATCTGAATTTTAGTTGTACTGGCAATGGTGGTGAAACCACACTTAAACACATTGAAATGTTATGTCACAGATGAGATACATTCATTAATTCTCTGGTCTTTTGGGTCTCTTAAAGGACAAGATAGAGGTGGACAACCCAATAAGAGTTCCATTGTGTACATGATTCTTTAAAGAGCCTTATTTAGGAGTGCTAATAGTATTATAGAACAGAACAGAACCCATACCCAATCAGAATTTTAAGCTTATGCTAATTAGATAACATGCCTGAACATTATTGGTAATATCCTATAAGGATGTGGTAAGGATGAATGCTATAGTAATGATGTATTATCATTTGACCTGTGACATATTCACTTCTCATAAGGATCACAACCTTTATGTGCAAACTGCTGGTCATCTTAAGGTGTTGAGGTTCACTTGCTAAAGAGTTGCTTTGTGTTGAGCCTCTGACTGATTTAAATCCATTGCTGTTGTATCATAAAAATGTGTCCAAACAACTGTTCCACTACCTCAAATAGCTAGAAACAGTCACAACTATATTAAGTGGTCACCCACCGCAAACAGCTTTTGGTGGGAGCTTAATACAGGTTCTAAAGAATAGAGTATTATAAAGAAACAATATAAAATGTCATTTTATGCCATAATTGACCACAAAATGTGCTCACTAATACAATTAACACTGATTTTGGCAAATATATATGGATTACATGTAATATTACATGAAAGATTATTCTTAGTTTTATTTGAGTGGGTTTGCTTTCAGTGACCATTCAGTACAGGTGGAAAACAGTACAAAAAGGCTGTTGGGACTTGGTCAAAGGTTACCACAACTGCTTACTAGAGATGACTATACAATAGAGGTGAAAAATGACACTAGATAGGGGGTAAAAATTTCAGGACTTTGACAACTGAACTCCTTAGACAGGGTGACTGCTTGATACAGTGCCACTTGATACAGGTTCAACTGTATGTAACCTGTTATCAAATCAGAGACTACTTTACAATCACACTTAGGGCTAACCGTAACCCTAAAGCCAAAAGAATGTAGAACACTGCCTACTTTGATAAATTTCAAGTTAATTGATGTGATATCTATCAAATATTAATGCTAGAGCAACAGATCTTCCAAATGCTGAATCACAGAAGAGCATAATACTTCATATGTTGGCAAGCAACCAGTTGACCTCATCTCCTGAAGAAGACTAGCTGTATGTAGTTATGAAGAAAGGTTGTGATATATATTAGAATTGACTGTATTGCATGATACAATGCCCACCTCTGCTGGATTAATTCTTGACAAGTCTTCCTCCAAATTCTCTAGGAGCGAGAGACCATGGTGAAATTCACCAGTTGACAAATCAAGCCAGGCAAGGCCAAGTGAGCAGTCTGGTCCACAAGCAATGCTCATAAGGTAGTTTGCATCAGGTTTGAGAGGATCAAGCAGTGTTCCTGGTGTAACAAGTCTTACAACCTCACGATGAAGTAGTTTAGATGTAGACGGTGTCCTGTGAGAGACATATTTATGATAAAGCAATAATAATTTCCTTGACCTAGTAGTTGTTATGGCATGATTCTCCTCATAATCCTTATAAGTTGTACCTGACATACTGAGATATTTTACATTCAAGTCCAGATTATCATTTTACCCACTTTTCTGGAAACTGTGGACAGATTGCCAGTTGAAACCCCTGCTGAACAAGAGTTGAGAGCCAACTATCCAAAGACCTAACAGGAAAGCCAGCCATTAATTTGTTAACATTTGGATTTCTCGAAATTCGCAGAGAAGTTTTCTCTGCAACTTTCACAGCATCACCACTGTAGATTTCATAAAAATCCCCGACTTGGAAGAGTACAATGAATTCAGGATATTTGTTCTTTATTGAGAGATACTGCTTTGACAGACCAGTCATCCTAGCAGTTTTGTCTGATGTTGTACAAGAGCTGGTTGCTGTAGACTTAACAGCATCAAAGAAAATTCCCTTCCTAGAAATAAGGGAGAAAATTACTGCATTAATAAATCCACCTTGAACTATGTTTAAAGTGGGGAAAGGCAATGATTCTAATCCAACTTAAGCTGTAATTGACAATTGGCCAACATGTTTTTTGTCAGGCCTTTGAAATACTTAATAGTGTTCACAGGTGATGTGTTTGTAGAGTGTTGCTGATAATTTTTTCAGTTACAATTGGTTTTGAACTTGGTAAAGAAATAAAGAAAGATGTCTTTTAGTCTTGTCATGAGCATGGGACAAAGAAAAATTCTGAGTCCCACTAGGAATTGAACCTAGACTTTTTTGATTTGGTGCTGTGATGCTCTACCTCTGCATGACAGATATCACAAAGTTCATATATGACATGAGTCCCAAATGCTGCCAGGATCAGCAATGTATGCAGCAGTATCAGCAGTATATATAAATTTTGTAATGGACCTTGCTCATCATAGAGTCTCTGTGCTCAATGGTAGAGTACCACAGCATGGAATCCAAAGGTTTGAGGTTGGATTCTTCATGAAGATCCAGAATATTTTCTTTGTCCTACGCTTGTGAAAAGACCAAAAGACATCTTTTTATATTTTGTTACTGAGCTAAAAACTTGCCATCTTTTTCATTCTTTTAACAAAACATGACACTAACGACATTGCTGATCCGAGCAGTATGCACATTGTGTGTAAACTTGGTAATGGGCTTGTTTACCATAGAGCATTAGAGCATAGAATCCAAAGGTCTGAGGTTCTATTCCTTATATTCAGACCAAGATGTAATATAGATATGCATTTTTTAGAGCTTTATTCATAATCCTCATAGATTTTGTTTATCTCATATCAACAATCATTAACCACGGACACATAGTATGGTCTGCGTGTGCTCCTTGTATACAAATATCAATATCTGGCTGGAGACCATTATATAGTTTACGTCCACAAATTTTGTGAGAAGTTGACCTTGAATCCCCGTCAGTTTGGCTCTGATGAGGGGCTAACGCTCGAAACGTCAGCTTTGAAACTCTTAATGGTGGCCAATTCACGTTATCAACTCAGGAGATGAATTTTGTTCGTTTGTCTCATGATAGCGTCACTTATGATGTAGATCGCGACGTTTCGACTGCAATACTGTTAGTCTTCATCATCTGATGAAGACTAGCAGTATTGTAGTCGAAACGTCGCAGTCTACATTATAAGTGACTCTATCGTGAGACAAACGAACAAAGCTCGTCTCCTGTCTAACACCACAATGAACAATAAGCACATACTTTATTACGTTATCTACTCAGTTAATAACACCAAATCACCTTAAATGATACACAGAAAGTGTAATCAAGTTAAAAAGTCGGGGTTAAGCAAATTCTGACTTCGGGATGCTTTAACACTGTGCTATTACAGGTATTAGCTGTAAGCCTACCTGTAAAAGATATTAATACTTCTGCCGACAAACAGTTTGGCACACATTCCTGTCATTACTGTTGTAATTCCCGCCAACACTCCCGCCATGTTAAAATTTGAGAGCCAGCAATATAAATTCTTAGCGGATAATAATTCAACCTCTCTTGTCCATGTACTGTAATGTGAGGTGTCCAAACACGTGGATGAGCGTAAACACTGAGATGTTTGGGCCTAATGCGGTTCCTTTTCATTATTTGGAAGGTCTAAGACTAGCTTTGTATACACCTGATGAAAGCGAAAAAATCAGTGTTAAAAAGTTAACGAATCCTGAAACGTTTGATGCGTTGTTACATCCGAATTTTGGAGGTCTTTATGACCCAGCATTAGGTCCTACAGATAAAGATGACTTGTGTGGAACATGTGCACAGAACTACATTTACTGTCCTGGACATTTTGGTCATGTCGAGCTTCCATTACCAGTGTATCATCCATTATTTTTCAAAGAGTTATTAGCGATTTTGCGGTCGTCATGTTTCAGGTGCGGAGATCTTTTTTTTTCGAGAGCTGTCATGCACGTCTTCTTAAGGTAGGTCAGATGGAGTCTATACTCATTAGCTTTGTGGGTAAAAGTTTCCTTTAGGCATTGTTTTCATTTATGTTTCAACGTGATGCCATTTGATTTTTTTTTTCTGGCATCAAATTTAGGGCAAAGATGAGGTTTCCAGTACATGAATTACAACACAGTATTGACATTATTATGCAGTCAAGTCCTCTTTGCACAAATCATTAGGGTATGAAAACCCAATGGATTGCCCTGAAGACTCAAAAATGCCTCTTTCTTTTCAAGTTACCCAAAAACATATGCCATGTGTAAGATTTCCATTTTCTCTTGAATGTTTTCAGGCAATATGGCTTCCCAGTAACTGATCAGTTTGTTGTTTGTAGAGAAATTCAAAAGAGAAGTAACAGGAAAGCAATCAACATATGCAATGACTAAATGCCTGGCAGCCAGGCATGGTCTCAGATAGACTAAATGCCCAGCAGTAAAAAGTTTTCACACAATTTTCATGAAAAGGTTCTTTCAAACTTCTCAAGAGTATTAGATGTTTGATAAGAAATGTCAAGTGATTCCAAAAATTAATATGGTTTTTTAGTGGACAAATTCTCCTAGCTTGTACAATTACTACAATATCGCTCGGTTGTCAATGTTCCATGAAACCAGCCAGACCTTCCAAGCTTTATAACATGTTTATGTGGTTCAAGCTTGATTGCTGAAAAACCAATGCAATTTTTTACATTGCTTGACATTTCTAAGCAAATATCTGATACTCTTCAGAACTTTGAGGGAACCTTTCAGTGGCATTATGGTGAATATTTCTAACTGGTGGGCATTTAGTCCATTTGAGAACATGCCTGGCAGTCTGATCAGAAGTATAGAATTTCCAAGTTGTCAACAACCAAGTGATATTATAGTATGCACAAGCCTGGAGAATTTGTCCACTAAAAAACCAAATAAATTTTTGGAATCGCTTAACATTCCTTAATAAACGTTTGATATTCTTAAGAAATTTGAAAGATTCTTTTGGCGGAAATTGCATGAAAAATTTTGACTGCTGGGCATTTAGTCTATTTAAGACTGTGCCTGGCTGCTGGGTATTTAGTCAGCCATCAACATAAACATTACAAAATCCCTACATGATGAAGATTAACTCATTGTGAAAGTTGTACAGGGTGATTGTTAGTGCAGTCAAACTTGATGCTCAATTTTATTGTTTGAAGAGAAATCCACTGTTTCAGACTTTTGGGCACATAAATTTTATCTGGATAAGATAAAGCTAGCACATAAATTTTATCTGGATAAGATAAAGCTAGAGCCAAAAAATTTTGGTCCTTAAGATAATTTGTTTCTTAACCTTTCCACTGATTTTACTTATTCAAGTTGGTTCTTCTCAAAATAGCACCTCAAATTTTTGTTTTTACTAATTTAAAACACTGATAAAGGTCTACCCTAACCATAAGTTTGATGCTTTCTGCAAAGAAAAAGTCTCATAATGACATGTTCCCCTAATCTGATGAAGCAGTCTATCAACATTAGAAGTGAATTATTATGGCTTCCTATATCACTGGTGTCATTCCAAAAAGTTATAAGGGGGAGAAAAATTGTGGCAATATCACAACTTCACTTTATACCAACAAATGTTGATATTCACTTTAAGCACTTACTAAAATAAAAACTCTGATTGTGAATGATCTTTGATGATCAGCAAGCTAGAAACCCTTAATTTTGCAGGATCAGTTTAACTGTCACCATATTTTGTTGTGTCTTGCAGCCAGATGAAAGTGTTAGATTATGGGTTAATCACAGTTGCTGAAGAGCTTCAACAAATTGCCTTTGGTACTCTGAATTGTCCGGACCCCCTTGATAATGAGCAGCAAAGTCAGCCTGAATATATGTGCATAACAGCTGTGGATGAATATTTAAGAAAGGAGTTAAAAAATATAGACAGGAAAGAAGCCAGAAGAGAATCGACTGCTAAAAATGTCACAGATTGCAGACATCGAATTAGCAAAGAGTTTATGTATACTCACATGGTTAACAAAAGACGCTGTTGTCCAGGATGTCAAGCGCCATCTCGGGATGTTAGAAGTGAATACAACAGTCGTGTATTTTTAAAGGGTTTATCCTTGCGAGATGCAAATAAGTGGGTTAACACTCAATTGGCTAATGCACACTTGGCTAAACATGATTCACTTTCAGTGACTAATGACGCAAATGAAAATAGGGATGAGAGAGGTAATGGAGTTAAATTATTTTTTTGTTTTTTTTTTAGTTGTTGATATTATTTCATGATCACACTTCCCAGAAATTTTGATTAAAGAGGCTTTTCTTTACCAGTATTTCAACTCTCAATTTTCCTTTCTTCTCTGTGATAGTTTGGTTTGAAAAGGGCAATGTACTTTTTTAATAACCATGTCTCTGTGTTTGCTTTTATGTAAACTTGTATTCAATGATTTAATAGTGTATTATACATTCATAGCATCCAGTGTTTTTTGAATTGTTAGACTGTATGATCAATGATGCTGATAGTGAACAAAGTGTTTTTCAGTCAGATGTTTTCCAGTGAAAGAAAATTACAATAACCTTAGTCTGCTCCTTATCGTCAGTCTACCAGCCATTATGTTTTTTTCCTGTTCTTTAGAGAACACAAACAATTCAGTTGAAGATGCAGCTAAAGGAAGTGATGCTGATATTAAGAAACTGTTGGCACAAACTTACCTAACTCCACTTGAAGTGCGAAAACAAATTTTTCAAATTTGGGAGAAACATGGTGGATTTCTTAGCATTCTTTATGGAGCATATCCATCTCCAACAGCAAAACGGAGGTGCTGTTCTGCAGATATGTTCTTTATAGAGATCCTTCCAGTCGCACCATCAAGGTTTAGACCTGTAAGTATGTTCTCCTAGTTTCTTATTCTAATTGATTATTAATCCTTCAAAGGACTGATCAATTGATGTCTAAGTGTATCCAAGAAGTGTCTGTTGAAGGTCAATTATGTGTTTTTACTAAGGGAAGTGCATTGTGAAACTTACCAACTACAGGGTAATGTATTCCCCTTTGCTTTCCAGTGTTACAATAAGCCATGTTCATTTGATTTATAGCATGGTATCTGCTGTTTCACAAGAATTTTTTTTACTTTATGATATGTAGCTTTCAAAGGTTGGGGGAAAACAGTTTGAGAATCCACAAACAAGAAACTTAAAGAAAATCATGGAAGACTGTGTACTTGTCAGAAGCTGCCTTCAGGATTTAAACAAACCTCTACCTGATGATCAAGATGCACAAATAGAAAAGAGAAAGAAATCTTTTGTATGTAAATTATTTTTTCAATATTTCTAGACATCCCTATAAAAAGATTTTTTTTGAATTTATTTTTATTACTAGCATTGTGAAGCCACACATAATGAAACATTACATTTGAAATACTAACAGTACTTACATTACTATTTTACATTATTCAAAATACAAATGATGATAATGATAATGGCATAACACAGAGCACATTAATTTACTATTAATGCATGGTTGACACACACCAAAAAAACTATTGAATCACAAACACAATTGAATTTTAAAATATTTAAATGCATTATTTATATGTGTGTGAGTTCAAGGAGAAATTATTAGAGAAAGTACAAACAATAAAAAAAAATGACAAAATTAAATAAAGAAAATAAATAAGTAAGGGAAGGTTTGGAAATGTCAGCCCTGGCAGGACTAGAAGTAATGCAATCTGCTTTAATGATATTCCCTGGAACAATCCACTATGTAATGATGTGGTTATTTGTCAACCATTGGTTTTACAATCTGACTTAGAATATTGGTATTATTAAATCTTAATTCTAAGAGAAAGAATGCTCCAGTTACTGTACCTGGTAAGACTGCCACTGAAAGACTTCACAATGCTTGGCTCAAACTACAAACTGATGTCAACTGCTATATTGACAGTGATTTGGATAGAGTATCAGTCCTCAAATTCCCAGGAATCAGACAGGTAAGCTTCAGTAATCTATCTGTGATATTGTACACTTAAAGTCTGCTCCTAAGAGAAACACTTAGATTTGTTTTCTTAGAGGTCTCAATATTTCCCTTGACTTGTGTTTGTAAATATTGAGACTTGCAGAATAACAAAACCAACTGTTTCTCAAGGAACCAAACATTGAGTACCAGTACTTTGTTATACATCCAGAGGACAAACGTGGTAGACAAGAAAAAAAAATGAAAATTATAACAGTGATAATCATGACTGTAATAGAGGGTACTACTCAGTACAGGTGAAAATAACAGTAAATAAGGGGTAATAAACATGGGACTTTCGGGACAGACTGCTTAAGGTAGGATGATCAAACATGTAATAAGTTGTTGCATAATACAGGTTTGACTATATAAAGTAGTGTAGTGTATTGTAAGCAAGGCTAGACCCTAAAATGTCCTAAAAATGTCCTTAATGGCAAAGAATCTTTGCCAAAATTACTAATAAAATACAATTTAGTGAATCTGACACACCAAAAGAACTTTTAAGTAAAATGGCTTGTCACGAGACTATGGTAACATGGAAACAAGGCTACACCATAAGCTGCCTTAAAGCTTGTTAGTAGGTGCTTGAAAACTTACTAGGCCTTAAGCATTACATTCTAGGCTGCAATCAGTTTCGTGGCATTTCACCACCCCTAACTGCTGCACCACTTCACAAGTGGTAGACCATACTGACTGTTCTAATGCAAGCCCAGAATATCAAGACAAAGGTGGTAGGTACAACTGGAAAGAAGGTCATGTTGCCTTGCATGGGGCCCTACAAACCAGCAGCCCAGCTGCAAATGGCTTGTCAGGACCTACAGCATGTAATACCAGTACTTCATTACAGCAAAGTGCATAATGACCCAGGTGCAAAAATTGGCACTTTCAGTGAGCCAATATTTCTGGAGGCTTTGCAGGTAAAGAGAAGCTGGCCTGTTGGAAAGTCTAGCATCACAGCTTTTGCAGATCTGGGTACAACCATGCACCCTACATCAAATACCTATGCCACTATGAAAAAATTAGTTTGATAGCTGTATCGGTCAAAGATATGCATTGCAAGGGTGAGAGATCTGAGACTGCGGAAGAAGTGAGTCCAATCGGAAAGACTACCCCCAATGCAAGCTGCATTAAAAGAAGTAATAATGCAAGCAAATAACTTAATGCTGATATGGAACAATCTGACAAGGTACAAAACAAGAGCTGCTGTCCCCAGAGACTTATGGGTTTTTATAACAGTAAAGCTTACTAGGTTGTTGAATACTGTGTTTGTTTCATTTAAGATAAGTAGGTTCCAGTAATTACTTGACAACAACCAATAACTGATGTAGTTACTCTACTGCTCAATCAAGTTAAGAGTAGCTGAATGCTTAAGAGAGATGCTCAACTAAGCGATATCAATGTTAAAGGGTAGGACTTAAATTCAAGAACATTTAATTGTGAAGATAATGGGAATGGGCTTTGTGCTGACAGTGATGAAGAAGACAACATTGAACTTGTTGATGACAATGAGAATGACGATATAATGATGATGATGATGATGAAGAGGAAGAAGAAAGTGAGCAGGGTGATGGTTAGGATGCCTTTGCCAAGGCTTAAATAATGTGGTGTTGACCATATTTATCACCTAAAAGTTACCAATATGAGTCAGGTGAACTTAAACACAAAGAAGAAGTAATTTTGGAGCAGATTTGTTGCCATTAACAACCATTTTAAGGCGTTTTAAGGTTCAGCCTTGTTTCCTTGGTGAGACACGAGTATCACATTCTACACCCATTGTAGCAATTTTTGTGCAAAAAGTTACTCAGATTATACCAAATATGAAAAATTTTGGTAATGATCTGTTTCAATTAAGGATGGTTTAAGGGAATGTTAAGGTCTAGCCTGGTTTCCATGCTTGGGTAAAAACATCGTGTTTTAAGGCAATCACAGCAGCTGTAGGTGCATGTAACCAAACTGCTGAAAACAATTTTCATGTTCCTCAGTGTCCACTTAACACATCTCGGTAAGTGGCTTTCTTTTTTAACAAGATTCCCACAGGATTATAAATGCTCCCAGGCTATTAAATGAATGATTGGATTATGGTAATAGTCTTAAATGTTGTTACAGATACTGGAAAAGAAAGAGGGACTGTTTAGAAAGCACATGATGGGAAAGAGGGTGGACTATGCTTGCAGATCTGTGATTTCACCTGATCCATTCCTGAATGTGGATGAGATTGGAATCCCAGAGGTAATAAAAAGTAGTCTAAGTGACTGATTAGTTGTATTTTTTCTCCTGTCTTGTGATTTTTCCTGTGTAGAACTTTGTAAAAAAGCAGAAACCTAAACCATTCAAAATTCCCTTGTTCACGATTTATTTTCTGTCCTTTAGAAAATAACAGTTGTAAGACTTACCTGTAGAAATAAGCAACAACTCAAAAACTAATTAACCAACGACATTTTTTGATATTTCAACAGCAGCTAAAAGAGGAAGGGAACTAATTTTGACATTCTTTGAAATCAAAGTATAAACTGGAAAGTGTTTTTCTTAGTATATACCAAACAGAGTAGTTGAAGTCTATTTTGTAAACACCAAGAATAAAATTTCTCAACTTCTGGTTCTTGTGGTACTTAAGCTCCCTAATGACTGAAAGAGTCATGTTTAAACTGACTGAGAATTTTGTATGAAATCAAGGGATATTGCAAAAAGGAATTCATTTTTGGTTACTCCAGGGAGTGAAAAGACCAATTTGTAAAGGTGTTAATTATCTAGTTTTCCATAGATGACTAGGGATAAGGCATACATTCAGACAGCCACTAAAATAAACATTTTTTTCCAAGAAATTTCTCCAAGAAATTTGCCACTGAAGTTTTACTGTATTTTTGCCCTTGCTAGGTGTTTGCTCTGAAGTTGACATACCCACAACCTGTAACTCACTGGAATGTCAAACAGCTAAGACAGGCTGTCATTAATGGTCCACTTCAACATCCTGGGTTAGGATCTTGATTGTATGCCTCCAAAAATTCACTGTGTACACTTATGTAAAATTAACTTTAAGAATTAATAATTGTTGAGTTAAATACACTATTTATGTTGTTCAAGAACAGTGCTACAAAATAACTTACTTTATGGCAATAGTTGTCCTTATTGTATAAAAGGTAATTGTGCATAAATTAATTTAGTTCATATATGCATGTGCTGTATCTTTTAGGTAGGTCTCACTTTGTCAAGGAAGCACCTTGTTTTGAACTCTGCTGCCTTTTTCCTGTTTAACAGGGCGACCTTTGTTGAAAATGAAGATGGCAAAGTAACTCTTCTCAGTAAAACTGATCCCAACCAAAGACAGGCGATTGCAAAGCGCTTGCTTACACCATCAACTGACATAAGAACTTTGGTTAGCCCTTGTAAGAAGGTAGAGTTATGCACCTTTCTCATTTTCAAAACACCTTGAACAAGCTGAAAATTATGAGCAAAAAAAATTTCTTAATCCTAAATGGGATATTGGTCCAAGTCTAGTCTAGACTGCTCTTCTGCCTGTGGTTTTCATGTCAGTGGAGTTTAATTTCACACTAAAGACAATGTTCAATTTGGACCCATGGTGTACTTTGATGGAAAGTGGCTCGATGTTCTCATTTAGCTGCAAACTGTAACTGAGCTTTACTCTTTTTGGAATGACACTAACCCCAAGAATTATACTTAATTTTGATTGTCAAAAAAAAGAGGATTTTAAGCTGACTATGAACCCATACAATGTAGAAAAGGAACTTTGATTGTTAATGACTGTTAATTTAATGTGAGACTTTCATGAAACCTTACAACTTAATCCTACTCTCAGATGTAAGCCTTTTCCATAAGATAGTGTAAACTTATTTTTTTAAATCTAAGTGGATATAGGTTATCTTTCATGAAAGGGCTGTTACTTGTAAAGAACTATTGAAACATTTGGTGCTAAAATGCAATGCTACAGAAATGAAAAGAAACTCCAAATCTAGGTGGAAAGAAAAGATTGATGGGAATTTAAGTGGTTGCTTTGCAAAAGCTAGAACGTTCAAAAGGAGAACCCTTCAGATTTAGGATTAGGATTTATAATTAGTGTAAAGGAATACATAAAATTTAATCTGGTTTTTGTGACTAAATTTTCAGTGAAATTCACCAAACTGATGACTTGGTTTGGTGGTTAGGGGGTAAGCTGCAGCATATATCTTTTTTAATTTTTATGATCCTAAGTTGACATAGACAGTACAGGTTACTTGGTGGCTTTGCTAAACAAGAGGGCAGTTTGTGGTGAGGAGAGAAGAATTTAAGATGATCACAATGAAATAGAGAGAATCCTCCAGAGTTTTACAAAGATGATAGTATTTATAAAAATTATTGTGGTCATTTACAGGTCTATCGACACCTTCAGAATGGAGATGTGTTGTTGCTTAACAGACAGCCGTCACTTCATAGGCCAAGTATGATGGCACACAAGGTGAGAAAATGAAACCCTTCTTTACTAAAAGCAAATAGTAATTACAAAGAAGTTAAATATAACTATCAGTAATTATTGATAATTCTTTAAGGTTTAAAACAGAAATGAAAATTAAATCATGCATCTTTTCTGAACCACTAGTAGACTTTATTCACTTGTGCTACCTGTCATTAAATCCTTCTCAGGGCACAAAGACCCTACTGAATATATTCCTCAATCTCAATGGATGGTTTTGTGGCTCAGTTAGTAGTAGTTCCCAACATGTATATAAAAAGCACAGGGTTAATCGCCATCAAAGCCCAATGGCAGTTTATATGCAAGTAAGGCTAACGATTTTTTTTTGGTTTTGTTTTTGCTTTGAGGCTCGTGTACTTCCTGGGGAAAAGACCATTCGCCTTCATTATGCCAACTGCAAGTCTTATAATGCTGATTTTGATGGTGATGAAATGAATGCTCATTTTCCTCAAAATGAATTGGCTAGGGCTGAAGCCTACCACATAGGTTTGTGATCAACACCCCAACTTTATAGCCTGTATCCATTTGACCTTTTTGGATAGTCTCAAGTGCTAGTGTGCATGTAACTGCACGAAGTAGAATACAACTAGCATTAAACTCAAGTACTGCAATATTGAACTGTTGGTTATTTTGCACTATAAAACAACCTGATTGACAGGTCAGCTATGCTTGTGTTTGAATTGTGTCAGTCAAAGGAGAAAAGAAAATGGACTGTACCATTGTTCTTGGTTCTTCACAGCCTTCTGCTTCTTAAGTACTGGTAGTATTTTCACCTATTTCTTATACTTTGACTTGACCTGTGGGTCATTCAAAACACTGCACAACTTGTTAAAACACTCAGAAATTCTACATATTTGAGTCTGTAGTTTGCATGTTGGAATAAGAGGGTCAGTTATCGATCATCTTATAATAGTTACACCATTTTAACTGGTTGAACCATTTTATTTTGGTAGACTTTTTTAGCCAACTGTAAGACTTTATGTAGTTACACCATGTTAACCAGCTAGATCATTTAATCTACTTACACCATTTTAACTGCTTGTAACATTTTATCAAGTTAGACCATTTTAACCGGTTGGACCATTTGATTTAGTTAGATCATTTGATAAAGGCCATTGTATTTAGCTAGATTATTTTTGCCAGGTGGACTGATTTATCTAATTAAACACTTTACACCTGTTGGATCATTTCATCTAGCAGTAATGTTTTAACAGGATAGGCCATTTTATCGAGTAAGACCAATTTTCTACTTTTGACAGTTTTATCTATGTAGATCATTTTAGCCAGTTAGACCTTTTGACCAGCGGGCCATTTTCTGTAGTTATACCATTTCTAACAGTTGGACAATTTATTCTTGTTAGGTAATTTTCTCTGGTTATACATTTAATCCATAAGATCATTTTTATTGGTTGAGGCATTTATGTTAGTAGGAACATTTTATTAAGTTAGACCATTTTAATTGAGCAGACCATTGTATCTTAATACACCATAACTGGTTGGACAATTTTAGCAAATTAGAGCATTTCATCTAGTAAGACCATTTGAACCATTTGGATCATTTAATGCAGTTACTCTATTTTAAACAGCTGGATCATTTAGCTAGTTTGATCATTTTCCATCAGGAACATTTTGTCCAGCATGACTTGTTGACTAGTTCTACCTAGTTACACCATTTTGACTAGATGGACAATTTTATCTAGTCAGACCATTTTAACTGGTAGCATCAATTTATCAAATTAGACTATTTTAATATGTCGGAAAATTTTATCTAGTTAAACCATTTTCACAGCATTGACCATTTTAGCTAGTTACACCGCTAAGACCTCTTAAACCATTGTATCTTGTTAGACCTTTCAAGCCAATGAGGAATTTTGTATAGTTAAGCTATTACAACCTTTCAAGTTAATTTTCTGGTCAAGCCATTTTAAACATTTAGGTTATTTCATCTACATAGACTCTTTATTCAGTAAAAGCATTTTATCTAGTTAGACAATGTTAACCAAAACCATAACCAAACAGAGTAGTTGAACGTCTATTTGTAAACACCAAGAATACGATTTCTCAATTTATATGATTTATCTACTTAGACTATTTTAACCATTTAGATCATTATAACTTAAATACTGTTTTAACAGGATGGACCATTTTAGCTGGTTTGGTAATTTTATATAGATATACCATTTTAAGAGGATAGGTCAAGTTAATCAGTTGGAACATTATCTAATTAAACCATTCTAACCAGCTGAACCATTTATCTAGTAAATTATTCAAGCCATTTAGATCATTTTGTTGGTTAGACCATTTTAACAGGATAAACTACTATTAATAGCTAGTCAAACCATCCTAGCTGGTTAGACCATTTTGTCTAGCCAGACCATTTTAAAGGGTTGGTTCATTTTAAACTGTTGAAATGTTGTGTTTAGTAAGGCCATTTAGACATGTCAGACCATTTTATCTAGCTAGACCAGTTTAACTGGTGAGATCAAAAAGAAGTAAAGCATGCCAAAACTTTTGCCACTTATTGAAAGGTGATCCAAGAAAAAGTTTCTTGAACACCCTAATAATGTTGGAAATTTTTTTTCTGATGTAATTCTAAGCAGACAGGAAAATTTGTGTAAATCCTGCAAAAGGGTGTTATTAAACAGTGTGGTTGGCTGGGTACCTGATGTGAATAGTTCTTACCATGATTTAGTTGGTACCTTTTAATTTGATTTGTTCAGCCAGCACAAATTTTCAGTACTTGGTTCCGAAAGATGGCACACCACTTAATGGACTAATTCAGGACCACATGGTGGCCGGAGTGAGGATGACCATCCGAGGACGCATGTTTAAGAGGTGACTGAGTCATGGGGTGCTTCTAAGACATAAATCAGAGTGTATGAAGACAGAAAAAGCACCTGACCCAAAGCCCCTCCCATATCCCTCCCACAGCCTGTAGTTTGGTTGTTAGAGCAACTTAAAACAATGAAAGCTGATGCAGGTGTAGTCAGTACTCTTTTGAGAAAAAATTTCAACAACTAGCTCCTGTCTAAAATGTTTTGAGACAGAAACTTAGTCCAGTATGTAAGGTCAAAGACTATTGTATATAAACTTTCAATGGGTAGCAAATAGATATGCAAACAACATTTTTACTTACTTATTGGCTTGCTTCTTTCAGTTGTAACCAGGAAAGGGTTTTAGTTGTGGGATGGGACTCCATTCAAACAGCTCATAGTTATTTTGTCATTTCACAATTTTTCTTCTCTGAAGTCTATATTTTTGCCAGGTTTCTTGGCTTGTATCCAAACTTAGAATGTGGGCCACTGAGTCTTGAATGTTCTTCAGTTTTGTTTTGTTATGCTGCGTAAAGTTGGTCTAGAAAATATGTGACCCTTTTAACCAATTAGTCACCAAACTTGGTTTTCACTTGGTCTTTTGCACTTCCCACACTTCAGGTTGTTTAATTGACTTTATTTGCAGTTCTGATTGTTTTCTTGTGAGTTTTATTTCGATTTACTGGTAGATTTGGTTTTGCTGGATACACTCAAAAAGTGTTTTATATGAAGAATTGCAACACAATTATATATCTAACTTTACTGATGATATTATGCTACTCTCTGTATGTATATTCTAATCAAAAGTCATCTTACGTGAATCAATTAAATACTTCACATATATTTATAATTTTTTTAGGTCAGATTATCAGCAGCTTGTTTATAGTGCTGTTAGTTTCAAGAACAGGAAGATAAAGATGCTAAGGCCTTGCATTGTCAAACCTTGTGAGCTGTGGTCAGGAAAGCAGGTCAGTGTTTCAATTGATTGTGTAAACTCTATGTGTTTCATTATTTAAATAGACCTCTTAAATTGCTAAAGTGGCAAGAGGTGTTTTAGGTCATACCACAGTCAGTAGATGCATACAAGACAGAGTGTATTGATCAATATAATTCTTCTTCAAGCCTTCAAGTTGAACTGTGGTGTATTGCAGGGATCATGGGATTTACCGTCTTTCTTCTTCCATGGTCCCCTTTGGTTTATGTAATAGTGATCTAGTATGTTGTTGAACTACATGTTGAGCATCATCTCATGATTGTAAGTTGTTTATGAGGTTAAATTGATTGAATAGTAAATTTGAGCTTATTGATGTCACATTACAAGGAAAGAAAATATACCTATGCTCTCTGTCTGGAGAAATTTCATTATGAAAAAAAGAGCAGACTTGAAAAAAGGAAAGGAAAATTACATTGTAAGCCTCATAGGAGCACAATGGATTTAAGAATATGGGGAGTCCACAATCATCAAATGAATTGTTATGAGAACGAGAATTCATATTCTTAGAAACATAATGGTTGTTAGACACAAAGAGCTTCAATTGTGTTATTTTTGGCTGTTTCACAGGTCATATCCACAGTCTTGCTTAACCTCATTCCAGAGGAAGCAAAGCTACTGAGCATGCAAGGGAAAGCCAAGATTGTTGGAAAAGTAATTATTTGCTTTAAAGTGTTTTTAAGAGTATTAGTCTACAGAGTCTACAAAGATTTCTCTTTTAACCTCATTACCATGAATAACTTTGAATAGATAAAGTTAACTATTAGTAAAGAAAATTGATTATGTGATGATTATATGCTTTTTTTTTTTTTCTTTTTTTTTTTTTTTTCGGATACTGTGAAATGAAGAATTGGATCACTGGTAAACCCAAAGAGCACTTTCTTGGATTATTTTCATTGAAGGGAGATATGATGTCGGAGGCAGAGGTAAAATAAAGAAATGAGTTAAACAAATTTAGTTGGTAATGTCACCATGACATTTTATATTCCTAAGGACTCTCATTCTTTATTGTTGATGCTTAGCATCCTGTATGATTCTTGTAATGACATAGGAATTGGCTGTTAATGTTAGATTGTTAGAAATTTTGGAAGTGAAAAATTTAGTATTAATTGAAAAATTAGTGAAAAAAGAAATAGACTCAAGCTGAATGTGACATACATTTTTTCAAAAGCCAAAAGTTTTTAGTGTAGGTACAGCTGATTAGAAGATGCTCAAGAGTTTCTTTGTGATCTCCACAAAAGGTACACATCGGAGAAGGAACCAAATTCATTTTATATAGGATTTTATTGGTGTAGAGAATACGATTTAAGATTTTGTATTGAAAGGCTCTCGTTCTGGTGTCAAGAGTGACTCGACCCGGCAATAGATAAATATTTTTCCAGTCTATATTACCTGAAATATTATATACGGAATTAACCTTATACAAAGTGTACAGAAGACAAAAACAACATAAAGTGTTCCTTGTGGCCACAAAAAAATCTGATGCACTTAAAATTTTTTTGCTAAAAAACACAAGCCACCAAGGCCATTTTATTGCTTTGCTTTTTACTGTATTTTTGCATTGTTTTACCATGCAATGGGGGAGATGCGGTGGCCTAATGGTTGCTACGCTGGACTCCTGGTCAGTAAGTCCAGGGTTTGAGACCTGACCTGGTTGTTGTGTTTGGTTTTTGGGGAAACCACCTTGCTTTCACATTTTCTCCCTCATCCAGAAAATGGGCAAATTGTCTAGGATGCTTGATGAAATGCTGGGGATAACCTTGTAATATTCTGACATCCCATCCAGGGGGTAGTAGCAATATTCCCAGTTACTTCATGTCATGGAAACCAGGATAAGTTGCAGCTGGATGTGCCACTTGGCTTGAGCACAGACTTTACCTATAGTGTAATACTGTCATATTTTGCGCATTCTATTGCCCTAAAATGGCTAAATGGTGTGATGATAGAACAAGAATGTTTAATATCCTATCTTATTCAATGGTGACATAACATATTATCACATATTAAGTGTGTATCATTTGTATTCACACATATGAATATAGGTGGTGGTTCGTCAAGGGCATTTACTCAGCGGAGTGTTGGACAAAGCGCATTATGGGCCTACTTCTTTTGGTTTGGTGCACTGCTGTCATGAGGTATTTACATAAAAGCTCTGAGGAAGCGGTATAATTAAATTTAATGAAATACAGAGGTTTTGAGGATATAGGTAGAGGTATGTATTTCAAATCTATTAGTCTCTTTGAGATGTGAGCTTAAAGAAGAAAGGACAAAAGAGAAAGAGTGAAAAGTCATATAATAAAATGCTTAATATTGACTGAGTTACTTGTTGTTTATAAGTATGTATGTTATATTCCATATGTATATAAATCATCTTTAGACTATGTCTTAGTGCCTTAAGTATTAGTCTTGATTGAGGTATACCAATATTCACAAATGTTGTCACCAATCACCACATAAATGGCATTTTTTCAACGAGTTTAGCTCTTAACTTATTAGGGATGACCAGCCACTGTCTCTATTTTTATCCAGGAAATTAACATATGGCCTATGTTTAAAAACAACTTGCCATCAGTGTGGGATGTTTTTTCTTTTGTATGGTTCTACAAACAAACAGTTTTATGGCTTTGTTTGTAAAAATAACAAAACTTTCTACCACCTTGAATAATTTTTCAAACAAAGACTGTCATTGTAACAAGCATAAGGTTTTGCAAAGTGGGGAACAGCATTGGATGATTCAAGCTAGATACCAGATACACACAACTTGTTGTAATTTTTATGGTTGAGTTACCTTATATATGCACTTAAAAAATTTTCAACGAGATGTTCTTATTGTTAATAAATTTATGAAAAGGTTTGCTAGGCCTGTTGTCTACTCATTGAAATTACTCTTAAATGTTTACTTTCTCAGTTGTATGGTGGAGTAGTAGCTGGATATCTACTTACTGCTCTGGCCAGAGTGTTCACAACTTTCCTTCAATATCAAGGATTCACCCTAGGTGTAGAGGACATCCTAGTCAAGGAGAAGGCGGACAACAAAAGGCACAAATTTATAAAGAAAGGGAGAGCATCTGGAGTTGAAGCTACAAAAGAGGCTCTTGGTTTGTTTGGTGACTGTGAAAGGTAAATGGTATTCACTAGGTGTGGACTGGGTATGGACCGGGTGTGCTCATGTTGACTACTTACTTGACATAGTCTCTGCATGCCAATTGTGACACAACCTAACTTTGAAAGGGTAGATAACTCAATAATGGAAAGTCACAATTTTCCTCGCTGGTCTTCACACATTTTCTTACAACAACAACAGTGAGTCTAAACACCACAACAGACAGAGGTTTGTTTTGGGACCAGACAGTTTATCGAGTGTGTATCCTACGTACATAAAACACTTGACTATTACATCAAAGGTATTCGACGGAAACACTGAAACAATGGTGTAGTAATCAGGAAGAAATTACAAAGACTAACGAAATATAGAAACAATCAAAACTTTCTGTGAGTGGGAGGGAAACTAAGACGTTCTTAGAGGCTAGAAATAAAGTTGTTGCTTGCTTGCTTGACTACTATCAAAACTGCACAGATACCTAAGCGGTGATATACTAGAGTAATTTTGAAATTAAAACGCATTAGTGTGGTGCATGGCAATTGGCTCTATCCAATTACTATCACTTGCATGCTGAAGAGAATGGTATAGAAACCATGTGATTTTGTCCCTGTTCTTAAAAACCATGTGCAACAATTTACAAATTACTGTATTTGAGATTTCAAAGAGTAACCTAATAATTAACAGCCTGTCTTTGTATAAGCTTAGAATGTAACTACGGACTCTGCTCTCTTGAAATCACTCAATGATCTGGCCTCATTCCTATCACAAACAACTACTGCTCTTGTTATCACTGTAAAGTTACAGGTTTCCAAAGTCTCCTTTAAAGATCTGGCAATCATTCTTTGATTATCTTGGCCTTTTCTTGCAATAGTGTACTGCTATTTTGTGCTTTTCCAGTAATTAACATTACCCTACTGTCAACCCAAACCATAACCCCAGTGCTTAGGAGTTGGCCTGTAGAGTGTTACACCAGCTATTTAAAACATAAGTATTTGTCCGTTGTGACCTACATGGACAAACAGGGCATATTTCTCTCCAACTGCTTCGTTTGCTATTGATGGAGATCCAGTTTAATGATACTTATTTTTCAGATATGAATTACATGAATACCTATCGTATCATTTTGTTGAAACTTAAGTTGCAATGAAATATGACATACTTCTCGCAGGCAATTAAGTTTTTCTAGTTTTGTGATCACTTTTTGTTATGGATGGTCCTAGTTCAACTCTGGAACAAAAGCTACAGGAGGCCCACCATAACAAGGATGGAAGTGATATGAAACAGCTTGACCTAAGCATGAAAAAGAAGACAGACCATTACCAAGACATGATCAACAGGGCTTGCATTCCCTTGGGTCTTCTCAAGAGGTTTCCTGAAAACAATCTTCAGCTGATGGTTCAGTCTGGGGCTAAGGGCTCCTCAGTCAACTGCATGCAGATTTCCTGCCTCTTGGGGCAGATAGAGCTGGAGGGGCGCCGACCACCCCTTATGGTCAGTGGAAGGTCTTTGCCCTCATTCCTGCCATATGATAGCAGTCCGAGGGCTGGGGGATTTGTTGATGGGCGTTTCTTGACAGGAATCAGGCCACAGGAGTATTTCTTTCATTGTATGGCAGGAAGAGAGGTACATTCGCAGATTGATATTAATTCATCCTGAATATTGGATATCTCTTAAAATTTTTCAAAAATTTGGTCTTGGTAATAGAGCTTAAGGCACAAGTTAAAGTCATGTTTCAGTCTTCGATATTCATAATTGTTGCTTCAATTGCAGATTTTTCAGTGTGAGTCGATTCGTCAGCCATCATCCATTCTTCAAATATGATTATTTCTTCTTAACGTGTCGTGTACAATGTCCAGCTTCGCATCATGTTGGAAGTGATGAATGAATATACCACATTACCTATATACTCCATTGCATGAAGTAAATGAAGCTGCGTTGTTGGTTTTGTTATTTTTAGGGTCTTGTGGATACAGCTGTGAAAACAAGTCGTAGTGGCTACCTTCAGCGCTGTCTCATTAAACACCTGGAAGGTCTCCTAGTCAATTATGATCTTACTGTGCGAGATAGTGACAGCTCTCTTGTGCAGTTTTATTATGGTGAAGATGGCTTGGATGTCATGAAAACTTCCTTTCTTTCGGAGAAGCAGTTTCCCTTTATGGCAAGCAACTACAAGGTTCTTTACATTTTTGTTTACATTTTGATCAGTGTCACACCTGTACATTTCTGACTGACAGAGAGCTTAGCTATACGTTTGACATTTTTGTGTAATCGCCAAACTGACTAACGGTTGTCAGCGATCTGATTTGTCGAAGAGAGTCGAGTCCCACCTCAGGTGGTGTAATTTTAGTAGGAGATGACGTAAGCCTAGGCCAATTAGAGATCGAACGCACGTTTTCTGAGAGTTTTCATAAATTTTAAGGTTTTCCCTCACAATGAAATCACGATATGAAGGGTATGTTCTGCTTGCTTAAAAAGAGAAATAAGATTAAAAGCTAGCTTTTTCGTAAGTTATCGGCTAATCGATGAAAAAAAATGACAATTTTATACGGTGACAACTTTTTTTAGTTAAAATGACTCCAGAAATACATGCAAAATACAGCGCCCTCATGGTTCCATGCAATCTAGAAATTGTATCCTTGGTGCTTAAAAAGATAAAACTGGCTATGTCGATGAAGAATTTAAACACGTTGTTGAGTTGACATATTTCAATTACTTGCATCCTGTAAAACATGACAGAAAAATTTTTAAGCATAAAAGTTAAAGTTCCCATAATGAATTTGTTTCTAGGTGTTGCACCTCTTTCGCTCTAATTATCCAAAACTGTATTGTAGAAATTCTCTATCGTCCTTTCGAGCCTGCAACACTGGTCCAAGTGTTTGCTCTATATAAAGGCGTAACAGCACTTGAATGAGCTTTTTAATGAAACAAATAACGTTTAATGGAATTTCTATACAAATGGTCGAAGCATTTTCTGAAACAGCTTTTGATTTAACTTTGTTCACATTTTTTTTTTTTGGATGAACACAGGCTTTTCTACAGCAAATGAATCCCAAAGCTCTTCTTCCCCATCTTCAGTCAGAAGAAGCACTCAAGCTTGAAAATAAGGTGTGTTGGAACTTTCATAATGAAATAGAACTTGAGAATCGATCTTTGTTGGTAAAACTTTGTGTGATTGGCGCCAGAATCAAGATTATTTGGATTTTACACAGTAATCGACAAGCTCAGTCTATCTCTTTCATAGTTTTGGTTCCATTAAATGAGTTCACCGTGTTCACCGTATGAATTTTCTTTCTTCGCCATTTTTCTTGATGTACCTCTACCTCTCAGATTAAATCCCAGTACGAGTACCGACCAATTGCTGCCCTAACCAGTTAATGACATAAAAAAATGCATTCATCGACAAAACAGGAATTGCAGATCGTTAGATATACTTCGTTCCCCCCCCCCCCCCCATTTTTTTGGTATCACCCACCTCAAATGCTGACTATTACTGATGTGTAAAAATGGGGCTAAAAATAAATATATTCAAAGAAGAACATTGTCTGGACACCAAAATGAGTTTGACATGATCTAAGGGTTTTCTTTCTTAATTTGCAATGTTTCCTTTTTAGATCAACAAAAAGATGAGGAAACAAAAAGAGAGTCACATTAAAAGAACCTCACCGTACCATTATTTTGCTGCAGACAAGTGTAAAGAAATACAAAATAGAAAATCAAGTGCTAGTCAGATTACGTTTGGGCGATCTGAGGTATGGGGGTGAATTACCTTGTAACTACCTTCGAAAAATATTTTTAGCTCCAAAAAGAATAATTATAGTAATGAAAATAGCAAAAGGGCATAATTAAGTTTAAAAAACGTTCCCAACATACTAAAGGTAATGAATGTCTATTCAAATTTGTTATTTTGTTTTTTTATTTTCTTCTTTTCCATTTAGTTTATAGATCGCGTAGGCAATGTTATTCAAGTGTGTCCAAAGTAAACAAAAATCAAGATTAGCATGAATAAGGTTATCTGATTTTTGTAGAGCAAAATAAGAATTGCAATGAGAAACCGAGAGGGGTAATAACTTTCAGGTACCACGTCACTGATCATCTTAAAGTGTTTGGCGGTCGATATTTACTGTAGCGGACAGAGTAATAGTAAGGAAAGGTTCAGTTGAATTTATTGATAAGATGAACCACCAACTTTTCTTTCCCCTTCAGACAGATCTCAAGATGATTGAACGATGGAATGAAGCACCCTTGGCTGTGCGCAAAAGGTGGGCTTTATCCCGTGACTCATGTTTCTTTTATTTTATCGACAATTCTTGCATTTTAGCAAGAGAATATAAACAGTTCATAATCTGTTGATTTTAGTTAATTAAAACTTGTGCGCAGGGATATCACTTGAATAGATGAGACCCTAGCAGACTGAAACCCAGAAACTTTTGAGGTATTCAAATGAGTAAATTTCCCTCGGACTTCTGCTCAGTCCCTTAAGGACATATAGCCTTGAAGGTGACTGGTGGCTTAGCCGCTTTGTGGTTTTCCTTTGGCGGGTTCCTTGAAATGCCTGAGATTCACTTTCTTTCCTCGAGGTGTCATTGAAGGCTTTGAAATCTTCCTCTATGTCGTGGTATAATTTTTTCCAACACATTCTCTTGTTACTGTACCATAATCATCAGAAGGATCAAGGAAGTTTCTTAGACGATCAAAATGAGGAATGTATGTCCAAAGATCCATCGTAGCAGAGGACTTCAGTGTATTCCTCTTGTGTAACATTGCCATCAGGGGACCCTTTAAGCGTGAGGGTGTGTTTTGTCACTTCAGTCGCACATTTTGTTACTTGCGGTCACTGACTTTCACTAAAGTGAGAGATACCTGTAGATGATTGTCTTTTAACTCTTCCATTGTAACATCTGTGTTACTGTTGACCAATGGAAAATAGTTTCTAACAGAGAGATCTTTTGGTAATTGGCGTCTAAGAATATTTGAGATGCTGGTTTGATTATTTCAAGGATGTGCCTCTATTTAAAGCATCATCCTTTGCATACGCATTGGCGTGTGAACAATTTATGGTCTGATTTTTCTGTCACTCCTCTTCCTTCTGGGTATGTAATGAAAACCTTTACAATTTCGAGCAATTTAGGAATCGGGAAGGTTTCAAACATTTATGCATTGCGCCCTTTTTATAATCTCAAATGTTTGGCTATGAATATGATCCTATTTCAAATTCCCTGTCATGGACCAATTATCCTCTGAGGTGAATGAGCTCGTTTAGCTTTTTGACCTCTTAAAGAGGTTGTCAAATAATGTTGTTTGTCTCTCTCAGTTGACTTGTTAATGAGTTAAGCAAAAATAACTTAAAGGAACTTTTTTTTCATTAACTCTTCAGCCATTCAGTCAAAGAACGCACCTTTGCATACTTAAACAGAGTGTTTTGTTGTTCAGGTATCATAAGGAATCCGCACGTTTTCCTGACCCTGTTTTGTCCAAGTTACAGCCCGACAGACACTTTGGAGCTGTTTCTGAGAGAATTTTCATGTCTGTCAAGAACTATATGGAAGGAAACCCTGACAAGTGCTTGACTGAGTACGAGTCGGAAGAAAGGTTAACATTGAATTCAGTCATTACAAATAGTTTTTAAAGCATTTTGCTGGGTAAATCTCAAGCGTATAGCTCTTAAAGTGTTCTTCAAATTGATTAATTTAAAAGAATTGTCCTCTCTCTAGCTTGAAGAACCCTTTTGACTGCAGCACAGAGTGGTTGTGATGACAGAAGTTTCCTACCAACCAACGCCTATTTTTTCCATTGTATCGTAACAGAATGTTTAGAGTCCAGTTATTAATAAATTTATCTTAACTTGAAAAAAAAGGAATACGTTATTTCAAAGCAAAATACTTGAAATTGTTTTGGCTCTTTTTAATGAGCTTCAAAAAGAATAAATATTGGCTAAAAACTATTGTATACGTCCTTTGCTCAGTATTCAACAATATCAAAAGGAAATACTGGAAAATTGAGCTCAAAGTGAGTGCAGTTGTTTTTTTCAGTTTGAAATTACCATCCAGTAAGTTCAAAAACCTGATATACCTGAAAGCGTTCCGTGCCTTAGCTGAGCCAGGAGAAGCTGTAGGACTGTTGGCAGCTCAGGTGATGGGTTGCCGATTTTTTCCTTTTACCTGTTTAACTTAACTTTGAATGTTTGGACAGCTGCTCTTCTTTGTTTGAAAGACAAAAAAATGATGCCCAAACTAAGCTCGAAATGTATGGTTCATTAAATTGAAGTTGTTCATTTTCATACATGTCATGTCTCCTACAAGAAGAATTCCATTTTAAAGAAATATAATCAATTCTTCCCAAAGCAACAATGGTTGCAAAACTCAAAAACATTACAAAAGATCTTGTTTCGTAAACTGTATTTTGAGCACAAGGTCATTGTTGTTGTTGTTGTTGTTTTATCAGTCTATTGGTGAACCCTCTACTCAAATGACACTTAATACGTTTCACTTTGCCGGCCGGGGTGAGATGAATGTGACTCTTGGAATTCCAAGATTAAGGTAATTGTTTAAATTTGTTTATGAAATTTAACATAACATGTGCCTTTTCGTAAATACTAGCTTTGCAATCTTGTCTCGTTAAAGCGAATACCTTTATTTTTTGTGGATGGAGCAGTTTTCAATTGAATTTTGAAAAATCATAACCAACCTGAAGTAACCACAACTAATAGTCAGGGCAAAAGTTAACATCATCATTTACCAATGAGAACTCGAAGTAAAAACAGGCAACCTGCTTGAAGCGCGGGAAAACGCGAGTGACCAAGTTGGAATTTGTGTAAAATTTGCGTTTTAATGATTGAGATGGCGGGTGAGTTTTCTAGAGCAATCACAGAGTGAGATAAAGCCTAACCAAAGCAATCCAGGATCACTTTCCATTCGCATCTGAAAACTTCGCTAGGCTAAAAGCTATAAACGTTTTGATGATAGAAACATTCGATAGAATATATTTCATGCCGCACGACAGCAACGAATCTGTTGTGTTTTTGAGGTCAGTCAGTCTCCAATTGATGTGTGATGACGGTGATAGTTTTCTAGTTCTTGTCGCGAAATGTGAATTAGACTTACTGAGATGAACTTAACAAACGCTTAGAATCCCAACCATATTCTTCTTCACTTTAACAGAATTTGTGTTTGACGAAATCGTTGAATTCTTTTGTCATTTGAATTTGGTACTTTTTCATATTGTAGTTGAATTTCATACCCACCACATTTACAGAGCGCTGTAGTGAATGTTATTTTATTCAAAAATACGCTCGCAGGGAGATTTTGATGACTGCTAGTGCAAATATCAAAACCCCCACCATGGACCTCCCTCTTAAACCAAGGAAGAGGTCACAGAAGCTTGCTAAACAGCTGCAAAGGCAATTAACCAAAGTTACTTTGGCGCAGGTACGACACTATATTATTTTTTGTCCCAAATGACGTCCTTTTCATATCATGACTACTTTATTGCGCTTTGTCTGATAGACCCTACTCCAAAATGACAACCAAAATCGAAACTTTATCAGCATGTACTGAAAAGTTATTTATTTGGTGTATAAAATATATAAATGAAACTCGAACTGATTTTTTCTGGGCTAAAACAATACCTAGCCCCACAAAACTTTGTAACATACACTCTCAACCTCATTAATAATTCATTAGATCAACTACCAATCACCGGATGTATACCACATCACGTTTGTGTGTTTCGATACCCAATGAAAAACAATACATCATTCTCCAGTGAGAGTTTGCACATCGACAACTTGCACAAAGTCATTGAATACTTATTATTCATAAGTAACCTTACTTAGTCCAGGCCATTTCCGATCCAAAGTCTTACTACTGCGGCACGAAGACAATTGTTGGGAGAAATGGGCAAAAGGGTAGGGACGATACATCGCACACAAGTCAAATTAGAACTCTTTATTTATTATTTGTTTAAAAGTGAGAATTTATTTTCGACTCGAGCTCGTTTTTCATCGGGGTATCCAAACATCTTGTTTCTCGGTGTTTAGATACGTCAATGTTACACTCACTCTCGATTTGGAATTAGTACAAAACAGAAGGTGATTATTTGGTAGCCCATGAAAAAGTCTGTTACTGATTGTGTAATGCTCAGGTTATTGGTTAAATACCTGAGGTATTGTCTAAGCGCTCTCTAACCTGTCTTGAAATTGGCATAACAAAAATAGCGTTCCTTAATAACACTGCTTCTGGTGGGGCCAATTACGACTCCAAATGTCTATTGTCTTCAGCGTGAAAGTAGCTAGTCGACTTTATGCTTACTCTACCCATTACATCTTGTACTAATGAAGGGACTGTTCTTCTGTCGTAATGTTGTTTTTCTACCAGATTAGCTGAATGTGCATATAAGTAATTGATTGTCTGCGCTTTCCTTTTTCTTTCTTGTTTTCTTGTTAAGCTGTACCATAAGTACCGGGAGTCTGGTAGTTGACGAGTACAATGACTCCACGATAGTGGACTGACTCTGAACACACTGATTGATTTTTCTTTTAACTTTGGTTGCCTATAAATATTGCTGAACATGTTCGTACGTTTCATCATTATGACGTAATGATCTATCCATATCAAAACTTGCCGTAGGCTCGATGACGAGTTGCTGAATTTAAAAAGAAGCACACTTCCGCCAGGCTTATATATAACACTGATTGAATTTTTTTTTTCCTCTAGGTATTACAATCTGTGGATGTGTGGGAGTCATTGCCATCCAAAACTTCTACTGGAACACGGTGAGAAACTCTAAACTGGCAAGTAAGGTGCAATAAAGCATGTAAATTTCAGCATATTAGGTGTACACTGTACGGCACGAGTAAATACACCTTACTCGGTTGTTTAACGTATAATACGCGTGGACATGTTGCGAGTTGCGTCCTACGTTTCCAAGCCCTGTACCAGAAAAGGAGCACTTGATCGCTAATTGAGAGAGAAAGGTTTACTTTCGCCATAAAATAAACTTTTAGAAAGAAGCCATACTTCAAAACAAAGACAAAAATTTTAATTTCCTATCATGTGACAGTTGCCGTAACTTTTAGGAGCATTTTCTAAACAGCAAAAGGAATTGGAATGTGCTTTTTGTCAGAAAATTTTGAAACTTGTAAACCTAAGCCAAACTGTATGCTTCAAACTTCATACTCTTCAGTGCTCTGAGTTTTTTTAAGCCTCCCCCCTTAAAGAAATCTGTAGTCAGATTTAGCTGGCAGTTTATAATTTTATGTATATTATTTATTATGATGTTATGTATGTTTCTGTTATACAGAAATCTTGCTGTTGTACTGTGAGACTTATCAACGCAAGTTCTTAAAGTAAAGTTCAAGTTCTTTTTGTTTTTCTTTAGAGAAAGGTGGTACCGCATCAGATTTCAATTTCTTAGCGAGTTGTCATTCAAGGTGAGACTATCTAAAATGGCCTTAAACGTGTACGTTATCAAATTATCACACTAGTGGTACTTTGCGTTTTTAAAACATTTCCAATATAACAAATTCAGTTCTTGCTTTGGAATAACGCTAGCTTCTCTTATCTTCTCTTCCGTGAGACAAAGCCACAGTAATATTCATTTTGTTTTTGAAATTTTTTGAAATTTTTAGGTTTTTGTAGCACAATTAACTCACAAAAATCGTTTCTGTTTTCTTTGATTTGACTGTCTTCTACCGCTTTTTGCGACTACATTGCCGAAATTGTCCAAAAATTATGAACCTAAGTCCGCTCCACTTCCTTTTGGCTTGCGCAGGATCATCTCGCCCGCTCGGATACCCAATCAGATCTTAGGACTCACTTAATATTGCCTCGTTACTCAGCGTCAGAAATTCCTTAAGCAAAGTAGCATTTCTGCCTAGTTTTCTTTTTTTTAGTTAAATGGACGATTTTATCGTATTTTTTTTATTCAAAGCTTTCGCCCGCTTACGGCATCCTTGGTGAATTTAACGATATATGTTTTTTACGTTCCCTGACAATGCCGTAGATCGGCGGAAGCTTGGAGTTAATAAGAGAGACAGTAGCTCAAGGCCTCAATGGAATCGTTCATTTAATCAACTTGCTACTAACGGACAACTTCAAACGTTCTCTTATTTCCTGTTTTCGTTTTATTGATCCTCTTTATATCGTCCGGCTTATTTAATGTCTGCGAACCTAGAAGCCGTGATTCTGGGCAAGCAGCAAAACATTCAATTTCATTCACCTTTGCGATTCGCGGCGACCTCAAAGGCAGGTAAAACTGAGAGGATGAAAACTTTCGTATGCGGCCTTTGATTGGTCATAAGTTGTTCTCCCTGGAGAGAAAAATCTTATGGCCCATCACATAGTTTCTAGTCTTTAACAGCCTTGTTTAGATTAAATCTCAGTATTCGTATTGCAAATGTTATTGCTTGTTCCGTTTGCTCATAATGATCCAGCGTTTACGTGGAATTTAGATTTCTAGTCGTTCCTTATCTTGCAGGATGAGTTGATTGTGAGATCAGAAGACGTTCTTCACCACATGGAAACAGTTTTTATTAAAAGAGTCATTGGGGCCGTCATTAAAGCCGCTAAAGTTAAACGTGGTGAAAGGTCAGTTTAATAGCCACCCTTGGTGGTTCGAGGGAATCAGTGGCGTGAGAGTTCAATTTACTTTGAGTGGACAAGAACAAGAATGAACCAAACTAAACGATATGTGAATGAAAGAAACATTTCCTTTCTCTCCTTCAGGACTTCAATTTGCAAGCAATCGTGTATTTCTCCAGATCACCAGATAACAGTTACTTGTCAGTTTTAGAACTTTCTAAGCATCCTTGTTCAGCACGAAGCAAAAGAAATGGCATCTTTTCTTTTTTGAGCAAGTAAATGAAGAGTTTCCATTTTGAAGCTCACACTATGCTATTTGTAGTCAAGGCACCTACTCATTTTATTTTTGTAAACTTTAGAACTATCGAGTCTGTGAATAACACAGAGCAGCAGAGAAATGATAGGGACGAAGAAAGAAGTACCCAGCCTGGTAAGAGTATTATACGTACCGTTTTATTATAGATACAGTCAAAGTGTCAGTGATTTTAAGTGCTTTCCCCCCTAAATTACCTCCTATGAATCCCAATAGCTTTCCTTGAAAATCTCCCTGAGCCCTGGGAACTTAAAAGGAGAATGACAATTACAGGGCTATTGACACCAATCGATATGACTTAGCTAATTATAAGTGATTGATCGAATGGATGCTTGTGTTTGCGCAAAGGTTCATGGAATCGCCAAGGGCTAAACATCGTATTTTGACAGAAGGAAATATTTGGGGAAAGATTATTTCAATATCCCTAAAAAACGATTGAGGAGAGAGATCATCGCTTATTTCTTCGCTCTCAGGAACAACAGCTCTCGGGAGGAATGAAATTTTCCCTATCCGCAACGACTTCTCTCCTTTAAGGAGGTAAATTCTCAGATTTTGCCATAACTTGATTATTGAAGATGGCTGTACACACGTCAATACTACTGAAAATGCGTTTTTGGGTTATTTTCCTCGCGATCTATAGTTATTTTTGTAATAGTGTGAAAATCGTGTGTAATCGTGAAAAAACGATCATCCCCTCCTAATTGGTTTTTTTCTGACGTCATAACAACCTTTTTTCATGTTGATCCTTCCATCAACTCGCAATATGTGCCCCCTGGCGATACCATAAACGTTTGCCCATAACACAAGGATCCAATTACTGGCAACTCATTCATTGCCATCTGGTAGTCTCGCTGAGTCTTTTATTGGAAAGGAATAGCTTGCGTTGACATTGTTTGCTAGATGATGACGATGATGATGACAATGCTGATCTTTCCGATGAAGAAGCTGCTGATGGTGATGCTAATGAAGCAAAACAGAGGCAGAGACGTCAGCAGGTGAAATGACTAAATGGCTCAATTTACATTGCGACTGAGCTGTAAAAATAAGGAAGTGTTGGTAATAGTTTTGCCGTTTATTTTAAAGAAACATGATAATTGCCACACTAATAAGGCAATGAGTGATACTTTTAATCGTCCTGCTTGCCGAATTAGTTCTCTCATTTTCACGAATGAAGCTCTTTCATATGAACGCTGCCCAAAGTAACCTTCTTGCATTGAACCTTTGATTGTATAAGTATAGGAAATCGTATGAACGCGAGTGCATTTCGTGATTTATGGGCACGAGTGATGTTTTGAAAGTTCTCAAAATTGCACGAGCCGCAGGCGAGTGCAATTTGAGAACTTTCAAAACATCACGAGTGACCATAAATCACGAAATGCACGAGCAGGTTCATACGATTTTTTATTTATTATATTCTCGGCCATTTTTTTATAATTTGGTGTTCAAATTTGGCGCTTCCCCGGTGTTTCCATGGCAACTTCTCCGTATTGCACTCTATAACCTCTATTGCACTCTATAACCTATTTATGCATTCATCATTGACCAATCAGAAACGCGATATTTTGTTGAGTATATAATAATCCTTAATATGGCATTATCCATCATGCAGCATGCCAGCTATGAAGCCCCGGATGAGGATGAACAGATGGTTGAACGTGAACTTGATGATTCCTCTGAAGGTAAACCGAAAAAAACAACGACAACATCCCTGTTCTTACATAATTACACTCAGCAAACTGTTCCTAAATAATAACACTCAGCGAAGTTTTAAGTAACGGTTGTCTGAGGTAAAAACTGAACACAGTCTGGTATTCAGCGTTGTTTTCTGTTAGTCGAATTTTGCTTGTACTTCGTGATTGTTAATCATTGAACTTGCTTTTAAAATTATTGCACTCTTTAACAAAAATTTCACCAATATTTTTGAAAATTTTGGTAAGTTGGTCCCTTATGTTTTACTCTTTTATTGTGTGTGGATGTCGCTTGAGTAGTACGTGGTCTTCTTTTTGTTGTTAATTTTATTGCAAATAGCGATCCTGGACATAATTCTACATGTAAAGTCACTGCTTGTAGCTTGCTACAGCTGATGTTTTTTTACATATTTAACTTAATTTCTTTTATTGAACAGATGGAGATAGCAGTGAAGCAACAATCAGCTCAAGAATGGACGCAACTATACAGGGTACACACTATTTGTACTATCTTTCGATGCAGCTTTCCTTCCTTTTCACTGGCTAAGAACACACCTCTTCACCACGCGACCTACCAATGATGGTCTTCTTGTGTGCAATGTCATCTGCTCTACTCATGCGTAATTGTGCCCATGCTCTCCCGTTGAAAATTAATTATCGTTTCTTCTAAGCCGTCAGGGAGAGATTGTTGAAATAATTGTGAAAAACAAACCCGATATTCCAATGATTGAACAATAGTTGAAATCGGTCGTAATAAAATATTATGATTTGTGAGTGTCTGGTAGATCTACCCGCCGTTGACAAGTCAACATTTTTTTCCTTGAACACTGTCACTGGTTTAGTTTTGGTTGCGGTGGTTGTGATTGAAATAAGAACGACTTATTTATTTTATTCATTATCGATATGTATTTGCGTTTTTATATGTGTTCATTACACTCTACTTTTTTAGTTACCATGTAAACAATAAGTTCCATTCGGGCAATGTCTGTTCCGAGAAGTTGTGAGCCTCAAGAAAGAGTCAATGTCAAAGTACAAATATGCGAGCACAGTTTCGCTCCAGATGGAGGTTACTGTGTTTATAATTCATTAATTTTTTTTCAGCGGGCGGAAAAATAGAATTTATAAACATTATACTATCAAAAGCGTTTACAGAGTAGATTTTGACTCCTAAAATTTTTGATATCACCTTTACTTTGTTACAACTGCAAAATTCAATTTTGTCTTCAATCAACTTTTAAGATATTCATCTTATTGGACGGACTTGTTTATATACAGGGGAATATCATTTGAAGAATGTCACTGTATTATCCACAGTTTTAGCTAGGTTAATATCCATTCACTTTATGTCGTTAAACCAAATGCGAGGGAGCGAAAATATTTGGTAGATTGAATATTCATCAGGTAAACTGCTTTGTTTTACAAGGAGGTCCAGGCCTGAGGAAAGCGGTAACTACACACATGCAAAATAGCAGCCAACTCTTACGTTTGTTTGATATCTGGCAAAGTTTAGAAGTAATATTATGGACTGTTCGCGAAAATGGAGGTTGTAGTCATTCGTCTATCTCTGTTTTCCAAATAGATGACGAAGATTTGAAATACAATGAAAGTAAAGGCAAACGGAAATCAAGGAAGACCGATGATGCGCGAATACAGGTAATCTGCTATGAAAAATATCGTTGTGACTAGTGTAGACTTACAAGGCTCTCAAACCAGGATTCTGTTTAATGCAAGTCCACAATTTTGCTACCCAGTCCGAAACCAAAACAAAAATGAGTCAATCATGATATATTGACATTTGGAGGTACGTTTAACAAATTTAGACAGGATGACTAGAGTAATAATTATTTTAAAATTTTGCCAATATCTCACATCCGCGCACTGCAAACGTTCACACTCGATTCAAGAGCGCGGAACGTACAGCCAAAGCGACTGCAGAATGGACACAGCTTACTTCAACAATCAGTTATGAGCACTTATTGTGTTATAGTCAATGTTAAACAATCATTCTGATTTGGAGTCTCAATTGGCTACAAACCCGTGTCTTTTGAATAATATTAATTACTTGAAAAAGCAAATATTCTCATGGAGAACTACTATACCGAAGCTCTTAATGTTTGTCAGTTGCTAAGTTGCATTCGTCGTGATAGCTGAATATGTTGAAATGCAAGCCCACAAGACTAAAAGTGCAAGAGACGCTTTCGTGATTGTCATATGAATCAGAGCTAACCACCATCTCTTCTATATCTCTTCAGCGTGTTTTGGAAAGTGACATTCGCATTGGAGGCTATTCTTACGATGTCAAGAAAGAAGAATGGTGTGAAGTGTCCTTGATGGTATGTTAGCCTTGTCTTGTGTTTTTACTTTATTCACTGAATATTCAGATATCCATACGTAGTCTCTCTCGCTTAAACCAGTGAACGTTTTGAAAAGCGAACGTTACATTTAAGGAAAAAAGATTTCTTTTCAAAAGATAACTTGAGTATGATCGCCAATTATCTTGAGTTTATTCGTCGTGCCATGAATTCCAAAGAGAACGACTTCATCAGGGTGCTTTCATGGTACTGATATATAGAATCTTATTTTTGCAGTTTCCTGCTGATAGTTTTAAGATACAACTGTCATCTCTGATTGAGAAACTCGCCTATAAGGTAAGTTTAAAAAAATCGGGAAACTTGTATTCACACGGGTGCGTTACCTTGAAATCTCTCACAACTTGGGTTATTTTGGGAATTGTTTAGTTTGTAGCGGACGTTGAAGGCTGAGGCTGTAAGTGACGTTTTCTTGCTCCAAGTGCACTGATATGACACAATGTAGCTCACCCAAGAGTACTCTGATATCTGTTGTACTTTATCTCTCAACAGAGTGTTGTCTATGAAACGCCGCACATAAATCGATGTTTTTTAATTGAAAATAACGATACCGTCGTGCTGAAAACAGAAGGAGTTAATATTCAAGTAAGTAGTGGTCGATGTCACCGAATTATATTTATTCCTTCCTTACTTTTAAGTTGGTAAATATCATGTCAAGTTGCGTATTGCCATCTGAACAGCCTATTGTTATCAACAAAAGTTGAATCCTTGGTTAAAACTACAATGAAATGACTTTAAACAACTCCCACTGTTTTGAAATTGCGGACAATTTTTGCGATCCCAGATCGAAAATTTTTTTGGTGTCCTCTCATTTGATAATTAATTTAGGGAGTGGTAGAAAAAGAATTCTCATCATAAATAGCTGACTACTGACTGATCAACTGCATCTTACTCGTCCGCCTCTTCATCATCTTAGCCTTCAGAATCGTTCAGACTGCTTGACTAACTTGCTGGTATACAAAGTGACTAATTTGGTTAATAACAGTGAGGCACGTGCTTGACCATTCAGACATTGCTAGACTATTATGGATTATTGGGGACTGATTGGTGTACTTATAAATCTTCTAAATGCTTTTTATGTACAGTGTGCTAATTGACGTATAGTATTAATTGTTGTTAAAACATTGTCTGGGTTTTCACTTGAAGTTCACAAAGCGAAGGTTTTGCAAGTGTTCTTCGTTTTTGTTGAAGCTTTGTGTCTTCATCATGTGATTAACGTAATATGTCTGTGCATGATGGTTTTTTGCTTTTCACTGATTTCCTAACATATAAGTATTGATTAAGTTTTCCACGTGCTATTTTATCAGGAAACGTGGCAATATGAAGACGTATTAGACTTGACAAAGGTGTATACTAACGATATTCATGCTATGGCAAGGGTTTATGGAATTGAAGCTGCAGCAAAAGTTATAAAAAAGGTATTTTTCCTTACTTTGTTTATTTACAAAGAAACAGTTTGTCAATAAAGTGGCTAACAGCAACAGAATAGTCAGATGGTAAAAAGGAATTGGAATGTATTCCTTTTGCTCAGTAAACCAGTTTCAACATGTCCAAAAGTCAACATTAGACAATGGACATCACTACAAGGCTCTGGTGTAAGAGCCCATCAAACACTGCGATTTATTTCCCAAAGCGTTTGGTGATGTCTGAAATATTATTTTACGCTCATTTTAAGTATCGAAATGATGAGATACTCTTTCGTCCGTTCATTGCTAGTCTAAGTTTACCTCACTGTAGCATGCTCGTGCTAATTCTGAATGTCAGAATGTCTGACTTTCTCGCAATGAGCATGCTGCCAAGAATTCTCACCGAATAATGGATGGTGTTTTCCTTTAATGCTCGCGAACTCTAAGTAAGTGATACATTTTGGATTCCAGTGATTTTGTTTGCTAGAGCACATCCATTTTAAGTCAACGTTGAAGCCTACTCAAAACTTATTATCAACTCACAGAGTGAAATCCTACGGCACCGGGTCCGGCACCGGTCAGAGTCGGGTTTTTTTAGCTATAGATTGCATCCTATATTATTGCAGTATGTTCAATCCTTATCCCCACAACAGTTCTTTATCTGTTTTCGCAAAAAACACCACATTAGTGTTCCAATAAGTGACTTATTGTTCCACGGTGAGTCCGAAAGTCTAATTTTTTTTTTCATTCTCAACGTTTCGTTTTTACTTCATTTGTTCTGTTCTAGTTGACCTTGAAAGCGCCACACTAATGAATCACTAGCCAATTTCCTCTATCGCTCACAATTCTCAGTTGGCAGTCTTATGATATCATTGAACATGAAGCCAATCAATTATCTCATGTTATCCTACTTTCACTTCCTATGTCCACCTCTCTCCCCTCCGTTTTTACTCTGGTCAGATTTTAAGTTGTTTCACGGTTTTCTTGTTTCTCAAGGAAATAAAGAACGTATTCAATGCCTATGGAATCAACGTAGATCCACGTCACCTTAGTCTCATATCGGACTACATGACTTACGAAGGGACAATCAAGCCATTTAATCGCCTTGGACTTGAATCAAACGCTTCTCCTTTTCAAAAAATGAGTTTTGAAACGACGACACACTTTCTTCGTGGAGCGGTTCTTTCAGGGGACACAGAACGTTTGGTTTCTCCATCTTCTAGACTGGTCGTTGGCCGGGTCGTTGAGAGTGGTACAGGATGTTTTGAGCTGCTGCAGCCGCTCTGCTAAATATTTGGCTTAAGTCCTTTGATCTTGTCACCTTTGGATGATTCGCAAATTTAAAGTCAAACCGCGATCGCAGGAAACGATTTCACCTTTTTGTTATAGCTAACTAACCCTAAGCAAATCCTTAAATAATACTCCAGGTAATTCTTTTTGGTGACTCGTGACTTATATGATACCGTATCCTCGGTTGGAACAATAATTGGCGAACTGCAGCGCTCAGACGCACGTAATGATAAGGCCAATCTCTTGAGATTTTACAAATGTTTGAGTTATGCAGAGATGAGCTACAGGTATAGTGAGTTAAAGATGGATTTTTCCAGTGAGGTAGATGGAGAAACTCGCATGTACAATTCTGATTTCACTGATAGGAGTGAGTTTCTGAGGCATTTTATTTTGCGGGAATGTATTATTGTTATTATTATTATTGATGGGAACTTACTTTTTGTGGATCGAGGAAAATCAGTTAAATGTTGTTGCTACATCTTGCTTTCAAGATGAGATCGAAAAACTAAAAAAGATTGACCGGTCTCACTGGTCGTTTTCGAGAACCATAACAGTCCGTACTCCACTGCTTCTGGTTTTTCGAGAATTCCTTAAAGTCAAGGCTAGTCTTTATCCCTCTGCTTTTCCTCAATATATTCGTTGTGATTCACTTTTTCCGTGATTGCAACAGATATATGAATTATCTCTCGTGTCTACGACCGGGAGGACCTGTTTGCTCGTACGTGGGTCCTACATTGTCTAGTTTACCCTGAAATGTACTTATAAATTATTAACTTGTCAATAGTGCACAGATATGATAGTATAGTCTGATCGTCCGGGTGAGTGTGATCCTGAGAAGGACTGTTGTCGGTAGTGGAGGCTGACGTTTCGACTACCTGAGCGGAAGTCATCAGAATCAAGTGAATAGTAGTTGTCAGTCGAATGTTCTAAGTCCGATTCGTATAAACTGATTGATCAGTTTTGCTGTGATGTTTTTGGCTTTAAGGCTCAAGTGGCGTAGGTCGGTTTCGATTCGTCGGCAAAGTTAAATCGTTCTGTTTTGTTCGTTTGTAACGTTAAAGAGTCGTTTGTATGGTGCCGGAGTAGTTGACACCTGTTGAGGAGAGTAGGTGAGTCTGTTCTAAGTTACTAAACCAGCTTTCCAGAGTCAGTCGTTGAAAGTAGTTGGTTTTGTAGGTTAGGCCTAACCAACGAGTGACCTACTGACAATGGAAAGCTTGTTTACTAACGTAGAACAGACTTCTTCCACTCAACAGGTCTCGGCTACTACAGGCACCATAGAAACGACTCACGCTTACCCGGACGATCAGACTGTTACCTCCGGGATCAAACCATTTATTGTAGTGCACAGATAATTATCTTCTAAGCTAAATGTCCGAGAGGGCCATTTAGCATGCATTTGGGTGCCCAATAGGAGGACGATAGTTATGTTATAGGTATATTAACAGTATGTGTGGCTTTTTCATTTCTTGTCGTAACCAGTTGAGTTTGAAAAAGTTCAGGGCCTAAACGTACTACGCTATCCAACGGATCGCGATTTATCTAGTGGTTAGTGTTATCCACCCTTCGAACAACTGAAGCCAGGTTAGTTTCTGTAAGATAAACCACGATCCGTGGATCCATGCTTGTAGCTGTCGTTGGAAAGAGATGAGAATAGAAGCCATAGAACGCCATAGAACTCTCAACTGCGTAATCAGAAAACTGAAACAAGACTAACATCGTAGTGTTTATAGTAAATCAACTGTTAACCGATGTCGTATCTCAACTGCAACAGTCTGTAGTGTAACCACAGATTATGTTGACTTATGGATATGGAGGAAAGGTTATGTATTTTGACCTGTTCCAGGTCAAAATATAAGATGTATACTGAGAAAAGGTCCTGCACATTGGTTTTACTGCCAGCGTTACGTGGATGCTCCCACGATGGTTTCCTACGTAGATATTTCAAATACTTGGACGTTTACATTCATTAATCATAACCATTAAAATTTCCTCAAATGTGATTGGTGTATTAGCTGCTTTATTATTCACTAATCGTTTTGTAGAGGTGTAATGGAACAGTTGGCTGTAATCGGACACCTGCAATCGGACAATTGAAGCAGCCAATCGTAGTCCTTTCGGTCAAATCCACTAATCACAGAATTTGTCACAATCACCATAGCAACAACCACTTATCTTAATAAAATTGTAGGATTTCCAAAGTTGAGGAATTTCTTTCTTAGACATTTTTTCTACAGCACATATTTGTCCCAAAAGTATTTGTTGTTTTCGGAAATTGTAACATTGTGATTAATTGGTAACAGGACTTTGTGTCGCCCAATTCTGTCTGTAATCATACTCGCGATTGACATTTCGGACTCCCGCGATTTTGTTAATCACTCGTATGATTACAGACCTGATTGAACTACACTCGGTCCTATTACCTTTATAAATATACGTGTGGGATATATTCTGGGAACTGTTTACATGGATATGGGGGACCCCAGGTAGGTGAGGTAACCCCCGGTTACATACAACCTTTCAAACCAGGGATGCTGGTGTGAAGTTTTTCGAGATTGTTATCGCACTTGTAATTAAGGAGTTTAAAATATCACGACGGCGACGTGTGGTAAAACGTTGCCGAAGAAAAGTAATTTATTTTCCTCTAAGATTTTCGCTAAAAGCTCGATGCGTTAACCGTTTCTGACGGTACAGTCTTCGGCTCGGCATAACATGTGAATGTAGAGTTCAGTTCAAAGTAAAAACGTGACTGAATCGCTGGTGAGGTTTCATTGCTAAGATAACGGGAAAAAATTGGGGTTTAACGTTTTAGGTCTACATGGGACGGTCAGGAAATGTATTAACTTTTAACCACTCGTGTTTCGCTATTATTTTGTTCATTTAATCTTATTGTGACATGAACGCCACCCCGGTTCGGCGGGTTATCTTACCTTGAGACGTTTACGTGGCAAATTGTCACCCCGGCTGACAAGGTAACCCTACCAGGGTAACCCGCCAGGGTGGATCACCCCGCCTATTATAAAAACGTGATCAAGATGAAATAAGAGATTATATGAACAGGCGGGTTACGTCACCTGCCTAGGGTCCCGCACCTCCATGTAAAGAGGTCCTTAATATGTAGGGGCTTTCTCCTCTTTGGTTCTTAGTAGTTGCGCTCGAAACAGTTAAGTTTTCTCTTTTTTTAATGAACGGCAGATTGCAGTATTCATGCCTGTCTCCCTACTCTTGTTGGAAAGAGCTCTGATTAGAAGCTACTGAATTCTCAATTGCGTCATCAGAAAATTCAAATAAGAGTAAGATCGCAGCATTTAGGGGATGACAGCTATTAGCCGAGGCCACTTTTTGTTCATGTTCCGGGAGATGATCATTCAATCGAGAAATTAAAACATTCTTTTACTATCGCACGAAGTTGAACCTGTGTTGAGCGGTCGGTTTTCAAAGTCGGTAAATTTTTACTTATTAATTACTATAGTTTTCACCTCTATCAAGCGGTTACTTCTATTGAGCGCCCGTGGTCACCCTTTACTGAGTCTCAACGGCCTGTTTGTATTGTCACCCACCTGTACTGAACGGTAAGACTACTCAAATAAAACTAAGAATAATCTTTCAAGTAAATTTAATCCTTATTCATCTCCCGAAATCAATATTAAGAGTAATTTTGAGCTAGTTTTTGTACATTAAAAGGTCATCTATGACATAATATTACATTCTTTTATTGTTGTTGTTTTTTTAATATCCTATTATGCGGTCAACCTGTATTGAGCGGCCTCCGAGCCATTTCCCGACGGTGGCCGCTTAATGCAGGTATGACCGTATGAATGAAGTAATCTGGTACACTCCAATCAAGGATTCACCTTTGTACATGAGTAGATAGGTAAACCAAACTTGAGACTCAACTAAATATCTTTATTTGACTAATCTCTGAGGATATTTCTACAACACTATAACATCATCTGTTTACCAAAGTGGCCATAAATTTTTTTTCGGATCTCTTTTGTCCTCAAAAACAACAAAAAAGAATGTCAAATTTTGTGTTAAATTTTTAGCCTTGATGGTTTCACGATCTACGGTCAACTGTTTACAAAATCTTTTTCTTATCTAACTTGAAATAATTTCAAAACATAAACGCCCGAACCATGTAAATATGATTCGAACCTGGAAGTACAAAATGTGTCGACTTACATACAAAAAAATTATCCGAAATCCCTGGTGCAGTGTCAAAGCCAGCCTAAAATTCTTGAGATAAGTCAGCAATGTTCTTCAGTTTTGAAGTCCCTCATAGTCTCGTGATTTCTCCCCACTCAGTTAATTCTCTCTTTCGTTTTCCCAAGTGCTGTCCAGCTCCGCCTGCTCCACCAGGAGCGCCAACTGCTCCCATGTCTCCAGGGGGTCCTTGGCCACCGGCCGGTCCGGGAGGTCCAGGAGGCCCTGGTCTGCCTGGGGGTCCCGCGGGATTTCCGGGATATCCTGGTATCCCCGGTGGTCCTGGTAGCCCTGGGGGCCCTGGAGGCCCTTTTGGTCCGTCTGGTCCTTGAGGTCCCGGGGGTCCCATGGGTCCATCTGACCCTGGGGGGCCAGGAGGTGGTGGTGGTGGTGGAGGTGGGGGTGGTGGTGGAGGAGGATACCACATCTGTCTTTTTCCACCTGGCCGTTAGAATGAAATAAAAAGAAAAAAGACTTCATTCAGTGAAGAAAAATTATCTTGTAAATCACTTAAGTCACGCCAAAGGCCCAAGAACGCGCATGTAAAGAATTGAATTAAAGTAATCATTTCAGATAATAAAATATCGAATTCATCGAAACACGGATTGTTATTATGGAAGAAGCAGCGCCATTAGTGCTCCAATAATATTTCTCAGCAAGAATTGTTGTCAAGCTTTTATTTCTCCAAAATTTATTCATATAACTAGCCATAAATGAGCGTTCCACTCGAGTATAATTTACATTTTAAATGCGTCTGATTTCTATACTTTTCATTGCAGTTTTTTATGAGGAGAAACTGATTACGATTGATTAAGATTTTGCTGTGTTATGGTCAGCAGGCGAGTGCAGTCTTGAACAGCTACCACTCACTTGACGACAAGTGACAGAAAAGTGTAAATCAGTGAACTAACGCTAGCTTTCCTCGATGAATAGATGGTTGATCAACTATGTCATTCCCTTTTTTTAACCATACCCCTTACATAGTTGTCTGCATTTATCATCTATATATCTGCGGAAATTAGAAAAGGAAACTCGCTTTATTAAATTACGACAAGTAGGCAGGTGTAACTACATTGCAGATCCCAGCAGTATGCAGGACTCTTGTCAAACATGAGTCAAGTCATGACCAAGCTTTAGATCGGTGGTGGAGCATCACGCCGCGGAATCCGAAGGTCTCAGTTCAACTTATTACGCTCGTGACAAAGCCATAAACATCTTTCTTTAGACAGGTATAGGTCAGTCAGCCACCTAGCGAAACGCAGCTCGTATAAGTAATGTTTTGCTGTTGTGGCAATGAAAGCCGCCGAGCAACCTGAATTTCGCGACCGACGCAGATGTCTTTAGTTCATCAGTTTACCAATGCTACAAGTCAACAGGTAAACGAATCTGCAATATTCTTACTAGATTCAAAACCCGTTTTAATATTTCTTAAACTCAGTTTTCTAACAGGGGCTAAATTGCAGGTGCTTGTGGACGACACTACCAACGGGAACAATGAAATTTTATCAGGTTCGTTATTGAATATTCACGACACGTGTGGTGCAGTCCGGCACCAGCCCACACGCGTTAATGAAGTCCCTCACACAATAGCGAAATGTTCCCTCTTTTGGGAGCAACTAACTAAGGGAAGGCAGCGTAAACTTTGTTACTTTAATCGTTTGCCATAATTTGAAGCTTCGTCATCAACTCATAACGATTTTCTTTTCGCACCCGATTTTGTCAGTTACTCCAAGCTTACTCTGTTATGGATTGATCGTGAAGAATTCCTTGCTGAGTGTTACCCATATCTCCAAAAATGAGGAGGAATAGTTACATAAACATCACTCTCATATTCATTTATTAATCCGCAGTTCACATAGATGATTTTATATATTCGCAGCCGTATAGTGGATACTAGCATACAAAAATCGTTCAAAAAGTATTTCACAGTCATTTCACTGCAACATCTAACTTTCAAGCCTCGCCCGCATAAACGGCCAACATATGTTTATATGACTGAATACTTTATACTTATCCATTTCGGTCAACTTTTTTCTAATTTTCAGCATAAGAAAATTAATTTTCAATGGAAATTTTCCATTTTCCCTGGAGGTTTATTTCTAATAACATGCGATATCGAAGTTCAGTGTAGCAGGGACGATGGAGGAAATTACTCTAACTTGCCTTATGGAAACAATGGAACAAGGAATACTCTTAGATATATTTGAGATAAAGGAATAGTTCTGGTTAAGGTAAAATAACATTTAGTTCAGTTTTAGCAGAGCCTTTTTTTCTTACAAATCAACTGGAAAAAAAGGGCAGTCTTGAAGTCGTTTATGATTACCACAATTTTGATCCATTCCAATGGAGTAAGGTAACAAAAGAAAACAACATCCAACTGACCTGATTCTTGCTTTGCAGCAACTCGTATTTCTGTCGGCCATGATTTGACGAGGAGAATTATAGACGTAAAAACAACACAGAAAGTTAATCTGCCGTCCATGGTTCCTGCAAAGAACAACGCAAATGATTTAGCGGATTGGAAATGTACTTAGTGGTTAGAGAGTCTTTGTTGGCGACATACGTACCAAGCTCGTATTCCTCGGTCAAGGCGGCTTATCACAAAGGATCATCATGGTTACTTTTATATTGTGTGCGGGCTTTTAATTATTGACACTTTCACGTGAAGTTGAATTTTAATGACTCACCATTCTTTTGTCTTGTTGGGACAAAGTTGGAAGCCTGGTTGTTCGCTTTGAGTTTCTGGTGGACATTCACAGTTACAAATATTTTGCAACTAGAACATTTTGTTAAGGGTGTAATTTTAAGTGTTTTGAGAATAAAACGGAAAAAAAATTCCTTAACTTGGGAGTAAGGGAGACACTGCCTATCGTCTTTCATAATTCTACAAAGCTCTCATTTTTTTAGCATCCGTTCAAACGGTGGTTGTAGTGCTGGTGCTAGCATCATGGTGGTATATGGTTTGCCTCTTAGTGTTGATTGCAAAATATCAAGGAACTAAAAGAAAAGCATCAGCAGTCTTTTTGACGAATTCATGAATTAAGTGCTACTCGTAAAATGGGGTATAGATTTGATCTTTGTTTTAGCTCAGAGCTGAAATCGAAAACGATAAATTATTGCGTACTGGACGACTCTTTTGTATCCAATAGAAAATAGTTGTTTTTTTTAACGAGAAATTACTGGCGAGAATAAACCTGATAAAACGTTGTCCGGAAAGGATATCCTGAAGCAAACAACGTTAATGAGGGAAAAAAGTAATCTCGAAAATCGCATCCAATATTTACCATAGCTGTAAACACAAGAAAAGAAAGGTTCCCAGAAGACCGCACTGTCCAATCATCGCTCAGCTATCGCCCAACCTCTCTCCTCCTTTTAGTCACCAGTCGTTAAGCGGACTGCAGATCAACAGGTGAATTATCATTGCTATTATATTATAATCATTACTTTCTTATTATTAACATATTATTGCTATTTCATTCTTCAGTTACAATCATATATTTTTTTTACATTCTGTTAGATAACTTCTCCTTTATCTCCCTTATACCTGTTTACTCTTGTGTTTCAACATAAGCTAAGTTTCAAGGAACAATGATCAGAGAAATTTGTGCGATAACAATTAAAACTACTAGTGAAAATGGAAACAGAACTGACGCATTACGATACAGAAATTCATACTTAGAGACGGAAAAGAGCCAAAATATTTTCTTCGTTTAACTCCCCACTTCCTTTATGGTTCGAGCTCAGCCACTATAGACTTATTCACAAGAGATTATAAACTGTGTTTTTTAAACGGTACCTGGTCCTTGTTGGCTGACAGTATATTTCCAAAAGAATTTGTGTCAAGCATGGTTTTTCTAAATTCAGCATTCTTTATCTCTATAGTATTGAATAATTTTGTTGACAACTGCCTTCACAATTATCTTTTGTGTTTTTGCTAAGAGATTAGGTTACATTCTATTGTCTTTTTTTTCTTATTTGCTCAATTAATCTGGGTTAATATTTCACGATCCCATGGTTTTTGTCTTGGAAAATCATTTTTCCTTCAAACGGTACTGTTTTGTCTAAAATTTAATGCTGAAATATAGACGAGGGAAGCGGATCTTTCTACTGCATACTGGGAGTATTTTTGTATTGAAATGGTTGAAAACGATCCACTCGAAACCTTTAAAACCAGCCATTTAAATTCACCTTTTTTCTTACATAAACTAGAAATTTCGATGTGAAAGTGAGTGCTGGCGATGAGAAAAGAGTTTAGGTGCGTACAAATTCACATTAGTTGAAGAATTCCAAACTACTTTGTTTTATATCCTGGAAGGGACTTTGAAGGGGAAAAATTCCTAGAGCAGCAATTATTTTGGCAAGTTATTCCAGTAAGTCTTAATGGTTCACAAGGGATTACTTGAATGAGTTTAAAATAATTCCAGGAGCAACAGGTGTCATCAGATTTCCTTTGCAGTTTTTGAGCTTACTGGCTTATGGCCGGTAAAGCTCTATGTCAACGGGTTTGTTAGTAAGTAAGGAAGACTTCACGAATCATGCCAGTCAAGTTTGCATAGCAGAAGTGGTTGGGCTGGGCATTTACTCAGGAAGCCTGGTAATAAAGTATTACCCATCCTGCCTTCGAAAAGGTCAATAGAAGCTCTCTAAGAGGAACATCAAGTGGAAAAAGGGAAAGAGAGCTGCCAAAATTAGAGTCCAGTGGGAAGGCCAATGGTTAATGCCCTATGCTCCCCTGCAGGAGCGACGATGGCCTCATTTCCTTGATTCAGTTATTTTTATTGGGACAAGATTGATGATGACAGTTTTTGTCTCTTTCTACCGGCTGATTTATGAAAAATGCTGTGTACGTTAATTTTAATACCATGTGTGAAAATTGGACGAATGGTTTCGATGATTTACGTGGAATCATTCAAATTTTAAACGCAAACGGCATTGTCAGTAGATCAGAAGGAAAAACAGCAGCTGTCAACGTCAAGCGATTCTCTAAACTGTGACCGTCCACTTGAAAAACAAATATGGCCGGAACACTTCGCCAGTAGCATGTTTGTTGAATAACAAGCCTTGCAGGTCCGAACAAAACATTTCTGGTTGTTTGGATCAGACACGCTCCCTGGAACGTGATTGTAGTGAAGTTACTGGTCGCATGGGAATCACGTGTTCCTCAATCGAAAGGCCTTTTGACGTCAAGATAAACACGCGTTCGATCACGAGTGTTTTGATAACTAACTGTGATTGGCCTACTAAATTCCCGGGTCTCAAATATAAACTGAATGAACGCACCTAGGAACCGGCGTCTACTGGCACTAAAGACGACTGTCTGCGCCACCAAGAAGCTTTTTTCTAAGAGTAACACGATGGATGAGAGAAGTAATAACCCTACGCTCGCCAAGTACATGTCTCTTGATCAAGGTGACAGCATTCAAGCCATGTACATCTGGGTAGACGGAACCGGCGAGCATCTCCGCTGCAAAACGAGAACTGTCAGCGAGGAACCAACTAAACCAGAAGATCTTCCCATTTGGAATTTCGATGGCTCCAGTACAAACCAGGCGGAAGGTTCAAACAGTGATGTGTATCTCCATCCTGTAGCTTTGTTTAGAGATCCGTTCAGGAGGGGAAAGAACAAGTTAGTTCTGTGTGAGACGCATCGATTTGACCACAAGCCAACCACAACAAATACGAGAAAAAGCTGCTTTGATGCTATGAATGTCGACCTTGCAAAGGTAAGGAAAATGTATCATCAAAAGCCTTCAGTTATCGGATGAATCTGTAAGAATTACGAAAAATTAAAAAAGGAAAAATTTTGGTGTTAAGGAAACACTTTAAAATCTAAATATAAAAGGAAATGAAATATAGCTGACCCCATTATTAAGATTTACAGCACACTCGAAATAAAACAAGTTTCGGTTGGAGAGTGTCGAGAAAGGCCGAGATAATGAGAACAACTCGCATTTTCATTTCATAAATCCTGTCTCGAATTTCCAATGCCCTAGTAACCTAGAATAGTGTAGAACAAACTACACCGTAATCTTTTCACCTCTGCCTGACTCCGTCCAATCTGTGTGAAGGAGGCACTCCAAACACACGACCTCGTGACTTGACGATTGTTCTAACGTAAAATCTACGTTTTCTTTCCCTTTGTTTCTTAGAAAGCCGCTCCGTGGTTTGGTATTGAACAAGAATACACACTGTTAGACACGGACGGCCACCCTTTAGGCTGGCCAAAGGGAGGTTTTCCAGGACCACAGGGACCCTATTATTGTGCTGTTGGTACAGGAAAGGTTTTTGGCCGAGATGTTGTGGAAGCTCACTACCGAGCTTGTCTGTATGCTGGTGTAAAGATTGCTGGAACTAATGCTGAAGTCATGCCTGCACAGGTGAGAAAACATGTAATTCTCATTGCTTAAAATATTTTACAGTAACGGTGAAAGTAAATAAATAAATGACCAAGTAATACGCCATGAATGGAGCAACATAATTCCTCATGAAAATATATTTAACACACCCCGTTACATGTACTGTGGGTGAGGAAATTGGTCTTCAAAATTGAGTGTTTATAATGTCACATTGTTGCTTGCCTTATAGTGGGAATACCAGGTGGGTCCATGTGAAGGAATTCAAATGGGTGACCACCTTTGGATGTCAAGATTTCTGTTACATCGTGTTGCAGAAGATTTTGGAATCACAGTCAGTTTTGACCCCAAACCAGTACCAGGGGACTGGAATGGGGCAGGAGCTCACACAAACTACAGGTAAAAGACTTAACAGAAAATAATTCAAGCAGTAAAAGCTGTTTTAAGCATAACAGTGAAAATTTTCTTCACTGCTACAACTTCTACTGCTTCTTAATACTGTAACAGTAACAGTTACAACAATGTTGCAGTTACAACAGTGACTGAGCCAAAGTTTCACTGAGGATGAATTCTTCCTTTGGTAAAAGGCAAGGACAGTATACAAATAATAGTAGTAATCTATTGAATATTTATACAGTGCAAATTAACATACTGGAGGATATGATCAAATGCACTTTACACATTAAAATTGACTACAAATTACTGTTACCTATTTAAAATTTTGAATTTACAATAGAACGCAAAGATGTATACGATATGAAACACTTAAAAGAAATTATAAAGTAAATGCTTCCCTACAATAGTGAGTTTTAAGCAATTTCTTAAAGGTGTTGAAATTTTGCAATGACTTTAATGATTGTGGGAGACTGTACCAAATCTTGGAAAAGGCTTGATTGCCAAGTGTTTTTTTCAATCGTCACAAATGGTCTTCCAACTGGATACTGGTACTTGAGCAGAGGTTGTCTGTCAAAGTCTCCTTGATGGCGACCATGCTTTTTAAATAATTGGGGGCGTGTCCATGAATGCACTTAAAACAGAGCACAGCAATCTTGAAATTGATTATAAACTTAATAAGCAGCTAGTGAAGACATTAATGACGATGAAACTCTAGTTACCGGTAATGAAAAAATGGAATCATTAGTGAGGCACCTGTCTGAGGTAAATCTTATTTTTTCCATGAACTGCTTTCTAGTACCAAGCCAATGAGAGAAGAAGGAGGAATAAAGTACATCTATGAGGCCATTGAAAAGCTATCAAGCAGACATGATTACCACATTCAGATGTATGACCCCAATGAAGGTGAAGATAACAAAAGACGTTTGACTGGGCTGCACGAGACATCATCAATTGAGAACTTCTCTCATGGAGTGGCTAATCGAGGTGCTAGTGTGCGTATCCCTCGTCAGTGTGCTGAAGATGGTAAAGGCTATCTTGAAGACAGGAGACCTTCATCAAACTGTGATCCATACCAGGTCACTGAAGCCATTGTTAGAACAACAATCTTGCTAGCAAAGGTGTAATGAGGAAAAAATCCTTGGTATGAAATAAGTTTATTACAGCTATCGTAATGATACATTTTTAAATTGTTAAATGAGAAAGAGTCAGTTATTTACACTGCAAATTGTATAAGCATGCAACTATTTAATTAACTTTAAGATTCCTGGTAGCTCACAATATTAAATAAATAAAAATGTGAATCAGATGAACTGAAGTCGACATGTTGAAACCTTGTGCTTTCAGTTTGTAGTTCTGTTGATTGCGGTTTTGATTGGTTATCAATTTCACACTTTCCATGTATGAAATGAAGTTTTAAAACACATGCTACAATGATTTGCATACTTAAACTGTTCATGATTATTTAACCTTATTACAAACAATGTTTATTTAATTGAGAACTTAATATAAAGTGTCCAATAACTTTTTTATATTGACATGTTACAGTTAAATCTAGTAGTATTATGGTAGTTACCAGAAGGCAATTTTTCACCATCAAACTAAAAAAAAAAACCAAATATTTCTAGTATTGTTGCAGTTACAAGAGACAAGCCAATCATCTCGATAGAAATTTTAAAAATGTAAACAATCATGGTAATTAGTTTGTGGCTTGGTTGGGTGTCATGATCTCTAGTGCCATTGTTTGTATATCAATATTGGTTTTATGAGTTAAACAGTAGTTATTGAATTGATTCTTTCAAAAAGTTCTACAGTATCAATAGCTGTTTAACTTCTAAATCACCAAGAGACATTTTGCTTATTTAGAATTTAGCTGAAAACTATGTATTTTCAGTCTGTTATAATTTTTATTCATAATTGTTTTGAAAATAAAGGTGGTTAATCTTTGCAGCTACTCAAGTTGTGCTTATATACAAAACTTTACACAGCCTTGCGTATATGTCATGTGGGTGTAAGGAATCTTTTCCCCTTGTTAATTCCCTGGTATCCTAGGAGAATGCTTAATTACTAATTTTTTTCAGGCAGGGGTTGCACTTGAGAAAAGTTTTCCAAAATGTGTTCACTTTGGGGTTAAAATATTTCATCAGGGGACATTTACAAGTGCAACACTAACTTTTGAAGAAAATTTCCAATTAATGAAAACATCAAATGCACTTTAGTGCCTGGGTGAGGCTGGCAGATTTTGGAAAAATTTAGCTCAACTAAAGAAATCACAGCAGTGACTGTCAACACTTGTCAGATAACTTGATAATTAGAAACATGATCACCTTGGAAAACACTTGAGGACTTCTTACATCTTTGTGCTTTCCATAGGGATAGTTGTCAATTTGTAAGGTGCCTCACAATTTGATGATTTTGTTCTTGACAAACTATGGAAACTCTTTCCTTCCAAGCAGTAACCATACATTCTAGTTTCTGGTCTACTTCAGTTCTCAAAGTGTCCAAAGGCTGATTGTTAAACTAGTGCAACTAAAAAGTTATCCTTTCCAGTTGCAGTTACGCATTTTCTGGGGTCTCTCTACAACCCATGCCTAAACAAGATGCTACTCTGAACCAACTAGCTTTGAAGCTTGTTCACTGTTTATCTTAACCAAATGTCAAATCCACAAACTTGTAATTTACATTTTCAAGTTAATTGCTGAAAGCAGATCCATTTTTTTATAAACACTAAACACCCTTGCAAGTTGACACTTCAGTTACACTAAGAGAGACTCTTCAGAAAGCTCCTTAGGACTATGTAGTTACCTAACAATCACAAATTTAATGAATGGCTGTCACGTTGATTTTTCTTGAAGATCATCAGCAAAACTATTTTACCCTCTAAGAAGACTAATGATGAGAAGAGAAAATTACTGGGCCAAGGAGGAGGGGAGGGAGGGTAAATATGGTAGGCAAAGTACTTGCATATCATGATTAGTCATTCACCTCTTGTTACAAAAAAAATATCTATAAACTAGCACACTCTTTCTTGTGAAACACAATGTTGTTTTAAAAAACAGTTACTTTGCATGCCAGTCCTTCAAGTTATAGTATGTTGCCCAGTCATCAGCCAAAAATTACTGCCTTTTTCATTTATGTGTATTTGTCCCAAACCCTCGCCCTTTGCAATGAAAACCCTTTAGATAGTACAGTTGAAATAAAAAATAAAGAATCATGCAAAAAGCATTGGCTCACTGATTTTCTGCAAACAACAAAAACACAAAGTGTATGCATAATGAAGGTGAAAGTCTGAATCACTGTAGTTTGCTGAAAACTAGGAATCTTAAATTCAAATTTTTGCAAAAATTAGACATTATATTCGGGATATGCCATGCTTTGAATATTTTTAACCAAGGAAACTAAATGAACCATCTGTTGGTGAAAATTTAGAAGTTTTAATGTACAGACCAGAAGTAAAAGTGACTGCGATCTGAGCTGACTGGAAACAGCAACAGACTGCATCACTAGTGTGAGTCTTGTGTCCACCACAACAACTAGTTACTTGAATTTGGTCTTGCAGCTAAAATGTACAGAGCCTGCTCTCTTAAATACTCATCCCAGGAAACCAGTCTGTGAATACAAATAAAAAAATTAATATAATGCAATATATTGCCAACAATTATGAAATGGGGGCAATCCAAATGGTAAACCACTGATTTATGGATTAATTCCCTAACAATCCACTAACTCTAGTTGCAATTTAATTTTTTCAACTTATGGAATCCATGGATTTGTCATCTGTGTTTAACAAACATTTCTATTGTTCTATCAATAAAGTAAAAATTGATATATTAAGGTTCACAAGGTAACCAGGTGGACAATCAGATAGGGTGTGATGCTACTCTGGTTTAAAGATTTAATGAATGTAACGGAGAAGTTACAATTGATAGATCCATGAATTGTAATGTAGGTCTATGAATTGTAACTTCTCTGTTACTTTTGTTAAATCTTTAAACCATGTCTGAAAGTAAAAATTTGTACACAACATTTGACACAAGCTTTCCATGCACAAAAAAGCAACCTTTAGAGGTACTTCCTTTCCACTGGTTCAAGCAGAAATTACAGAGCCAATTATTGCAAAGAATACATTTCCAAATTTTTTCAATATTATTTGGGTCTTCTCAGTTGCATTTTAGTAAATATTGATAAGTGGCCGCTCTAAATAACACTGTTAAAGGGAGGAATCAGGACACTCAGAATATGAAATATTATCACATCCACTAATGCTATCCAATTTCAGCATTGTTGTGAAATTTTAAAAGTTTCCATCCTAAAAAGCTGACAACACCACTTACCCTCATCTGTAATGAAAAAGGAGTTAACAGAATATTCAGTACCTGTTATTATCAGTATCAGCATCCATGAATATTCTTGAGTGACGATCAATGTGCCCAGAAACATCCTTTGGATCGAGAGGTCTTCCAAATGAACTGCTTCCATCTCTGCTTAGCAACAAACATACCTTACAAGTACATCTGCTCATTAACAGTTTTTTTTTTCAGGAACAAAGCTTCCAGAAAGGATTAAAAACTAAGGCACAAATTAACCTAACTAGCCACAAGGAATTTACTCAATGCAGAACCTAGGTGCAACATAGCATTGCCAACAGGTTTCAAATAATTAATCTTCTTTTAAATAAGTAACTGTCTTACCCTGTTCCTGTACTGCTGTGGTCACGTAGCCTCAAGTTGCCAAACCATCTGGTAAACCCAACAGCAACCTCATGGGAATTGATGTAGCCATCTTCATCCTTATCAAATGCATGAAAAATATCTCTGGCCTTTTGTATCTCAAGAGGTGATAACATCCTTACTAACTGAAACTGAAAACATGATCACAAAATCTCATCACACCTGAAACAATATCATATGATGAACAAACAGTAAATGATGACAAGGAAGACATAATTCTTGCATCAAACATAGAAACTTAATTAATCTAAGTATCATAACTGACACAAATTGTTGTCTTGTAACTCCATCACAAGCTTTAATGTCAAATTCCAAGAACTGTGTGGTCAGAGGACAATTTGTAACATGGCTACCAATTGAAATGTTTTCCAGTCTTCTCACCTTACTCCTGTTTGTTGCAATACTTTTAAGAGCCTGATGGTTAAGGAATTCCCACCAGTCAATAGTACCAGTATGATCCTTGTCTATTTGTTTAAACTTAAACAAAAAATTTACTGATTAGTTTAGGACTATGATAATTAAACTTTTTTGTTATGCAAACTCTGACTACATGACCCACATGGAAAGACAACTAGTACTCTGTTTGTAAATTTTTAGAATATAAGAACATTTGGTGGGCAAAAGTTTATTTCCTTTACTTTGCATAAACCTTTCATCCAGTCCTGCTTGTAAAAAAAGAGGGCAGTATTTTTCATTTTATGATTCAAACACAATGACAAAATTAGTTTTGAAGAATATCTTGTGACACCCTTCATTAATTCTTGCAGTTCTGATAAGAATCATGTTGATATTAGATTGATGCAAAGATAAAAGTTTTTCATGCAATAATTATCATCATGATTGAGACAAAAAAAAAAGATCTTTGCTCAAGATAATTTTTGTTGCATTTCTGCTGCTTCCTTTACCTCATTGTGTGTCTCCTCTTCCATGTAGCTTGGCATTTTTTCATTATGAATGTCTTTGTACTGGGCTGTATGGTATCGAACATACTCATCCTCATTTATTTGTGTATCTGAAAATAATTCATTAGATTATTGGTCAGCTGGAAGCTCAATTTACATTATATTAATCATAAAATATGATATATCCTGAGAAGCCTGAAAAGCAGAACTGGCAACTTAAAATTGAAATTGGCTTTGTATCTCAATCCTGGTGTTACAGTAGTGAGTAAAACTACAAACAATAAAATTTGTGCTTGATTGGCATTTCAGTCCTTCCTATTAATTGATTGTATCCATGGTAACAACACCTCAGGTACATGATTTTGTAATGAGCATAAAAAATTTCTTTGGAGTATCTTCTGGCATTTACATCAAAAATTATCCAACCTGAAGACCGAAAAATCACTGCAAATGGGTACCTGAGTACATATTTTCATAAATAAGGCAATAATGATTGGTCAGATCATTACCTAGCTTGGTAATCATTTCCCATTACATGAATTATTGTCATGTAATAGTATGTAATGCAAAACTTATTAACTGTCTGTAATAGCAGAGCTCATACAAAGTTTTGTTTACATGCAAATTGATTTTCAGACTTCTCACCAAAGTTGTTTTTTTTCCATTACCCAAACTTGATAACTGGTATGTAACATTGTGTCAGCAAAAGCAAGCAACAATACACAATGTACAGAATACAAGAAGCTAATAGAATTCATAATGGCTGGAATAAAAAACCCAGTGAGACTTTTTCCATTTTCCCAGGTTCTACATTGTATTTCATGTTCGAAATAAATTTTGTCAGTCAGAGATGCTGAGTTGGTTAACTCCACACATAACAATAAAATGATGAACCTTGCAAAAATTCTCATGATCACCACGAAATTAGGTTTTTGAAATTACACATCATTGTATTTACCTTGATTGACATCTAACCTATCAAAATTCTCTATCAATTGTTGCATTTCTTCATCAGTTAATAGAGATGTTAAACTTTCCTGGTGAAAAGAAGAATTATTTTAGTTACAAATATATAATGTCATGATGACTGTAGGTTCACATTGAGGTAATGTTAGTATTAATTATCTGCAATATGATAGGCATTAGCCTGTTCCATTATAAAAGAAAAGATGCCAAATTGTACTAAACCTCTCAACCCCAAATAACTAATTGACTCAAGTCACCCAATAACCTAATTGAAATTTTGAGACACAACCACAAAGTACTTCTGGCTAGTAGGGAGACAATATCTTCTTGTACTTGGAGAAGTTATTATGGGATGAAGTCCATTATGAGACTGTTTTTTCTCCCTATTCTGCCAATATTGGTGTCTCAAAATAACAATCAACTTTGAATAGCAATCCATCCATTTTGAAGTAATAAAACAGTAAACAAATTAGCTAGTACCTGATCAAAATGTAAATTCCTTATTTCTGCCAAACATATCCAGGGCAACAGAAGTTTAATAAAGCACAAAGTTTGTTCATGAATATTTGAAAGTCTTATCGCATTGAATGACAAAAGTGAGCTTATCTGGCAGCAAAAGATCCATCAAAATTTCTTCATAGAGAGCTTGAGGTCCTAAGACCAACTACATGTAAATCATGTAGCATCCAACGAGGATGTTTCCAGTTTTCTGTTTAAAGAGTTACCTCAGGGTGTCAAGGTAGTAGATGTACAAATTTGGTCCTTCAATGAATAAAAGCAAAGTTCATCAAGTTTCCTTGAATGATGTATGCCTTTATTTCAGTGGTAGGAAATCAGGCTCGATCTTTTTCTGAGGGGATATGTTGCATGAAAACTGTGCCAGAATTGAGTCATTTGCCTTCCTAATTTTTGTTTGACTAGGTAACAGAAGGTAAGAGAAAGACTGTCAAGGTTTAACATAACACCTTGCAAGATCTACAATGATATCTTGAAAATTGTGTTGTTTGCAATAATTAAGAGGAAAACACTCAGAAGTACAACAGAAGGTATTTAAAATTTTAATTTCCATCTTTATCTGTTTTGCTTTTTCATTGTTATTTCTGGCTGTCAGGAGTTTCTTAAGTCTTCTGATAACTTGCTACAGTTGATTAGGACACTTGTTCCAGTTTCCAATTATAGTGAAAATAATTCAATTATATTTTCCATTGTCTATGCTATGATTGTAAAGAAATCACATAAAATTGAACAAAATTTACCATGAAAGCACTATTTTGGAGTTTGAGGGATCCATTTCAGTGACCTATCATCAACTTTAATTTTCATCAAAATACAGGTCGTAAAAGTGAGACAACAATAGTGCAAAAGATTGTCATCTCTCCTGTTGGAAAAACTATTGGAGAATCCTGATACTAAATGTCTTGGTGAAGACAACTATGAATATACTGATTAAAATTTAAGTGTTCATGTAAAAATGTGAGAACAACCCACAGTAAAGAATTGACCAGTGAGGAGCATCACAAATAATAATCAGAGCCATCCTGTAAGTTTTGTCTTTATGTTAGCTGGGTTCATATCTACTTATTACTTTGTACACAGTCATTGCAAAATATAAATGGAGGCTCACACATTCATGGCAACTCCATCCTTTGTCTGTGTTTGCTTTCCTGAAGGCTTCTAATTCTGTCTTCCCATACAGTTTACCTTTCTTCTTTAAGCAGAGCTCATGAAATACTTTACAACAGACATGGCAAGGATGGACTTCAACACCAGTATAAACACCACATAGGGAGCAGAGTTCTTCATTCTCCACCTAGTGTAATTGAAAATACAAGAGGCATTTTTAATTGCATTGGAAAATCAATTGTACTGAGCTTATGAAATGAATGTTGCAAAATCAGGAAATACATTGTCACTTAATTTAAAGCTAAGCTGTAATTTAAGTTCACCTTTGGTTCAAATTTAATTTCCTTTGTTTAACTCTTATCAGTATATTAGAGGTATAGTATCATTCTTTTAAAAATAAGAATTACTGTAACAAAAAGGAAAGGATTCAAATTAAAATTTACTTTACATTCACATCAGTCTATGGATTATAAAATTCAAGGAAGTCGATTTTACCTTAAGAAACTGAACTTGATAATCCTCTGGACAATGTTTACAAACAGCCTTTAAACTATACCTGGTGATGAATTACACCCTGGAGATAGAAATGCACCATGACAAAATTTCCTATTTTTGTAACAAGTCCACTTGCTAAGAAAAGCCAGTTAAAAAGTAGTTAGTAAAACTATCACTGTCCTAACACTACGTGATGGTCAACAAGAAACCATAGTCATTGTTCAGTTACACACCTGATTTTTGTAATTGACAACACATTCATGAAATCATAATACTTTGTCTTTCCTTTACGCACTTCTTCCCTTTCAAGATCAGAATTAATTCCAATAAGTTTATGATTCAGCTAAGAGTAAATTTTCGTCATGTGTACTTTTATTTAATAGTGAAAAATAGATAAGGTATGTTTCAGTCCTTACCATTCATTTATATTGTATTTCAAAGTAGGATTGGTGGATATGAAATAGTTAAGTATGTTCCTTCTGGTTGAAATTTCATTGCTTACATTAAAAACAAGGCAAAGTATTATCTGGGGGGTTGCATGTTTAGGTATATAATTAGATGAACTGACAAAATGAAGAGGATGTTGATGGTACTATCATTTAAAAACAAAATAAAAAGAGCAGATCAGTGAGTGTGATCAGACAGATGAGAGTAGTTATGACAACAACTATTGTGTAAGACAATGAGGCTGACCCTCTGACAAAGGCCTAATGCTTAAAAAGTCAGCTTTGGACGCTCTTTACAGAGGCCAATTCATATTAGCAATACAGTTGATAAAATCAAATTATCTTGATCTACTGACAGCTTGGGGGAGGTCAACCTTTGGAACTCTCAGTGTAAACAGCTTCTAGCTTGATTGGTTTAATGTAAGTCACCATCATCGACAACAATCCTTTTCAAGAACTACCCTCATTTTTTTTATTTGGCAATAGAATTCTTTTCTCCAAAGCTCCTTTCTTCTTTTTAATGAGTAGAATATTCAGAAGAAAACCCTTTTCCTGCTGCCCACCCTGGTCTTCTCATGGACTGAGAAGAGAAGAGAGGAACTCCACTCTTTTAAGGGGGGCCGTTCCTTGTCACACCTCTGGTGGCTATGTTGTTGACTGACCTTGTGGCCAAATAGGTTTTTTAATAAGAACAGGCAACCTGTGTTGCCCAGTAGGTTTATTGGTGGTCACTCTCTCCTAGTAAATGTTGAAAATCTTTGGTGAAATCATGTAGCTACTGTAAAAAAATTGCTTCTCTCATGCAGGACACATTTTCAACAAATAACTGTCAAATCACTGATGGACTTCACAGCCAATTTTTTTTTTTATAAGGAATTCTCCTTACGATTTGCCGATAAAATCCGTACTCAGCAACAGACACATAATGTAGAGGGATCCCGCCCCTGCCCCCTCCCCCTCCTTTCTCTTGCAATCTGGCTGCTACATACCCTGTGTTTCCAGGCGCCAAAGTATGGAATACCGATAACAGCCTTGTTACTTTTGTCCCAGTATCCTGTAGTTCCACTGCTGTAAGCAAGATGGTCTGCCGCGTCTAACTCAGGGAGACCATATGTAATAGAAGACTTATCGTTATTCAAGTTCGCTGTGTGCTCCCTGTCGAAATCTAGATGTTCATCAGTCGCCTTATGATTTTTCGTTTCTTGCAAAATCTGACTCGTTTGACCTGCCTGTGCTTGGCCGGTGGTAGGGCTGTCTTTTTCTGTAGACTCTTTAGACTCTTTAGACGCTAACTTTAAAGCTGTCATGACAGCTGCAGTTTGCTGAACTTTCTTAGTTCGATTTCGACTCTCTTTGGATACAATAATCCCCATTTCAAAAATTTCTTATTAACAAAGAGTAGGATCAATTAAGCCCCTCCATTCAAGTGAAGGAAAATTCTCCCGAGTTTAAAGGTTAAGGGACTAACAAAAGTTTTCTTCACTTTGTTTGTTTAATATCTGCACCTTGGTAAAGTTGGAATCTTGTTCCAGTTTCCCTTTGAGCGGATCCTGACCGATGGGGACAGGGCCTTTCCATGGTTATATCCCATAATAATCCTGCAAGTCGAAGGAAAGCGAGGACTCCTTAATCATACGTGGAGTGCATTTCTTTCTGTCTTGAGGCTTTTTGATTGAATTATTTTGTCTCTTTTGCGGAAGAAAACTAGAAGGGAAAGTTTGAATTGTTTATATGGCCGAAGAAGGAGAACTTTCATCTCCAGACGAGTTGGAAACCAGTAAGTTGTTTATTTTCTAAGTCAATGTAAAGAAAAATGTATACCATGCACACGATATCATATCCTGTTTTCTTGGCCTGGATTTCATGCATTTATTTCCTTTTCACAGACTCTTTTACCTATGTTAGTATATTGTTAAAAAAGGTGTTTTAAGTTATGGTTTCTGCCTGGATTGTTGTGGCTTGTCATACAGCGATCGCCATGTGGAATGACTGGCGTCTGAGGTTATTACTAGACAGAATTCGCGCTGAGACTAGTGCCAGTGAGTCTTTCCTATTTCGGTTGTTAGTCTCAAAAGAACTTAACTTTTAAAAAGAAGAGGAGAGTGTTCTCATTGAAATAGAAGGTGTAGCACTTTGTTAATTAACTCCTTGATTTAAAACATGATTAATGATTCTTAACTGACGAGAACTGACTAAATTTAATTTTTCGGCTTTTCTTTTCGTTTTCTTTTTTTCTACTCTAGGAATTGGTTTTTTATTTGTATGTTTATGTAGGCTTTCAAAGGAAGACAAAATTTTTCAATAAAGCATGTTTTCTAACAAAGCGTCATGATTTGCAAAATTGCTCTCTTTTAAGGATGAATAAGAATTCTGGTTGATAAAGTATGGGTTTATCTTTTAACTCACGATTTTCTTATTTGATGTATTTTTGATTTTTAAAGTTATAGACCTGTATCAAAGTTGCTGGGTTGCTCCCACCCCTTCATGTCAGTCCTGTAAGGTTTTCCATTATTTCTTGATCAGTGAAAGATAGATCCATGTCAAGCCAGGGCCTAGACAAACATTTTTAGCAGATAGATGTAGTTCTTTACATCACACTCAAGGCTAGAGTTAGGGCAGAGAATAATCTAGCTGAACAATTTTTTGGACCAGAGAAATTGAATTTATTCACAATAGCCTGATTCTGGTTGGTTCAATGATCCTTTTGGAATGTTTGAGGTTGGGGACTAACTTTATGTTGCAAAGGAAGGAACCACAAACCACCCATGCTGTTGGTATTGCATAGGTGGTCATGGGTGTTCTATTAAGTTTCAGTTTGTTACCATTGTAATAACAATGCATTTATATAATCTGCAATTTGAAAAAAGGTTTGGATGGAGTGGAGCTTAATGTTCTGGATGATATACTTGGGGAACCAGCAAATGACGAGTTTGCTGCTGAACTGGACACTCCAGCAAAGACAAGTGGTAAGACAAGATTTTCCACTGTCCTTATATTACTTGTCCCTCTCCTGAACTTTCAGTTTCAGAGGATGTAAATAGTTTCATTCAAGTTTTTTTGAGCTTTGATATTTCTTGGACCAGTTTAAGTCTTGTGTTTCTTTGTCCTTTAAATTAATTATTACGAGATTCAAACTAGAACCATAATATATATTTAGAAAGCAGTAATTGCCCAAAGGCTATTTAGAGCAATTTTTCAGTTGATTGTCAAAAGTAATCCTGATAGCTTTGATTTTGATTAAATCCATTATATGATTTCTGAAGAAAACTTGTGCCTTTTTTGTTTTCTTTGTTCAGTACCAAGCAGAAAGCGAAGAGCCAACACTGATGACAAGGCTGATACATCTAAAAAGAGACACTTGGACAGTCCAAAGATTCAAACCAAAGAAAACAACAGTTCCTCTCCTCAAACCATGAAAATCTCCAGCCAGACTCCAACTAAAAACAGCAAGGCTTCTAAAACCATTGCATCTGGGCTAGAATCTCCCAAGACAGGTGAGAGTGACAAGGAAAAGCTTCCAGTGAAAGAAAAGGAAGAAAAACAACGTCCAAGAAAAGATGCTCCTAAGGAAATTAAAGTAAAACTGAAAGAGAAGGACAAAGCTGCAGGTCAGCTTGAAAATGAAAATCCAAGCAAAGAAAAGGGAAAGGAAAAAGACACAACAAAGAACAAACAGAAGGATATGAAGGGTTCCAAAACTGAGGGTGATAGTAAAACTGGAGACAAAGAGACTAAGAAAAAAGAAGAACAGAATGCAGCAACTACCGAAACTAAAGGAGTTGCTGAAAAAGAGACAGAAATGAAAAAAAATGATAATTTATCAAAGAGGGTAATGAGCTCAAAAGCCAAAGGTGCTTCAAAGGTTGTGAAGAGGGAGGGTCCAAAAAAGGAAGTAGTGAAAAAAGAGGCAAAGAAGGAAAATGTTAAGAAAGCAGCTGAGAGCAATAAAGGACAGAGTAAGGTGTCTAAAGAGAAAGTAAAAGCTGTATCAGAAGAGAAGAAGGCCAGCACAGCAAGTCCAGCCAAGAAAGTAGCAAAACAGAGTGTCCACAGCACTCCCTCTGAAACTAAAAGCCGAAAAGTTCGGGAACCATCAAATAATCTTAGTGAAAAGAGCAGCCAGAGGCAGATTAATGATGGAGTGAAAGGAAACAGAAGAGGCAGTGTTGAAGTCAAGAGCAAATCAACACAGAAGAAGTCTACTACACAAATCAAGGAGAAGAAGAGTAAAGTCAATAGAGGTGTCAAGTATTCAGAGAAAATACCAACAATCCAAACAGAAGAAGAAGAACTTGGAAACAAAGTTCAGGTTTGCAACATTATGTTTAAACAAGTCTTCAATTCATGTGGATTAAGTAGATTTTTAAATTTTTAGACATCAAGTCTGGCAAAAGCCAGAAAACTATTAATTGAAGAAAATGGATGGCAGCAGACACGTTTTATCCATTACAGCAGTAATTCATGAAGCCTCTCTTGATCTTTTTAAAGCTGTTTGTTCTCTTCAAAACAAAGGAAATCATGATCCCTATTAGCAAGCACCATCCACCATGCTGATGAAAGTAGGATAAGCTTTGCCAGGCTTGGTCACTCACTCCCCTTACTTTTGCTCTCAATGTTGATGTTTATTGTCACTACAGAAAGATAGCATTTTTAGCTCTCTGTGATAGTCACTTGATATTCCCTGTTTATAGAGTAAGAACTGGGATTAAATGCAGAGTTTTTGCTGGTGTTGAGATAGGTTTTGGTTACTAAGGCACAAAATGCCCTTTGTGTGGATTTTTTTGGGGGAAAAAGACAGGTTTTGAAAGTATTGCACTATTAACCATTTTCCCATGAACCAAAAAAAAAGGAATGAAATGTATGGTTTGTTGCAAAAAGTAATCCACAAGTATGAACAGATTTGCAATTAATGTTTTGAAAATCCTCTAATGTACTTATTTTGGGATGAGTTACATATATTTTCCTGGCTGTTTTTAAGGGATAATTTTAATTGCTGTTTGGAATGGCCACAATATTTCACCTTGCTCACACCTGAGGTTGTGATGTCAAAGCCAGTATCAGTCATTAAACATGTAAAGATCAGACCTTGTTATTTTAGGATCCAGATAGCATTGATGAACCCATGAGGGGAAATAAGGGAGAGGCAGAGGAGAGTGAAATAACTGAGTTTGGACCTGATGATGATCCAGAGGCAACACAAGGTATGAAACTCCACAAAGCCTGCATTTGTCACTCGCACTCTTATCAGACATTACGCACTATATGTAGCTGGATGTGACAGCTCAGCTCCATGTGTGTTTGTTTTTGCCTTTCTGGGTCACTGTCAATACCAAGGGAAATAGTTTCAAAATCAAACCAGTTATTTACATTCGGTTCTTCTTGTAGAACTGAACCATTGGAGTTTTCAAACGTGGGTGCCAATGATTCTTCAAAATTAGGAATGTCCATGAATACTTCCTGGATCACTTCTAGTATTTTTAATGCATTTGTCATTGAAAATACAGGGTAGCCAGTAAGTAAATCAGCCAAAGTGAAAATCTTCTCACAGTCCCTTACCACATCCTTTATTAAATGCCTTGAGCAGCCATGACAAGAGCTTTCATCCAATACTAGTTCTTTGCTTCTCATCTCATCTAGTACCTCGATCAGTGCTTCTTTTAATGCCTTTCTATCCTGGCATGAGACCTGTCTGCATTTAGCTTTAGTGTCCTCCACTGCTGACTCTTTTGCCTCCTTGAATGGGACATGGGTTGCAAACACGATCTGAAAATCTTGAGCTATCTTGAATCAAGGAAAATCCAACTTGACAAACAACTTTGCTCAAAACAACTCCAAAGCACTCCTTCCATTTCCTACAGTTGTCACTCGCACTCTTATGGGACATTATGCACTATATGTAGCTGGATATGATGGCTCAGCTCCACATGTTTGTTTTTGCTGGAAGTCATTGTCCAAGACTTTTAAATAAACTCATTTTTATTGGTTACCTTCTTATTTCTGGAAATGCAGTGAAGCGCAACTAATCAGGGGGCATAGGGCATTTTAACAGCCTCTTCAGGCAGGTGTCTTTTCTCCCCTCTCCCACCCCCTACCCCCATCTTCCACTCTAACTGCAAATAAAAAATGGCCGGTCGGACAAATGCTCGCAAGCTTTTAGCGTTAGCTTGCACTAACAAGACGTCTACATAGCAGGCTACACTGAAGTTGAAATTAAGAGAGGCCTTTTTTGCTATATTGCTTGTTGACAGCAGTCATAGGTACAGATTCAGTAAATTCAGAGTCATTGGTGGAAAGCAAAGTGGCTCTAGCTGAAGATACAGATGCAGTTAGTAAATATGAGGCGAGTGAAGATATGGAAGTTATTGATGACTTGGAGGAGGCCAGTGAAGGTGCAGGTGGAAGTGATGACAGTGGGGAAGAAGATTTTAGTGAAGGAGAGGGAGGTTCAGTGTCACCTTCCTCTTCAGCTTCTTCAAAATCAGAATCAGGTTGTTATTGTTGTTTGATTTTTATTAAGTGTCAATTTAATATTTAACACAATTGAGCAGTTTGTTGCTTCACTGCAATATACAAGACTGCACTTAGGTAATGATAGAAAGCATACTTGAGGTATGTGGTAGGTGGAGTATGGCTTGTACATGTACTGTCACAGTCTTTTACTAACCTTTTATTTGTCTCTTTCTCTCTAAATATCCATTTTTTAGTGTGAGATCTTGTTTGGAAAAAGAGGTTATTTGCTATTAATATAATTACAATTGGTAAATCAGTCACAAAGCTTGATTACAAGAAAATGTTAAGTAGTCTTAAATCCATTCATAAATTCTCAATCCATCAAAGAAATTTTTTGTGGGGTATATTTATACAATTTATATTGCAAAAAAGATGTCAAAAGTAAAGAAATGATCCTCACAGTGAGCTGAAATGAAATAAATTGCTGAAAAGAATTGTTGGGATGATTTACCTCATTTTAGTGTGCCCTTAAACAAAGGTGCAATCATCACCACTTCTAATCGTGATGATCGCATTAGTTTTTGCCATAAACAAGATTGGTTCAGTGCCAGTGAAATGTAGGTGGGTTATTATTTTATTTTTATTTTCTTCTACTCTATGGGGTAAGGTCTGGTAAAAGCTGCAGCATAGGAATTTTAAACATATATTTACAGTAAAAAAAATTTTATTCCATTGTGATCATGTATCATTATGGTTACAAACTCTAATTATTGGAGTTTTCAGTGGAAAAATTCTTCAACTATGTTAACAATGGGCATTTTAGGAGCTTTTGGAACTTTTCGCTTTTTTCTTTTGTACATAGTAATTTTTTAGGAGGTTGACACTGGTAATTACCCAAGTAATGCATCACCATTACTAGTCAGTGGCAGCAGTTGAATGTTTAGTTTTAGTCAAATAGTTTTAATGAAGTCTTGTATTTGTTTAGAAAATCCAAGTAATGAAGAACAAAATGAACAAGAAGGAAAGAAAGTAAAAAGAAGGAAAAGAAGAGCATCATCTCCTGTGGAAGGAACTAGATCAAGTGGTGAAAGTGATAACTCCTTAGCTGATAGTCAGCTTCACATCAAGAGTAAAGTGGCAAAGGCATCATCATCGAAATCAAAGAAAACATCCAATTTGGATGAGTTCTTTGAAGAAGCTCGATACTTTGTGATGAAAAGTAACAATCATGAGAATGTAGCTTTGTCTAAAGCCAAGGTAAGTCTACCTTAAGGCTGGTTTTCACCAAGACTCAATTGAAGATAGATTTTTATTGTTGGATTTAAAATTAGTTAGACTTGAAATAGGCATTTTAAACTTAGATGATTCCAAAGAACTTATATGTTTCTAGGGAAAAGACTACCTTAGAAATAGGGGGAAAAATGGCACAAAAACAATGCTGTGTGTATTACAACCAGGTTTACTTTGGAAAAGTTCTGCACACTTCGTGCATTTTCTATGTACAAAATATGAGGCTAAAGACATTGCTGATCCTAGCAGTATGTTTGATGCGTGTCTGATATGAACTTCATAATGGGTTTCTCTCAGTGATAGAGAATTTAGTCTTTTTCCTAGACTTGTGACAAGACAAAAAACATCTTTATCTTATAAGATGCTTGATTTCAACAATTGTAACACATTATTCTTATCAGGGTGTGTGGTCAACTCCAAAGGCTAATGAGAAGAAACTAAATGCTCATTTTAAGGTGAGGTCTGTTTCTTCATGAAACGTTATCTTGAAAGCATATGTCCTAAAGTGATGAATCATGAATCTTGACTTTCCGGAGGAAAAAAGCTTTCCTCTTACTGGTGATTGAAGTGTGGATCCACAGCAAGTTACAGCAATGCTTACATTATAATTCTGCCATTCTTGTAGAAAATTCTGGAAAATATTAGGCCTATGAAATTTAGTGTTTCCATTGGTTTGGTTGACCCTATATGTTGATTGGCTATTTCCATCTCAGAACTCTGATGTTTTGCAGTTCTATTTTTGGATGTATTTTCCTTATTTCTTTAAGGAGCCTTTCTTTTGGTTATGATATTTCTATTCTTCTCAACTTAAAAATAGAACAATCAGCAGCTTACCAGTGTCTGAGTTAGGTAACTGTTTAGAAAGAAATGTTAGTGTGTAGTGTTTAGTATGAAAACAAAATCAATTATGATTGTTACCTTCAAATTGTGGTCTTAAATTAGCTAACAGAAACAGAAGGGTACTGTTGTTCAGTTTTACTTTCTATTGAATGTATAGAAAGATAAAGGAGAAGTTTTAAAGGTTATGAAGAACCTTACAAGTCTTGGAATTCTGGAGCAACAGTGAACTCAGTTCTGGATATCTTTTAGGGCACCAATGAGATAAATCTATGAACTTGTTAATGACAAGATTTTACGGCCACAAATTGTAACCAACCCTTTCTGTCTATGTGGACAGTTAAGTCTTAGTAGCCCTTAGGTACTTGGGTTTGGGTTTGTTCGTTATAAATGCCTTGGCTATTATGAAACACGTGTCAGCCTTCCAGTGGTCATTTCAGATAAATTTGCCACAAAATGCAACAAGGAGATCCTGTCCTTGAACACACACAACTACATTTAAACTCTGAATGAGTATTACATTGGAACCCCTCTAAACTGAACCCTCATTAAACTGGAATCCTATCTTTACCAGACCTTTTTATTGGCCCCAAAATCTGTCATATATTTTCTATATTTTTAACCTCAGTAAACTGGAACCCCTCACTTCCGGAAACTGGACACTTCTTTCAGTTCATAATCACTCAATTTAAAAAGAAATTGACCCAGTTAAACTGGATGTGAAAGTTTTAAGCTTGCTGCCAAAATCAAATCGCACCTTTGTAAACATGATTAAAATTAAAATTGTAATCATGCAGCTGTGAAATCACAATCAGAAGTGAGAAATGCCCATCGGCTAATTACTCATTGTTCTATTGGTACTGAAGCAAAAAATCTAAAAATTTAACTGAAAGAAAAATAGTTGAACAATGTTGTAATCAGATGCAGTTAACAATGGATTCCTTTTTCCAAAAGCATCTTGGACACCCCTCTAAACCGGACATTACCCTCGGTCACAGGGGTGTCCAGTTTAGAGGGGTTCCACTGTACCAGTATACAAAACCATCCTTGCTTTTCTTGCTAATTTTTGTCCCAAAGATAATTATTTGGTGGTTAGCTATTCTATCAGCTGTATATACACTAATCAGTTGGCTAAATTTCTCTCTCCTTTGAACAACTTGGCCCAGCACCTTAGTTCCTCTGCCTTTGTTTCTCAAAGTTCGGAGAGAGTAGTGATTATAAGTACACAAAGTACTTAGATTTCTGAGTTATAAAGTTTTTTAAGGCAATTATATTTTATTGATAATGTGTAGTTTTACTCAGATATTTTATGGTGGACCTTTTCAAGATGTATGCAACTTTCCTTTTCTTTTCTACATCACGAAGAATCTAGTATGTATTGTATTTTATTGTATTTGTAAAAAAAACATTGACATGAAGCAAGAAAGGAGGAGCTTCTTTTATGACTACTCATCAGCCGTTTTTGTACTTGATTTTCTTTCAGAGGTATAAAAATGTAATTTTAATATTTTCTGTAAAAGAGAGTGGAAAGTTCCAGGGGTTTGCCAGACTGGCATCAGAAGCCAAACATGGAGGCCAGCCAATGCCTTGGGTGTTGCCACCTGGAATGAATGCCAAAGCACTAGGAGGAGTATTTAAATTGGAGTGGCTCAATAGGTAATGATTCATCAAAAAAATTAACTCCATTTTACTCCATTATAATAATAGTAAGACACACATGATAGTTTGAACTGTATTTCTTCTCTAAATGCAACACCATTTACATCCATAATGTCATTTAAGTATTGAAAGTCCTACTCTGATGAAATTACTGGCTGAATATGAGGAAATTTCCAGCAGAGGCCCTTTTCAGACTAGGTGCCTGTTATGCAGCTTTGAGCCCAGGCATTAACCCTTTACACCCTAACATTAGCACACATATTCTCCATACTGTTCTCTATACATTTCCTTGGGGGCTGTAAGGAAGAATTTGTTCAAAAACCAAGAGCTTATTTATTTGAATGTTATTTTATTTATGATTTGTGCTCCAATGCTCTACCACTAAGCCACAAAGACTCTTTGGTGAGTGGGGTCTATTACAAAGTTCTTATGACTAACCATCTCTACTTTTCTGTCAAAAACATTATGCTATGAACATTGCTGATCCTAGCAGTATGCAGGACGTGTGTCATTAGAACTTTGTAATAGACCCCTCTCGCTGAAGAGTCTTTGTGGCTCAGTGGTAGAGCATCGGAGTGCAAATGCGAAGGTCTGAGGTTCGATTCCCCACGGGGACTCAGAATTTTTCTTTGTCCCACGCTTGTGACAAGGCAAAAAAACATCTTTCTTAATTCTTCACCGAGCTTAAAACTTACCATCTCTACTTTTTTGTCAAAGACTTTATCTTCTATTGCAAAAAGTAGGTTAGCTGACAAAAGCATGCCTGAAAATGGTGAGCAAATTCGTCCCTTGGTGGTAGCGCCTGTGTTGAGACCATGCTCAGACAAGTACCCTGCTCCTGAAAAACAAGCGGGGACACCCATTCCCCACACTGCCATAGATGTTTTAATAGCTTAAAAAGTAGTTTGCACAAGAAGAGAAATGCCATTGATTCTTTTCAGTTATCTGAAATGTTTGATTTTTTTGCATCAAGGCTTTACCACTTAATTATGTTTGATGATTTGGTAACCATAGCAACACACAAAACTCCAGATTTCACCAATCTGGAGCTGTTTTAATCATACGTGTATTTCAATCTAACATTTGCCTATTAAACTCCTGTGCGATTTGGCAAGCAGATAACAATAGTTCAGCACTTTGTTCTTGTGTAAGTGTCATGCAGAGTCATGCAGTTTGCATTCCCATAACTATGTAGAAGCAAATATTTTCTTTGTGTGTCACTTGTACAACAATTAGTGGACCAAGTTTCATTGATTGCTTCAAATTTCTTGTTTATTTGTGTCTGTTTACTGCATCTTACAAAGGGTGAAGTAATTTAGGTCATCAGCATACTCATTTGCTTATTTTATTAATTTTTCATCCCAAACCTTTCTACAATAAACTTTGAAAATGTCTTTTGTGTAAATCTCTAAATTTCTATGACTTAACTGGCTGATCATAGTAGGACCTTGAATACAAATTAAAATGTAAAAGATTACATGTATTTTTCACAGAATGTTTTTTGTCTTTGCTATAATAATTCTTCTCATAGTTTGATTTTATGATTAACACAGTGGATTTTTTGTTTGTAGGAGGGAGCTTTGGTTCAGTAAGTGCCTGCATTTAAGAAATCCTTGGAACGACAACAAAGAGGTGAAAATTTGCCGTGATGGACAGGTAACTGGCCTCTTAAATACTCATAAGGAGTGAGATGAATTTTTATGCATTGAGATGTTTGTCATGCTTGTAATGCTTTTGTTTTCCACCACCCCACCTTGTTCACTAAATGGGAAATGAATTTTACTTGATTCAAAATAAAACAAAAGAAAGTTACTGTGAATGACAAGCAGATGGTAAGATAATTGCAGTGTTGCAGCTGTCAGATTTATTTATTTATTTAATTAATATTTAAACAGGGACATCGCATTTAGCATAGCTAGTTTAAAGAGAGCCCTGCAAAAACAAAATTTGACAATACAAAGTTACACATAAAATTGACAGACAAAAGTAAAACTCATTAGAGAAAATACATATAAAGTCTACATAACTAATTAAATCTGTTTAAAAAACCACTTACACTCAGTTTTAAAAGTTTTAAGGCTTTCCGGCAATCTTATTGCTTTGGGCAGATTATTAAAAGTGCACCCACAATTATATCTAAAACTGCCTTGATATTTAGTGCTTTTAGCCAAAGGAGCTAACATTCCTGGAACTATCTTAAATACTCAGGATACAGTTGCTATTTTTTAATCATCTTTTCCCAAAAACAAGCTCTAATGAAAGTAGAACATTTTAATGACTTATTTTCAAAGGAAAGAAAATTGTTTCATGGAGAAATCAAGATATAAGATAAAATATGCAAACATGCTTGCACATGGGATTTCAAAATGAGGGCACATATTTGTCGGGTGTATGGAGTGACCACTTGTTACCTGCAAACTGTAAATAGGAAGAAAGATGAAAATGACTAACTTCGTTATAATGAGTTCTTGATTTTACTTAAAATCATAGGAACACCTCATGTGTTTAAAAAAACCCATGCAGACAAATTCACCATGCTTAGAATATTGTTTACTTGACTTCTTGGTCAGAAAATTACATAGCATTGAATTTAAAATTCCTAAAGTTATATCTTTTGACACAGAATCTTCTATGAGGTAAAACTTCTCAGACATGTCAATACTTAAAAGTAATAATATATTTACTGGGCCATGGAGTTATGAAATCAAAGGGTTTGATACATCATCTAATGAGTATTTTCACAAAACTTTCTAGTTGGGAACTCTCTCAAGTTGGGGGTGCATCTTATAAACAAGTGCATATTATAAACAACGGTTATTCTCAGGATTTCATGAAAAAGTTATGATCAGTTTGAATACTGGAGAGTATGTTCTTCCTGTTTAAATCATTAGGAAGTGGAACCAGCTGTGGGTGAAGCTCTTTGCCGATTGTTCCCAGAAGATGAGACAGTGGAGCTCAATCCAACTCACCACTCATCAACAGAAAGACGACGAAGGAAGGAAAGGGATGCTGCTAGGTTAGCAACAATCATCATATCCTGCAGGCAGGCGGACATGCATGTGATACCCTACTCATGCCTTCATTGAGATGTGATTTTGTCTAATTCCATAAAGGACCATCATTGTTTCGCAGGAAACAAAGAGTCACAGATGATCTCTGTCATCATAACAGGGCACACAATGGATATGTAATCAACAGATTTATCCTGCTCTGCCCCACCAAGTGCTTCATTGCTATCTCCTCTGGAATCTTGTTCTCATATCTTATATTTTGCTGTGCTTTTTAGGAATTGTGGAAATGTTGTGATCAAGCTTTACTTCCACTATGAAATGGACTTAAGGCCATTGGCCCGCCTAGGACATTACCTCAATGGATTTACTTCAAAAAAAAGACTATTCAGTTACATATCAAGATCTTATGTTGAAAATGAACTGACTTCCTTTGGACTGAAAATTTTATTTGCAACTCTGGCATTTTTGCTGCTTAGCAGGAGAACTTACCAAATTACGGATGCCTTCAAAACTTGTTTAAAAAAAGAGATCTTTCTTTAGGCTTGAGAGAAGTTTTCTTGTGCCATGTGTATTTTTGAAGGTGGTGATTAATGCAGATGCAGTTGCAGAAGATAACTGCCATTAATCACCCTTTTGTTCTATTATTTTGCACAACTATCCAGGATTTTCCACAGCCTTTGGTTTGTCCATGGATCTACTTTAAAAAAAAAAACATTTATAATGTCCAACCAAAGGACACTAGTAGGGGACTGAAGTTCTGGTGTGGGGAATGCTTCAAGGGACCTGCAATAGTTTACCCTTTTGTCATGTACAAACTTGACTGAACTTTAGCTTTTGTGTAGTCACAGTTCTTTAAAATGTGTTCCTGCAACTACAGTTCAAATCAGTTGCATTATCAAGTGAATGAGTCTGTGACACTCATGTGGCATATTAAGATGTTGACACTTGTGGATCTCTGAATATTTTCATCCTTGGGACTTGAAAGATTAGTCATTGGGACTAAGTTACTTCAACACCCAGGACAATATCAGTCCATATTCAGAAACAGAGTCTGCCCAGGAGAGCAAGTGGTAGTTGCTGTTTGGAGGTGACAGCACTGTGCTTCCATGAAAATTAACTTGATATTAGCATGCCTTTAGATCTTTATTGGTACATGATCACAGCCATTATTATCACAGGCCTGGTTCTTAAAATTCATGCTGTCATCCCTGGCACAACAGGCTGGCTGTTCTGACGGGTAAGGGTCCACAACTTCTGGCAATACTTAATTTTGAAATATTTTTATCATTAGGCATCGTCCGAGACACTCTGAGGAACTGCGCAAGACAAAAAGAAAGCACAGAGGTATTTAGTTTTCTTCATCATTCTCTATGCTACTGATTTGGATGGTCAAAGGTGGGGTATTCTCCAGAACCCATAGAATTTTATCCTCATCTACCATTAAATGTTTATGTAAAACTTTACCACTAACTGGGTTTTGAGAGAAACCAAATGTTTTCAAATGTGTTTAAAATTTCACTTTAGACACCTCCATTTTAGAGCAATTCACCGACCAGGTTTTATATGCTAAACTATGAGATGTTTTCCATGCTGCTTTAGTTGTTGCATGGAAATCACAATTTTAGTCAAGAGTTCTTATTTGTGTAGCCCTGACTGTTCAGACAGATTGCTAAAAGAAGGGGAAAAGAAGGTCTCAGATGTAATTACAATGTACCTAGGCAGCCATTTTACTAAGCAGTATTTCAAATGGTGCTATCCAAAGTGAAAGTGTAACCCACTCAAAGCAATTTTTCTAGAGATTGAATACTTTTTGAGATGTTAAGACAATTGGTAAGTGTCATAATTTCATATTTACTTTTTGATGGTGGGGATACAACTGCTTTGGTTTCTGAAGGATACTTCTCCTTTAAGTGAAGAGAAACTGTTGTACCAATTCCCTCTGACAATGAGCTAACATTCAAGACATTAGATTCAAAACTCTTAATAGTGGCTAAGTTTTGTTATCAACGTAGTTGGTAATACCAAATTACCTTGTCGTTCTCTCCCACCAATGCAGTACCACGGTTTTGTTAGAAACCTACCTGCATTATTCATGTTGTAGTAATTGGCTTGGCTGAAACTATTTTGGTGACTAAAACTGCAGCAAAAGTCAAGTATATATATTAAATTGTGTTCATGGTCTCCCTAAGTTTACAGTGAGAGAATGGTAGCATGAAATTTGATTTTGATTCCATTTTCTATTTACTGAGATTTCACATTAGTTGTCTTTGTGTTTTGAATTGAAATTTAGAATTAACTTTGATTGTTGTGGGTAGCCAATTTTGACTTGTGGGTAGCCAGTTTTGATCCTTTCAAAGCCAAGTCAAAAGTTAGCTACCAGGAAGTCCCCAATAGGTTCTATTGGGATGCTACAAGAGGGTTTTTGAGAACTAGTGAAAACTGGAGCACAGTTATTGAATTTCTGACCTTCTGATTGGCTAGATGGAACCAGGTTATAGGCTTGTAACCTAGCTTCAAGGTCATAAATCTAGGTCCAATAAATATGGTCAATGAATTAGCTAGTGAAGTCAAAGAAAGATTTTCTGTTTTTTTGTTTACACAAGTAAAGAGATAACAGAGCTAACAAAGAAAATGCAAGTCCCTTATCACCTAAAAAGGGAATAAATTAAGTTTGAAAATATTTCAACCTATGTAACGGAAAATTGAGCAGTTTTTATTTCCTAAATACACAATACTGGTAGGATTTGTTTACATTTTGCAGTAACATTTGCAACAAGCTGAATTTAAGGTATTTGTTTTACTGACTGAGTGGAGTGGCTTAACAATCTGAATGGGGCAAATTCAAAACAACATGATAAACAAAATAACTGATTCGTGCCTGAAATCTTTTTAATACATTTATAAATTATAATTTTTTCTTTTAAAAATCTTTTAAGATAAAGACAGTTCTTTTAAAAATCTTTTAAGATTGTGTTATTAGGTTCTCTTTTTTTAAATATTTTAGCATGTAGTTAGGTGGTCCACATCAGCAAATGCTGCCCTTATCATGACCTTATTCAAATAAATTGTGTATGTATGTATGTATTTATGTACGTACGTACATAAATACAAGATGGCAAATTCTACAAAATGGCCTTACTCAAATCGATCTAAGCAGCCATTGATTGCTTTCTTTGCATGCTTCCCCCTATGAAACTTCAAAGCACAATAATTTGGGCCGATCTGCTTGAAAAAGTTTCAGGTTGGGCTTATTCAGAGGGTGTAAAGCTCTGTAAACTTTCCGTATATCCACTTTTCCTTGGAAGAACATTCACAAATGTGCATAGTTTTAAATTCACTCACTGGCATGTGTGCTCATGAAGTTGTCAATCATGTCATCGTTATTTTTGGAACGGAAGTTGCTTTTTTCATGCAGTGGTTGTCAAACAAAATAACAGCTGGGTTTACTAAAACAATTATCCTACTTGCTGAATATGAGATGATTATAACCAACTCGCTGCAACGCGCCAGATTGGGAACCCTCAGAATAGCACCACTAATTAGTGTTAGGTTTGGAGCACTGTATGTTATTTTACCCTAAGCACTTGTCAAATGGTTTTACGTTTTGTAATTGGCTGTCTCACCTTTTCGTTCATTTTCCACTGTTGGTCAACCTGAAATATTTTGTTATGATTTGATTACTATTTTTTATGGGAATGTATAAGCCTTCTTTTTACATTTGGAATGTGGTTTGAACAAAGTATTTTTTTAATTTACTAATTTTTTCTTCTTAATATTCATTTTTGATTGATATTTTCTGTAATTCGTTCCCTTGGTTTTCAAGGGAAGTTACTCCTACTTAATGTCAAGTGTTTTACATTTGAACCTTTGGCTTTCATTTGGAAGTTAACCTCACCTCATACTTGCACATTAATAAATTGATTGATTGATTGATTGATTGCATTTAGTAGCCGAGCTGCTTGTGGTCAACGGTGTGTTTCAGCTTTGAGGAGTTGAATATTACTTTTTGTGAAACTAGTTATTTCTGAAAATTAACATTTTAACTTGAACTCAAAAATAAATTTTGCCTTTGATGTATTGTTTCAAAGTTTTTATGGTATTGATTACCTTCTAGTTTCAGCGTCAAGGCATCATGCGCGAGATCACCATGAACCAACATCGCGATATGACGACAGGTAACTTTTTTATATAGCGTTTTCATGATAACTTTGGAAGGTTTTCTTATAGGAGAAATCGCCATAGAAGAATCAAGGGTTCTTTTTAACTCGTGAATTGCGCGCATGCGCAAGAGCGAGTTATAGATACCATGTGGGGACTGGCATTCGCTCGCTCGCTCTCTCGCTCGCTCGCTCGATTGGTCGATTCCTGTAAACTTTTTTTAGATTTTAGGCTTTTGAGTGCATTTGATAGTTTTTAGCGAGCAGTAAACAGAAGAAATGGCGACCTTTGTTGCTAAGAATAGTGGTGGGGTGAAAAAGAAGCCAATGATAATCTTAAAAGAGTTTTTTTTTTCGTTTTAGTTTCAACAAGCGGCGCCAGCAACTGGCAGGCATGCAAGGATTCACACTGAAATAACAGAACAACCTTCGTTTTTCATAAAATTGTAATTTACAATCCTTGAACTTGAAAACAATCCGAAGATTCATTGAAAATATTACTTACTGCTAAGCGCTCGAAGTTTACAGATGTTCAAAAGCTTTTTCTGTTATGGCGTGAGTTTGAGGACAAAATTGATCATTACGTTTCGTCGCGTGTGTTTTTCCTGTGTGAAGCAACAAAAGATGCCGGCGACTGACGAAATTACAAATTAACACGAAAATCAGATAACACCTAAACAAACAATTTTAGCTACCGATTTTCAGTGAATTTTTAAAGAACAATTTTCTTTTAAGTTTCAAGACAATTTGAAGATTCAACATACATACAACGTACTAAAATGCGAAAGTTACACACCACAAAATTGATAAATAGGCCTGAAATGAAATTCTATCTTGTTATTGATTATACGTTGCCTCGCACGTGACTTAAATCTACCCAGGCGGAGATCCAAAATGACGGTGGCAGGCTTGGCTTAGTTATATCACTCAAAACTCGTTCCAAGTTGTCTGAGTTGATAAAGAGGGAATCGTTAATGTTTTCATTAAGACAGTATTGCCTTGATTTTCTAATATTTACAACGAAAGACAGTAAATTTCACTTTTCACCCACATTTACTTCCAATCTTTTCTTTTGAACCAGAAACAAAAATGATAGACGTTTAAAACACATGACATCATCCACCTTGTCAAATGTAATAGCATGATCATTTCAATTGTAATGCCTTCTTATCCCAACGCTACTTTGTTTCTTTGCTACATTAGCGAACACTGAACTACTGCTCGTACTCCAGATATGACAATCAACCACAAAATTCCCTAAACCAGATAACATTAAACATCATGTGTCAAAATCATGCGTCAATTCACGAGTTTGCTCACAGAGCACTTTGATTTTTCTTTTTTCTTGTTTTAATTAAGCAGGCTACCATAGTTTCTATCGCACTCACAGCAGTTCCAGCAATACTTTTTTTTTGCTTGATAAAACAACAGGTTATTTGAGAATTGTCTCAATTCTTGTCCAATTTGGCCAGTTTTCACCGAAAGTAAGGAGAAATAGCAACTTCTTGTTTAAGCTTTCAAGAGAAAGGAAACGTAATTTACTGAATAATGCTAAACTTTTTTTATATACTTACAGAGCATTTATTCATCTGTTATTATTTACTTTTGTCTAGATCTCGTTATGGTGGTGTGAGGCGTGAGACTCTTCTCCACGGAGTAAGTAATTTGTAAAATTTAGGAGGAATACAAAGCAGTGAAGGAAACAAAAGACTAGAGTAGTCACTGGGAGTGGGAGATGGGAGTGGGCAGATGGGGTAATAAGTGGACTGGTAAGCCCACATTGTACAACGCCAGACTGCCGTGTGTGAGGTCAAGGGTTAAAGTCCCACACTGAACCAAACTCAGGGTAAAAATAACTGAGGAAAATATGCTTCCTTTGCAACAACATCTGCAAATGGCGAGACGAGGATGAGGGCAAGTACCTGTAGGTCCTGCCTCTTACGTTTTCTCTTTAGTGGTTGGCAGGGGACGTAAAAGAACCGGTATTGTGATCTGGACTTGTGTCCAAAATTGGAGGTACCTGCAAAATTTCCTCTCAAAAAACTGTAAATTGCGCAATGCAGTATGGCCAAAGTCCCCCGCGAAGGGTTGTGAAGTGCGTTAGAATATATTAGTGTGGATAAATTGCTATATTAATGCCATAGTTGTGAACTTTTTCCAGCAAAGGAGCCACAGATTATCGGCATTCTTGTTTGTTTGCTTAAATACAGAGCAACCAGTTGTCTTATTACAGTACTATTCACATCAAGAAGGCCCTGAAAGGTCCTTAAACTAGCTCTATCTCCCACTTTTTTTGTATCTTGTTCTGTTATAACTTATGAATGCGTCATTTTTCAGTCCTATTCAGACTACATGCGGGAGTATCAGCGGTCAAGACACTCTTCTTCTTTACCTCCACTACGAGTAAGGACGAAGATATTGGCTGTTTTTGAACTTATTTACAGACAAGCTAAAATTGAGGTTGAACCTGTGTGTTTGGGTAACAGAAATGCTTGTTGTAACTGGGGAAGATCACTACTGATTACAAAAAAAACTGGGATTTATTTTACTTTTTCGTAGGAAATGTCCGGGTAACTAAAAGCTCAACCAGATAGAAAGGATTAAATGGAGATAATTGGGCAAATCTTGAGTTTGGCAAATCAACAGTCTCATTACTTCTTAGCTAAAGTATATCAAACAGTAGACGTAACCGCTGTTTACATAATGTGATGAAACAAGCAACATGTCACTAAGTTAGGAAGGTTCTTCTCTCTAAGAATCAACCAACGTGGGAAATGAGAGTTTTCAACGCCTTTCACATTTAGCCTGCTGTTAGGCACGTAAGGGGGATTGACAAAAACAACCGTTTTAAAGGCTTTAATTCTGTTATGCAATAAGTGTGCCTGTGACAAATTCCTGTGACGACATACCGTGTTACTGTCTTTTTTAGTCACATTTCTCGACTCGAACAGTAGACGTGCCATCGTATTACCCACCACTGCACATAAGTCATAGCAGTTCACGAAGTGGAGGTTACCACCGACCAGTAAGTATTTGCATGCTCTTCTACTCTGTGCTGGAAACAGGGCTGCTTTACTTAGACATCCTGTTGAAAGGAATTCTGCTTTCAAACTGCAACTGAGACTAAATGACAACAAACGTCAAACATAGGCATGCTAAGCGTGCGAGAATTATTTTTTTGGGCGAGTAGGGTCTAAATGGTACAATGTGAAACGGATGTTTTCATTTTTTAAAGAGAAAGAGCATTGAAAGATGAATACCTTAATACAGATATTTGCCTTAGAACGGCGATCTGATTGGTGCGAGTTACATACCATAATGTAACGATCTGATTGGTGAGAGATACATACCCTAATAAGACGATCTGATTGGTGAGAGATACACCCAAATGTGGGAGCTGATTTGTGCGAGTTGCTGTTGTTGTTGTACTTTTCCTGAAATGGCACCTGTATAAAACAGAGAATTGGCATCAAATGGAATGTTGTGGCTACTGCCTCCAACAGGAGGTGAAGTCATATACGTCGTCGAGATGACTAAGAGAGTGTAACAATAGCTGTCCTTTGTTACATTTCCTTTACCATCTACTGCCTGTAAAATTCTGCTGTGGTTACTTCAGTGAGGCTGATCTTTCTCTAGTGATGATTAAAACGTACAGTTTTGGAAACGGTTAATTGCAGAAAATTTATAAAAGCGTTTCTGTTTTTCAAAGCTTTTAGGCTGGTAGCAATGCTGGTTTTTTTTCTTTTGTTTTTGTTTTTGTTTTCTGGAGGCAATATCTGTGGAACTTCTATTCAAGATGTTTGACGGCCACCTAACACCGACTATTCCTCAACATACAAGACGAGCAAACATTTTTTTGCCATCTTATGATATCATTATTCAATGTCCCTTTCCTGCATAGTAGGACACACTTCTGTGTAGAAGGCTATTATTCTTCCATAACAGGTGACATGATATTTATCAATAATATTGTGGTTTTCCTTTTGTAAGGTTGATCAATATGCAGCAGCCTGTGATGAATTCCTCAGAAGAACACAGTCTGATCGTGGAAGTAGCAGTCGATACCGTAGTAGGCGCAGATAGCGCTTCAGGAATCTTATTTGTAAAATATTTTCAGTGACTCAAATTGTTCTATTGTTTATTTCTTCCACTTAATATTACGCAGACTTTTCAGATTTGGTTTAGAACTGTATTAATTTTTCAATCATTTGTAGAACTTTTTATTGGAACGGAAAGCAAGAATTCCCTCAGCAATCTTTCGTTATAATATGTTCTTAATATGCTTTCTCAAATGTTATAGTATCACAATGAAATTAAATTATAACAAGAAATATGCCATGTTTCCTTTATCTAAGACTGTCATCCTCTCTTGAGGTGTTGAGCGTCAATCTAACGGAGATCAACAAAAGGATAAATGGAGTATGTGGGAAGAGCCGGGAATTTACCGAAATTCAAGTTCATAATGACTTCTGAATATGAGAAGAATAGCAGAGAGTTTGTATAACTCGGCTCACTGATCAAACAGGGTGCCTCACTAAAGAACGGAAATCAATTTAAGGGGGGAGTGGGATTAGCATAATGAATGCTATACACGGCCTTTTGTGCTCTCCACTTTTGATCTATTTTCTCATCTCAAGCTCTACGTTATGCAAACAGACTGAGCTTAACACCTATGGGAACATCGTAGGACGTCGTGGACTGGAGTTTTCTAGAGGCTTTGCGCAGTATATTCAAGAAAGAATTGTTATTTCGATCTACTCTTCGCTTACCAGACATGCTTTTGGAGGTTTTTGCAATTCAGATGAGTTATGGATTAGCTTCGCCCGTGGAAATCTGCCTTGTGAACGGCCATTCTTTGTAGATTTGTAAGGGTTCTTTGTAAGGGTTCAAAATACCACTCCTGAGCCTTTTGTTTCTCTTTGGCGGTGCGGTCGCTCAACGTGCCGGTTCACTGATCCGCGGCGAAAATATTTTAAACAAAGAATTTCATATTATCCTAACTCTTGTGCTGGTTTTAACTTTATGAAACTGTGTATTTCACTAAGTGGCGACATCCACCCATTACCAGGTCCAGATACCACTAGCAGTAGGATTGCTGTTATTCATGGGAATCGACAGACTCGTCGCATCCCTGACTCAGTTGAACACGTGAGCGCAAATTGTAATAGAATACAATTGACAAAGAATACACAATCAACGATGCATAAAAACCAAAACAAGCTCTTGGAGATAGCCCATCTTAGCGCAGAGTTTCTCAAATGTAGACAACACTTCACTGAAACAAAGGAGTTAGCCTTGGAACGTGATTTTGATATTTTAACCATCTCGGAGACCTGGTTTAACTCTTCCGTGACCAACAGTGTTATCGAAATCCCGGGATACAAGGTCTTTAGACTTGATCGCCTTGGAAAAGCAGGTGCCTGTGTATGTGCTAACGTAACATCTACTCTGAAGGTAAAAGTCCTGAAGAATCTCACGGAAATATCCGAATCCGGCCTACACCAGTTGTGGATTCAAGTTCAAAATAAGAAGCTTCGTTCCTTGCTGGTTTGTATTGTTTACAGACCCCCGGAAATTGGAACTGCATGCCTAGAGAATGAACTGCTCCCAAAGTACATCGAAGCGTTATCACGCAACAAGGACATTGTGCTAACAGGCGACTTAAACTGTGACCTTCTTTCAAACAATCCGAGGGGAGAAGCATTGCTGTCGTTTTGTGCAACTGTAAATGCGACACAGCTTACAGACAAGCCAACTCGCGTGACTGAGAACTCACGCTCCTTATTGGATGTCATCTTGGTCTCTGACCCTGTCCTTGTCAAGTCGAGCGGTGTTCTTGAAATAACTATAAGTGATCATTTTCTGGTTCATGCTGTTATTAACTTAAGATCACCCAAGCAAGCCCCAACCTACATCGTCACACGTAGTTTTCGGAATTATAAAGCCGATCAGTTTGCAAATGACATCGCGCACATCCCATGGGATACTATGAACCTGATAGACGAACCCGTTGATAACAGACTCGATGCATTTAATGACTTGCTGTTAACGTGTCTGGACGACCATGCTCCGGTTAAAACAGTGAAAATATGACATAAACCAAACCCATTCATCACGGAGGACATAAGGGATTTGATGAAGGCGAGAGACCACCTTCACAAAAGAGCGAGAAGGACTGGGACGAGGGAAGATTGGGAGGCTTTTAAGGAGCTGCGAAATAGAGTTAAATTTGTTTTAAGGAAGGCGGAACGAGAGCACTAAAATCATCAAATCTGTGAAAATAAGAACAACAGTGGGGCAATGTGGAAAACTATTCGCAGTGCCCTCCCAAATAAATCAGGCCGCCCACGCTTTAGCAAGGACACAGATGCACTCGCTGATGAATTCAATCGCTTCTTTATATCTGTGGGACAGAAGGCCGCCGATGACTCTGAGGAGCTCGCTCGCCTTCACGGCCAACCAACTACTCCTGTTTATCTCGGTTCAACTCATTGTGATGAACTGTTTGACTTCAAAGCAATAACCAGTGAAGATGTGCGAAAAGTGATATGGCTATGCCTTCTACTAAAGCTCCAGGCTATGAAAGAATTCCAGTGTTTGTGATAAAGGACTGTTTACCGTATATATTACCAACTCTAACTGCATTGATAAACTCTTCTTTTAGCTACTCTGTTTTCCCTAAGGCCTGGAAGAAGTCGGAAGTAGTGCCACATCTTAAAGATGGTGATCACGAGATTCCTAGTAACAATCGCCCTATTTCATTATTGCTTGTACTTTCTAGAGTGACCGAAAAGATCGCCCTGAATCAGTTCACTGATTATTTGACTCAACAAGGCAACCTCACCTGTCATCAAAGCGGAAACCGTAAACACCATTCTACTAAAACACTGAGTTTGCTTGTCACCGGTCACATATATAAAGCGATGGATAAAAGGAGATCACGGCTATGGTCCTAATCGACTTGAGCAAAGCTTTTGACAGCATATGTCATAGAACTCTCCTCACCAAGCTGAAAGGGCTCGGTGCGTCAAATGAAGCGTCAAAGTGGTTTGAGAGCTATCTTACAAACCGAATGCAGTGAACACGAGTCGGTACATCTCGCTCTAGTGAGTTAACTGTCACACATGGCGTACCACAGGGGTCCATTCTAGGGCCTCTTATGTTCAGCCTTTGCATGAACGACCTACCGTCCGTTGTTAAGTTTTCAAGCGTAGAGTCATATGTTGATGACACAAAGGTTTATATTTCGTGTTCATCGAATAATATTGACTCCTGCCTTGCAAAAGTCTCGGAAGATCTCCGACTTATTGCCTCCTGGTGATGTACGAATAAGTTGCTTATTAATCCAGACAAAACTAAACTTGTTCTTTTTGGAACGAAATAGCTTTTAAGTGGGGTTCCTGATATCAGAGTCCCCTTTCTTGGGCAACACTTAATTCCTGTGTCCTCAGTCAAAGACCTGGGTATAGTATTGGACTCGAACCTTACTTTTAATGAACACGTTAACACCCTGACCTCGTCTCTTATTTCTACCCTATGGCAGATAAGCAGAGCTAGGCACTTGTTTTCCAAATCAGTACTTACCATCATTCTGAATTGTATAGTTTTTTGTAAACTCTTTTATTGCTCGACAGTTTGGTCTGGAACGTTTGCGCACAACATAAACAAGTTGCAACTTGTACAAAACTTTGCTGCCCGTGTGTTGACAAACAGCAAGTAGTTTGATCACATCTCACCAGTGCTGCGGGCACTGTGTTGACCTTCTATTAAGAACCAGTTATTAGTGCCTGATGTTACGATGCTATACAAAATAGTCAATGGCCTTGCACCACCATATTTAGAGTGTTACGTCAACAAAAGATCAGCTATCCACAGCTACAATACTAGATCTAGAGACAACTTAGTTGTACCCATTTGTAGGACAGCCACAGCACAGAGGTCTTTTAGTTATAGAGCAATCACTGCCTGGAATTCTCTTATAAGTGAAGAAACGAAAAATAGCGCAACACTCTCAGTTTTCAAGCGTGCAGTAAAGCACGAAATATATGACAGTCCGTAGGAATCTTTTTTAGGTATAGAATTTTAAGAATATGTTAGTTATTTATTTGTATTTGTTTCTTTATCATGATATTATTGTAACTTTTATAGGTAGTTTTATTCGATTTCCAATTGTTGTAAATTAAATCGAAAGAGCCACTGGGTGAAATTTAATAATCTTACTCCTCCTCCTCCTCCTCCTCCTCCTCCTCCTCTTCTACACTAAATTAAATCCTCTGAATGTTTGTCTTTTGAGATAATGTTTGATAGGTGATTGGCTATCGTTTTATCATTCTTTTAGTTTTGCAGTACTAATGTCCTGGTCTACATGTATTTTTACACCACCCCAAACGTTAGTGTACAGGTAACTGTACCCAAGGTAGGTTACAGCTATGCGAAGGCTACTAATACCCCCCATGCATGCCTTTTAAGTACGTGCTTGAACCCGAGGCATGGAATTTAGTGGTACTTAGACAGTGGTCCAGCCTAAGATTTTTAAAACGTATTGTACGGTAGTATTGGCTATGACTACCGAGATAATTTTTACACAATTTTCCTTCAAAGCTGGTGATATGGTTGATTGATGTCACCTTTTTTCAATGGTGTAATCCACCTAATCTGCAGTGAGGCCCTTGGTGAATAGTTTGAACACATTACAGTGTAGCCCTGATGTGACAGTTTCAGGACCCAAAATGTTTGGCAAAAATTAGGGTATACACTGGATTGATGAACTTGTTCATTATACTCCAATCACACCGAAGCGAGTATAAAATGTTTTGTAATAAATCTCCAGCAACAGAACACAGTTCCAGAGACAAGCTTCTCGTTAATTGATGCTCGCGTTCGGGCCGAGCATATATTGGTTACAATATGTCTGAGAATGTAAATACTCCTAGAGTTTGCATCAAAGTTCGCACGCAAAAAGAGAAAAGCAAATGTAAGAGATGCCATAACTTACAATCTCTGAACTAGCTAAACGAATCCCACAGGACTTCCTACAGCGAAAACCACTAACATATCATTCATGCATAAATTCCTTGCTTATATACCACACAAAACACACGTGATAAACATTCCGAAACACAACAAAATGCGTTTTGTGCAGTATCACTAATGCTGAAGTCCAGCTAGAGAGGTGTGATAACGAGCTTTGGTCAGGGTTGCTGTGGTTCATAGTTTGGTGCGCTACTCAGGTTTACAGTCAACTCGCCACCGCAACAAAACTCGCCATCACCACTGATGGTTAACTCGCTACCAGAGATAAATGATTCATTGACAATCATCGTGAAAGGCTCTTTTTCTAGATTTCATTGTGTTTGTGTGCACTTTTAATTTTGTATCAACGAAATTAGAAAATATTAAGATACGAGATGTAAGCTTTCTCCTGACGAAAGTTTCATTAGATTTGGTTGCGAAGTACGTTCATAAGAACGAAACTCGCGTCGTGGGTCACTTCGGTATTCGTGGCGCTTAACTCAAAAGAGGGACGCTAAGTCCCTTTCCGTAAAGAGGGGAGGATTGTTATTCGCCATTTTTATCGTCGATAGCCACGCGAGAATTTTACGACATTCTTAATCAAAAATCTGAGTGAGAATTTCTACAGTTATTTAAAAGAACCTTAGTGACGATGGTTCTCGACATCTGAGCGCGCGTGAATTCCTACAGACATTGTTAAAAAAAACCTTGATTATAGATGAATAAAGGGGTAAGTTTCTAAAGAAACTGTGGTGCTGCGTCGGTGGGAGAGTATAGCAGGTAATTTAGTGTTAAAAACTGGGTTGAAAACGTAAATTAGCCACCGTAAAGGGTAAAAAAGCTGACGTTTCGAGCGTTAGCCCTTCCCTTCTTAATCGCTCTGACGAAGGGCTAACGCTCGAAACGTCAGCTTTTGTATCCTTTACGGTGGCTAATTTACGCTTTCAACCCAGTTGTTAACACTAAATTACCTTCTTGATTATAGTTCGCGACCAATGAGCGCGTGAGAATTTCTTCAGTTGATGTAACAAAAAAAAATACGGTAAAATTTCTGCACAGCCCCATACTACATTATGCATTCAGTTCTTGAATAAAGAAAACAATGACAAAAACAACACATTTCCATTGGGAAAACAGATTTGTTTTACAATAGTATGGGGCTGTGCGGAAACTTTACCAAAAATACATTTTAATATAAAGTCACATCGTAGGCTAAGGCCTGGTTGCTTAGTGGAAGAACCTTCCCGCCGATTCTCGCTAGATGACTAAAGTACTCTTTCGTCGCTGTATCTCTGACCTTCCGCACCATTGAGAATCTTGAAAAGGATGAAATCGATCCAAACGGCTCGTTAACTCGTTCTGGGGCGGGGCTATCGCTTGAAGAGTATCTGCAATCGAGTGGATCCGCCAGCGATTTTAGCGATGTGTGGAAACCTATAAGACCTGTAGGGAACAAATTGGAATCCACTTTACTAAGGTGAACTCGCAAATATTTAACAAAGGTTGTCTTTTTTCCTAGTCAAGTAATGACCAATAATTTTGCAGCAACTGTAGGAGATGTAAGCTAAAGTTCAAAACAAGAAAGTCACCTGGTTCCATACTGTCTGCTGCCACAGATCTCTGAAAAGCAAAAAGAGGTGAGCGAGGAGGCAGTTAAGAAAGGAAATAGCAATATTGGTTTGACAGCACAAGAGTTTCTGTGAGAAGGTAAATAATGTTAAGAAACCCTATCTATGTGGACTTTTTGAAGCAAAAGATAAGTTTTAGTCTCCAAACTTGTGTCATTAAAGGTGGAAGTGCACCCAAGTGACTTTTCATGCTTGTGATTTTGTTTTGAAAGGACTTATTTTATGAGGAAAATATTTTGATTTGCTGGCACTTCCCATTAGGCAGTTTTTGACAATGTGTGAGGAAATTTAGGTAACACTGAGCCTCCAAGTAGTTTAGAGAATCAAAGAAAGGTATCAGGCCTAAATTGTGAATATTTCCAAATAATTTAGTCCTGTAAGTATGTTGTATTATCTTGGTTTGAGTACAGATGACATATCACACAAGTCTCCTGGCCCAAGCATTGTGTTAGTAGATTCTTACTGTTCACAAGAGACTTGTAAGTAAGTTTATTCAATTAAACTATTAATTTGTTTGATTTATTTAAGTATGCATCTGATAATTGTGAGTCCTCAAGAGAAAAACAAATTAAATTTACCAAATGAATATGAGAATTGTCATGTATTACATGACGTACTGAGCGCAGACAGGCTTCATGTACTCATATAGGAAGTAGGTAATAAAAGAGGAAGCACATGGTCGATCAGTGTGTAAATCTTATCTGTACGAATCCAAGGCATAGTATATGCATTAGGAGGATACAACATTGGCGACGAGGATGGGATGCCGAAGTGAAAGTAAAGACCAAAGTAATAGCTGATAAATCCATGAATGCAAAACCATCAGAAGTTCAAGTTGGTGATCAAGTCCTGGTGAGGCAAGAGAAAAGAGACAAGTTTTCCACGTGGGGCAGAAGAGTACATCCGATTCGCAGCTATCAGTGCCACTCCCCAAGCATTAACCACGAGAGAAGTCGAAGAAGCATCTGCAACAGATGAAGAATTAAAAGTCCTGAGAGAAGCAATCAAAACTGGCAGATTTGAGAAGTGCAAAAACTATGCACCAGCCGCAGGAGAACTGTGTGTGATTGGACAGCTAGTCTTGAGAGGTACCCGTATTGTGTTACCAAACAAACTCAGAGCTCAGGCAATCAGCTTAGCCCATGAAGGACACCTAGGAATTGTGGGAACAAAGCAAAATTTAAGAAGTAAGGTGTGGTGGCCTCGTATGGATAAGGCAGCAGAGAAATTCTGCAAGTCCTGTCACGGATGTCAACTGGTATCTCGCCCAGACCCACCTGAGCCATTGAGATCCACGACATTACCAGAAGGTCCTTGGCAAGACCTAGCTATAGACCTCCTAGGACCACTTCCTTCGGGACACTCAATCATTGTTGTTGTGGACTACTACAGTCGTTATTATGAGTACGCCATCATGATGTCAACCGTCACAGAGAAAGTAATTGACAACCTGGAAGAGATTTTCAGCCGCCATGGCCTTCCTCTGACCATAAAGTCAGACAATGGTCCACAATTCCGCTCCGAAGAATTCCGGGAATATTGTAAGCAGAATGGAATTGTTCACACCAAGACCACACCAAAATGGCCTCAAGCCAACGGGGAGGTAGAGAGACAAAATGCATCGCTGATGAAGAGGATCCGCATTGCCCAAGCCGAAGGATTAGACTGGGTGAAGGAGCTAAGAAGATATGTGACTAAATACCGAGGTATTGATCACGCGACAACCGGTAAGAGCCCTGCGGAATTATTGTTTAACAGAAAGATGAGAGGAAAGCTACCAGAGCTACGTGCCGACCATCACTTGGACCTGGAAACTCGAGATAGAGATGCCGAAGTGAAAGTAAAGACCAAAGTAATAGCTGATAAATCCATGAATGCAAAACCATCAGAAGTTCAAGTTGGTGATCAAGTCCTGGTGAGGCAAGAGAAAAGAGACAAGTTTTCCACGCCATTTAATCCAGTACCATTCCAAGTGGTTAGCAAGACCGGTAACAGTGTTGTTGTGGAAACTCCAGGTGGAACGCAGTATTCAAGGAATACATCCCATGTCAAGAAGTTTGTGAGCCCTGACAATCCGGAAGAACCACCTGTCAGTGTCGATGTACCGACAACACCTGAAATTACCGTGGTACCAAATCAAGTGATGAGTGGATCTACACCAGTAGTGCCTACAACACCTCCCAGTAGACCCCTAACTCATCTCACACCTTTAGCACAAGCAAGTGCAGGAAGCAAATCTGGTACAACCTCTGCTAGTAAGAATGCAGCAGTTGATCAAGCAACAGTACCTAGCCCACCAGCAACACCAAAAGGTGGAAGACCTCAGAGACAGAGGAGACTCCCTGGGAGATATAAAGACTTTGTTTTAAAATGTTGAACTTCGTTTGAAACAGTGAACTTTGATTCGAAATGTTAAATGTTGTTTTGATACAAGGACTGCTTAGAACCGGTGAATCTCGTGTTGAAATTAAGCGAATTAGTTATTACCAGCTCTCCGTCCAATTTTCAGATTCGCATGTTTTGTTTTGATTAAGTCTTAAGGACTATTGTTTTCTTTCTTCAAGAAAAGGAGGGATGTCATGTATTACATGACGTACTGAGCGCAGACAGGCTTCATGTACTCATATAGGAAGTAGGTAATAAAAGAGGAAGCACATGGTCGATCAGTGTGTAAATCTTATCTGTACGAATCCAAGGCATAGTATATGCATTAGGAGGATACAACAAGAATGATTATCACAGTAGTGAACACCACTTAAGCAGTAGTAAAAGCAAAGCCTGATCAATATTCAGGCTTTGTCGCTATGTGAACCTACAGTACAGCTCAGAGGTACTTGGCCCTTAATTCATGCAAAAAGGGTGTTAAAAAAAAGACATGCATAGGCATGCAATTTTTTCATATGTACATTAAAAAAGGCAAGCGATAGGAGCTCATTAGTATGTATGAAACAGTCTTGTTTTCCTCTTCGTTTAACTTTGAATAGTGTGTTAGAATTATAACAAAGGTGGGATTCAGATGTGGTGACTGTTATGAGTAATTTTTGTTGAAAGTATAAGCTTCTGGAAATCTCCAGGCTATTACATCATGCTAACATTTGTACCATAGAACTTCTCGAACATCTCATCAGATATTCCATAATACTACTAAAATAGTTCTTTTGCAAGCTTCTGGAATATTCCAGAACACTTTGTAAATGTAAATATGGACTCAGTGATGTAGTAGTAGTTGTTGTTTTCATGAGTGACCGACTGTTTGGAAAACTATACTGTTAGAGAGAGCTATGGTGGAAGATTTCTAATTTCAAGAAATGTTGGAGGAAACTGTGAGTTCAGCTCAGTGGTGAGCTAAGATATAGACTGTACTGAGCTTAAGGAAGTTTATTGAGCATAAGTACTGTACTGCCAATAGGAGTTGTTTGTTATTAAGAATATCACTAGTTGTTTAATAAATAACAGAAGTTGAGTTTGTAGGATTGTAGTGTTTCTCTGTGGGTTAGATTATACCATAACAGAAATTGGGGGCCTGTCAGGGAGCAAATTTTGTCATGGAGTTTTTTTGTAGATTATTTTGGGGAGAAGTTACTATTTGTAAAAGTTTTAATAGAGTATAGCAAGATGTCACAGTTTGATCCAGTGGTTTTTATGTCAAAGCCTACCAAAGATGTGTTCTTACCCTCTAGAGCTAGAGGGTAAGAAAGCAATGAGAAAACATCAGATACAGCATATTGTAGTGAAACATTTAGTAAATATTGAGGCTTTCAAAAAAACAATGTTGGAAACATTGTCAGAAACATATGGGCCATACAACATAGAAATGAAGAAGCTGCAACTGGAGTAAGAACTGAAAAAAGTTTGAGGCTGGAGAGAGAGGAAAAGGAACAACAAGAAAGGATGGAAAAAAGGATGGAGAGAGAGAGACTGGCATTGCAGCATGAACCAGAGATGAAAAAGTTAGAGGTACATATGAAATTAGGGTTAGACCCGACCAGTGAAAAAGTCCAGTGAGAAATTTGATGTTGCAAAGTATATAAAGTTTGTACCTCCATTTCAGGAAGCAGATTTTGACAAGTATTTTTTGCACTTTGAGAAAATAGCTAGCAACCATAAGTGGTCCAAGGTTTACTGTGTAATGTTATTACAAAGTGTACTATTTGGTAAAGGAAGGGAAATTTCTACACAGTTAAGTGTAGAACAAGTTGCAAGTAAGAGGCACATTCACAGTGGTGTCCAAACATTCATTGATGAGCAAAAAGCAGAAATGTGGAAGACACTGCACAATTTGCAGAAGATTTTTCATTGAGATACAAAGTGAATATCATGGAAAAAGCCTGTCAGTTTCACACTCCACTAGGTAGAGTTCTGCCTCCTCCAAACCGGAGAAGTCAAGATAGTGATGGAGGAGATCCAAACAGAATCCCCTTAACAACTATGTAAATTGCTTCAGCTCCTCATGGTAAGGACAGAACAAGATTGATCCAGGTAAACTCATTAAGCCACCAACATGTTACCATTGCAGGAAAGGTCACCTGATTTCTAGCTGCCCAGAAAAGTGGACAGTGGTGCAAAAACAAAGTAGCGTGGAGCCTAAGCCTAATGGCTTTGTTGCTAGGCCATTGTCTTTATCTGCTGTAAGTAAAGATACACCTTCCTGAGTTCCAAGAAAGAAGACTCAGGCAAGTCCTATGAGTGAAGTCAGTGGCCTGTCCAAATCCGTCATGGATATTTTTTAGCCCTTGATTCACAACAGTTGAGTGTCATTGTCAAGTTATATGTCCAACTCCATACCAATCAAGATTTTGAGTGACACTGGAGCCTTGCAGTCTTTACTATTGAGTGACACTTTGGTGTTTTCTGAGAAGTCATCCACTGGTACAAGTGTTCTAATCAGAGGAATCAGACTTTGTAAAACCAGAAGGATTGTACCAAGACAGAGTCATGCCCTTTGGTATGAAAAATTCACCAGCTACTTTCCAGCACCTTATCAAAAAAGTCATCACAGATCTTGAGGATTGTAAAGTATATATTGATGATGTGATTATCTTCAGTGACACTTAGGAAAAACACTTAAGAACTACCTACTTGTGAGTTCCTTAAGAGATTGAGTGGAGCTAAGCTGACCATAAATCTTTCCAAAAGTGAGTTTGGTTAAGTGCAAGCCACTTATTTGGGGCATGTTGTAGGACAAGGTCAAATAAAACCAGTTTGTGCCAGGGTTAAAGCGATAGCTAACTTTTTGCATTTGCTAAAGGCATTTGAGGAATTGAGAGCCATGTTACAGAGTGCCTTGGTATTGACAACACCTGATTTCAGCTCCATGTTCAAGGTGGCTGTTGATGCAAGTGATGTCACTGCAGGTGCCGTGTTGTTACATGAGGATAATGAAGGTGTGGAACATCCAGTTTGTTGTTTTTCTAAGAAGTTCAACAAAAGTGAAAGAACTACTCCACCATTGAAAGAGAATGTTTGGCATGAGTATTGGCAATACAACATTTTGAAGTTTATGTTAGTCTTCCAAGTTTGCCTGTTGTTGTTTATAGTGATCATAACCCCTTTGTCATTATTCATAAGTTGAAGGCCAAAAATCAGCGATTAGTGAGGTGGAGTTTAACATTACAAGAGTGTGTTTTGGACATCAGACACACAAAAGGAAATGGCATTGTTATTCCAGACTGCCTCTCTAGAGTATAAATTTTTGCAAGAAAGTTTGCAAACTTTCTTTTCTTGAGGGGAGAGGGTGTTTTGAGTTATTATTGTTGTAAATATAAGCTTCTAGAAATATCCAGATTGCTTAGTCATGCTGACATGCATACCACAGAACTTTCTTGAACATTTCATGAAGTCTTGCAGATATTATGTAATACTGCTAAAATAGTTCTTTTGCAAGCTTCTGGAGTATTCCAGAACACTTTGTAGACATAGACTGTAGTGGGCTTAAGTAAGTTTATTGAGCACAAGTACTGTACTGCCTTTAGGAGTTGCTCCTTATTAAGAATATCACCCATTGTGTACTAAAGTAGTTGAGTTTGCAGGATTGTAGTGTTTTTCTGTTGGTCAGGTTATACTGTAACAGACTTTACATGGTTTGTACCAAAGTGTTTGGCAATAGTTCATCTTTGAAATGGCTTGCCTGCATTGTGAAATATCATAAATCTAACACACATTTAAAGTTACAAAGGGTGAAACAAAAGACTGCTTCATACATACTAATGAGCCTCTTTCGCGTGCATTTTTTGTGTTTAAAAAACTTACATGTGTGTGTACCTCTGACCTGTACTGTACTGTGGAACTAATAAACATTATCAAAAGTGACCTCCGTAAAAAAATACCCATATGTCTCTTCTTGCAGCCCACCCCATCACTGCAATGGCCCATTCTATTCAGAAATGGCCCATAACTTTTTGAAGGCCAGGGGTCATAGGCCTATATACCTGTTTTGCCTTCCCAATTCCTGTTTTCCCAGGAAAACTTTCAGAAAACCATGGGGTTTCATGCAGAAAAAGACTACTCTAAAATCTAAAGGTAGCACACTTAAGTTTCCCAAGGATCTTAAAATCAAAAAACTTTACTGAGGACAGCTTCAAAAAAAAAACCTTTGTCAATTTGTTCTCAAGTTATGAGATCTGGTATTGAGGATTTATAATGTAAATATGTGACCTTCCATATGATATTAGGGACAAAGGGGATAGCACTCTCACAATACACTTTCACTTGAAGACAAAAGAAACTGAGTATATCACACTTACTGAGCACACTAGAGCATGCGTTAATAAACTTAATATGCTTTTGTGTAATGTAACACCCTACAAACAATGAAACATGTGCCATTGAACAATGAAGCATGAGTAGGCATACATGCAAAGCATGTAAACCTTCAAACACAAAAGCTAACACGCAAGCAGACACAGCACACCAGGCTGTAACCTTGTGTGCAGCATGCACATTAACTGATTGCAAAGCTAGTGTAATCATTACACAGTCAGTGAATTTTCATTCTTGGATTGATACTACAAGCTCAATTAAACTGAAGCTTGTATTGGTGTACTATAGTTATCAACTTCGTGATCAGAATTGTGACAATCATGTAACAACTCAACATGTCCAAGATATTCATAAATCACTGTGAGTAGTTAGTAAAAGCTGGTTCTGACACTTTGAAATTACCTTGATTTTAAGGGCAAATCATGAATTTGACCTGAAATCAAGGTTGACTTGAAATCAACCTTGATTAAAAAAAAAACAGGTTTTACACATTTCTAAATCAACCTTGATTTCAAAGGCAACTCATGAATTTAACCTTGAAATCAAGGTCAATTTCTAAAAAACAATTTTTTGCACATTTTGAAATCAACCTTGATTTTAAGTTTTTTGTGGGTGAGT